AAAAATATTGTCAATATTTATTGAGAAAAAATTATGTACATAAAAAGTAAACTTGCATTCAATATGCAGACGTCTTTGAATTCCTTTTTAGTTTTAACTGAAGTTCAACGATTTTTCCTCAAAGTCTTTCGTAGAATTTCTCTCTGTCGCCACTTGAGATTGAAGGGAGTTTGACAAATTTCACTTGGTGGCCGAGATTTCCAGAGACATCAAAAGGCAACACACTCTTTGAGCTTATTGAAGTTTGAGAGATAATGAGTGGCAATAAAGATACTACAGCGTAAGAACAAATGTTGTGCAAAACATGTGCGTATCGCTTGGAAACTTTGTTTGTCAATCATGATCCATCAATACGTGTGAAATGTCGATAAATTAAATAAAATACCATAAATTAATTAATATGGAGTCATAAATTAATTAAATATAATAAATCTCACGACTTGTCGGTCCCAAACACCGCATTCTGTTCACACTTCAAATTGTCTGCGTCTGAACAGCCAAAGGCGCCTTGCTTTATTTATTCTTATTAATCCCAAAGGTTATTTAAATACTCAACGAACCACTGCATGAGATATTCAACGCTCTGAGCTGTTGGGAAATTTCAATAATTTCGCTACTATTCATCTCAACTAAATGGCCTTTTAATAGTTACACGACGATTTATGTATTGCTCACTTTTCAACAGGTAGAATGAAGTAATTAATAAAATATCTGAGAGGCTACTTAAAAATCTCTTTCACCGGCAAAAAGTATAGACGTCATAGGCGATGAGTGTTTATATTTCTACTAAATGGTGAAAAAAAAAAAAATGCGAAGTATGGTAATTAAACAATTTTCTAATCTTTCAGCAAATTTATAGAAAAGATTAAGATCAGAATGTCATCAAACTTTGATGCAAATATTTACACACACACTCCATGCGACTATTACTTGTATTACGCGAGAAATCACAAAAAGTGTACATCATATGGAAAATCCACACTTTATTATATTAGTTCTAATGTGACATCAATGGTGTGTAATGCACAGTATTTGATCAGTTATTTTGGAAGATGAGAAATTCGAACCAATATAAGTTTGGTGGCTATGGCTTTATTTTTTCTCGTGTTAATTGAATATTCTGCGTTCTTCAGGAATTTCCACATTCTTGAACTTTGTGTTTTGATTGTGTTCACATATGTAGAAGCGGATCTGTGTGCTTGATTGAGAATGGAATATCTTTGACATTTTTTCAGCTGCTCAGCTGACGTATTTCGGTATAATGAGATTTACCATTGAGCAACCCTAATTATATTTTAAGAGGTTAATTGCCTCTTTGCTGATAGATACAGAGCCGGTGGGAAATTTGCGTAGAGTGTTCATAAAGATAAAATTGTTAAGAATAGATTTTTAGGTGAAACCTAAAGTACTAAATCCGGAAGTCGCGATGCTTTTGTTACAGATTTTTAGGCCTTTTACAATATCATCAAGGTTGCGGCAACTCTATTCCGACATACACATCAAAGAAGCGTGTGTTGGAGCAGGAATTCCGTGAAGGGATTACAGATCTCGTGTAATGGATTTCTTTTTCTATCTCAGATCCTCTGTCACAGCTGATAACATCTCGATAGAAATCCAAACACCGATAATTGAAGGTCAATACGCGAAGCCTACTTAAGCCAGTGAAAAGTATCTATCGTTATGTTTTTCTCTTCACACTGAAGATTAATATCTTAAAGATTCCACTAATCTCTAGTTATTGTACTTAACCATGGCATAATTCTTCAGTTAAAGGAGTTACAGTTGCTCTAATTTGATCAGGGAATCCCCAATAATAAATTATAACAATAAAAGAAAGTCTCATAAGCCCAAGCTTAGATTTCAGTAACGATTGACCTTCTTGCGTTTCAGGGACCTTCGGAGCCATCGATAATGCATTACAGTGCATTTTCCTCCTTTTGTACACATTATTACATAGATAAATGTTGAATGTGATGCTGGAATGTGATCACTCAATATACCTGTTGTGTACATTACATAATAATAGTGATCAATTGATTCTAAAATTATTAGTGTCCACAAAGGTATTGAAAATACTCAAGTCATACACGTCAATGCTTCTGGCATCTTAAATCAAATAAATATGTCTATGGTTTTTTGCTCCTATCGCTACACAATTAACATTACAATGATTTGATGACGCTTCTCTTTCAATCACCTATCAAAATAAATTCTACCATGGCTCTTTTATACATTGAATTCCATTTTATGTACTCAAATACTTGGGCTTTTCTTCCTCTTCTCGCGCAAAGCCGAAAAAGCACGGCAGAGAGCCTTTAGGTATGTAAATTACTATTTGGCTTTACTCTATTATCTACATTAGAAAATAATTTAACGCGGATTTAGATAATGTTGCTGTGAGTGATTGCATCACAATCACGAAATTCTTGACGACATTTCTGGCCGCATTTATTAGTATCATTTTAGACGCTTTTCGTAAAGCATACATGGAAATTTTCCTCCTATACCTACAATTTACACGCAGACAGCGAATATATATTTAAAAAATGCCATAAAAAAATACGAAGAACGTTTGCGAAGAGAGGAAAGTGGTGTGAAATGTGCCTCTTTTTGTGGTGTGTTTTGTTTTTATTGATTCTGTAACTATATTGAACAATAAAACACGCGATAACACATGGTTTTTCAGTGTGCTTGTACCTCATTATCTCGCCTTTTTTCCAGGCTTTCTTGGGAATGATAAGGAATATTTTGTACACACACAGCTTAGCGCGACTTCGTATATCGGACCACGTGTAAATGAGTACATAAAATAACACCATGCGTGTTTCTTTGCGCGAAGTGCCACAATAAATTGATCTTGTGCATAAAAATGTAAATGAAAGAGGTACGACGAGATTTACTCGTATTTCATAAGCAATAAAAGAGAATTTGTGTAATTTTTGGGAAGGGTATTGACGCAAGATTTGATATAATATTTCGTGAAAATATATACACATTGCCTCATAGCAAGGAAAATAATTATTTATCTATCTTGAATTATATTTTGGGAGCAAATAATGGCGATATCGTAAAGACTGGAGAGCTAAGAAAAATCGCATGATATCTTTTTTCTTTGCTTCCATACTTAGAAGTGATTCATGAGACATTATACCGTTCTCAAGAGATTATTGACGGAATTTGGAGCAAATAGAAGAGTATGACTAATACTTGAACAAGAGCGATGAATTTTAAGTGCTGCTTGATTATTGTGACATTGCATCGTCTATGAGACATTATGGTTTTATTTTCTTTGTTGGTCTATCTCGAGCCTAAGATTTATTTCAAAATTTGACATCGTGGCTTACGATTAATTTTATTACGGAGCTCAATATGGGTGTATTCAACGTAAATTGACTTTTTCGTCTTTTGAAATTACTTGGCGCCTTTCAGAAGACTGTCCCTTTCGATCAATTGTTTATCAGAACACTCCATATGACTAATGCCGCTGACCTCGTCTGTGTCTGAATGAGTTCCTCACCTCTTTTGTGATAAACTAAATAGTACAGAAGAGTCATTTTTTAGTATTAGAGAGAGAGAGAGAGAGTGGCAATTTGTTTAGGTTTTCCATGAGAACAAAATGCTTCAACCCGTATCTTATGGCTCAATTTCAAATAAACATCCCCTTCATACTTTCTCACAGCATCCCATTGTGGGGTGATGCTGTGCAAAGGGGTGAAATTTTGTTACAGTTTCTCGGTGAGCAATTTGTAACATTGAAAAAAAAGAGACGCTGCGAAGAAAGGTGAGGGAAGAGGAGAAACAGGTTGTAATGTGTGAATTCTTGGGAAGTCCTGCCAACGGACAATTGACGTGCAGAAGAAAAGCAAATTGTGTATGGTGTGCGTACGCAGAAAAAACCTTTGCAAATTCCACGAATTTGAAGAATTTCACATTCGCCGTATATTTATCTAATTGAGCAAATGCTGTTGATGTGTGATTCCGCAAAAAAGAGGCTGCGCTGAAGGAGATGATGCGATTTGCTCAAGTATGAATCGCGTCAGAGTGACTCCCGAGACAGTTAAGTGCATTCCATCCATGATTTGGTAAAGTGGCTGAAGTGTTGATTGTTTGTGTGGTAAAGTTCATGGGGGTAAGTCGTCGCCTTTTTTCTCCCGAATGAGATGGCCTCCCAGATAGAATAGTGACCATTGTCACCATGAATCCTCCGCTGCCACCCAATGGCACTTAGTTGGTGAAGTATTGGAGAAATGGGCCGCCAGAGATGGAGAGAAATATAGGAGGCAAAGTGAGCGCGAATACAATACACAAGGCACCAACGTAAAGTAGCTATCGGTATGTGTTAAAGCACAATTTTTCATAATCTTCCCTTCCCTCTAATGTTCATTCCCCAATATATAAAATATCTACACACAGTACGTTCGCATTCGCTGCACTTGGGACTAGCTCTGAGAGTCTCTCAGCACTGGCACGCTCATGGACAGGCAGAAATCGGAGATATGTTTAGTATCACATCACTGTTCGTAGTGTTCACATCGTGTCTAGAAAACGTGGGACTCTTGTACTACATGGTTGGTGGTAGAGATTTACCGAAAGAGAAAGGATTGCACTGTGGAAATGTGCCCGTGATGACAGTCTCTTTTCTCCGGATTTTCACACCGATTTTCATATCCGTGAGCGGGAGAGGCCGTGAAGGGGTGATGAAATAAAAGGATCACGCTTCGGCGAGTGGTTATGCAAGAAGACTGTCTTGCTTCACATCATAAAGACTCTTTCCATGGAATTTCCTCCAGACGCCGTTTATCCCAGAGACAATTAAGTGAAAGGTGGCTGGAAAAGGCGGTCGAGAACATTGGTGAATTTCAATTAAGTGGCAGAATTAGTGGAAGACAAGGAATGTGATTGGGGCTTCCTATGCAGTTGCCCAACAGCGCGCCGTGGAGCTGAGAATATCCAATTCCTTGTTTTAAACAGAAATAATTCCAGACATCGTCAGTTAGTGGTTTTAGATGAAACTTAACACTCGGAACGTGTGATTTCCTCACTCAAGTGTTGTAACTTGGCAAATAGACATTATTTCGTTTCTTCTCTCCTGTTCTACACTGTGGTCCCCTTTGCATTTTCTTTTCACGTGCTGCAAAAAGAGACAATTTGTCTTTAAGTATTTTTAGTGTTACGTACAAAATTTTGCCTCTCTGTGCGCCCTTTAGCCAATATTTGCGCCCCGAAGTGCATGAGAATTTTCACGTTTTAGTGAAAAGTGTCTCACGAAATGTGTGCGGAGTTGTTGCACAGTTGAATTTGGAGCAAAGCAGCAATTAAGAGATTCTCCAAGAACCCACATCTGAATAGTTCTGTGGAATGTGTTGGATTTTCTCGGCAAAGTGAAAAAAAAATCGGAACAAGTGGTAATGCTGATAAATGGATTTGTACGTGGTGGTGAAACACAGAGTCTGGTGTTGTTGAACTTTATTCAAGTGATTTAATGAAAAATTAATTTTCCGACAATACCGTCTATCGTATCACTGAGTATTGATTAAATTTCCACCACTTGTGCTACTTTTGAAGAATTTTCTGCTATCTAATACCAACAGTGGGAAAAAGGCAGAAGAGAGAAAGAGGATTTTCCACTGAGAATTTGCACAAAACTAGGGATTTAAAGTGTTACCGGGTGGTGAACTGTGAAAGCGTAGGAAAGGACACGAGCTCAGTGAAGCGTCTCTAGTGGCATATTAAGGAGTATAAATTCAACTATTTAATCAAATATAATATATGGTGTGTTATTTTATGTTGTTGGAAAAAATTGTTCCCGCAAACTGGATTGGTTTACACTGCATCGTAACCGAATGTGACATTATAAAAAATAAATGGGTACAATGAGGCCAAATAAATACGATGTAAGTTTTCCATACTCAATCACTCCTCCATAGAGTGCGGCATATCAAGTGCTAAAATACAGCCTTTATCAATTGCAAGTGCTAAGAGAATTTGAAGTGAAACTATGCTGTAGAAATATTTGGAAATGGCACACTTTATATGGCGCAGTCTGTGGTTATCAATTTTTTACTAACTTTTCTGTGTTTTGTGTTGATATTTTACTAGCGCAAAAAAAAAAGATATTTGTGACTGTGTTTTTGCCTCACAAGCGAGATCTCTCGCTCTATCGCATATTATTCAATATTAATTCAGCAATTACCCGCCAATCAAATCAATGTGATTCGCATGGGGAGCAAAAAAGAAGTGCTCTGGCGAAGAGATATCAGTGTGGGACAAAAAGTAGTGTAAAGAGTGCATATTATGCCAATTATAGCAAGTAAATTGTAACAATTAACTAGATTACTCGTTAACACGCGACACAACATTAATTAATTATGACATCACGAAATTACCTTGTAAATAATTAGTCTCGGAGTGGCTTTAAGTGCTGGCTGGGGTGAAGCACCCCCTGTCACTGAAATTTAATTGCATTAGCACCTCCATCAGTTGTATTGAGTGGCCGAAAAGTAAGTTGATCACTGCGAGGAACGCGTTCCGGTTTGTTCGCGCGCCCCCAATATGAGAGGGCACGATAGCGGCGGCATTTCTCAAATGGTTTCGATGATGACGATAAAAGTAACATTCTCGCGGATTATTCAACTCATGATGTCCAATGGCGAAATACTAAGCTCGTTCTATATGGCACCCTATTAGGTGGCCAGTGAGGAACCATCGAACACTTATGATCACTTTTATGGCGATCACCATCTTTTTCTCAGAATTGTCGTCAATGGAATGTTTTACGTGTAATTAATCAAAGATATCGCACACAGTGAATACACTGTCTGCTATCTGTGCCCAGTGAAATAATAAGAAATCGAATCTCTCCACCGAGTTCCTTCCCACTTGCCTTGCAGGCAGTCTAATCAGTCAAAATACTGTTAACATGAACAGAGGTGGGGAAAATTGGAGGCAGAAACTGAACATTGCGAGACATTGCGAAGAAGAATCGCATTGCTATCTCAATATCACGAAATTTTTGCGACGGAGTTCAATTTGACGCGATAATTTACAGATTCTCTCAATATGCTTAGCATTTGTATTGGATGTCTATGCGATCCTATTTCTACACAGGTACACACTAATTTCGCATATAGTACGCGAAACGAGACTGATAATAAGTAAATAATTCACTTCTATCGCAATGTGCCCAGTGTATAAATACAATGTACAATACTTTTTTATTGCTGTGTCTGTCTTGTTTATTTGCCGAGCACTTTTCCTATATAAAATGTCAATAGGGTACTTTTCGTCTCGCGTGTGTGCAAATATTTTTAAGACTCATTTTAATGCATTACATGGTGGTTCAACGCTGCGAAATCACTTCAAATTCTTCAATATTTGCAAAATGTTTGTAAACTACGAAGGGGACCAAGATAGTTTAATCCGCCTATTAGATTTGAATTATAACCACTATAGTTGTTAGTCATCAATTGAGCGCATATATGATCAACACCTAAAATTGAAATGAAAATATTATTATGTCTGCTGACTTTAAAATTAACTCGTCGACTCTGAATTCGTGATGGAATTATGTAACAGTCGCTAGAATTATCAGAAATTCTCTAATGATACCAACTCGTTTCTATTGGAATGCAGTATCTGAGAGATTATGAAAGTCTGGTCTGTGTTTGAGGAAAGTTAAAAGTGAGGGTTGGGAATCTAGGTCATTGTGAGTCAATCAGTGCCGGCATTGCAAAACTCCTTGAAGATCTACCAACGATATCCCTATCTGCGGTTAAATTCTTGATATGGCCCGACAGACGCTGTTAAGCATTGAGGAGTGAAAGATGATTTCAAGGCTGGCGAAATGTATTCTTGTGTTCAATCAATTGGCCAAAAGTGACGAATCTAAACAATTACACGATGCTCTTGACACATTGCCTGCCGAAAGATAGTTGAAACATGCTAAATATTTTACCATGGTATCGCATGTTGACTTTAATTTCTCTTGGGTGGAATATTGTTTGAAATATTTGCAAGTTTTGCTTTATCGATGTGTGCTGGACGGTGACTTGATAAGCCGCAGAGAACAAGGGATAAAATTCGCAGCGGGAATTGCAAATAAGCAATTATACCTTACTAGTACATTGACTATTCTGCTGTATTACACGCGATGAATAGCTCTAGATTAGGCAGTATACACAATAATAGTCCCGCTGGAATGTTGAACAAGAAGCATTTAAGTAGCTAATCCCTGGTATTCATTAAGTGAATTTGATATTCTGAAGGGGTAGTATTACTTTTGATTTTCTTCAAGCACCTCCATTCAGACTTAGATGTTCTTAAGCCACGAAGAATGTTTACATTGAAAAATGTCAGATACGGAAACTAATTTCAACAGCCACTATACAGAGTTGTTTTATAACAATGTTGTAGAGAGTGAAACATTTACCAACAGTTGCTGGAAAGGGAAAATATTTGCTTGGAGGTTTGCGGAAAAAATCACTTCAATATTGTCATTTCACACTAGCACAATGCATTGCAAATAATAACTTACATTTTCTGCACTACTTGCTGGCAACAACTACAAAAAAATCCTCACTTCTCATAAGGATAGGGTTATCAATTTTCTCAAGAAACGGCCGAGTAATAAAACTAAAGCATCTCGTCGTTATAAGAGAGATGTGCCTACGACAAAAACCAGTTATTTGATCTGAATGCTAAATGCTCTTAAAGTCAAGAACTGCGAAATTCCAGTATTTATTTAATTTGCATAAGAGCTAGGCTTTTATGTCTTTTTAAATGATTACCCAGATTTACAAATTCCCCGTCAATTCATCTTCTCCTACGAATATAAAATGTTTCATTTGGAGACATTTTGCGCTGAAAAAAACGTGGATTTGGGAAAAACTACACTTGAAATTCCCAGGTGAGCCTCGAATTGATTGGAATTATATTGAATCTCCGAGGCACGCGTGCTATTTGAGAGATTTCCGGTCAAATGAGGTGACGCCTCTTAAAAAATTTGAATAGACGTGATATGCGGTGAGAATATAACGAAATGCTGTGAGGTCGAATGTCGGGACACACTCTGAGTCGATGTGAGACCTTCGGAGTTATTGAAATTCGTGGATTTGTCATTTTATATTGAAGCCTTTCCAGTTGAGCCGGGAAATGTTATCAATAATGACTATTGATGACTTACTCATATCATAAAATCACGAAGCTCTCTCGCATATGAAGTGGCACAGAAGGACTCTATCTCTCGAGGAGAGGAGTTAAGGGTGGAATAAGTCATAGCTTATCTCTGGGCGTTAATCGCTGACGAAGAGATTCTTATCCGTCACAGTGAGTGTATTCTCCAGTGTGAGATGAAACACACCCAGAGAGTATGGTTGCTGTAAATAAATAAATACTATTTCTAAGCGGACAATTGTCAATAAAACACAAGGCAAAATATGTATATATTTATTCATATTTTACTTAGTGTGAGATGCATGAACAAGAGATTTAATATGGTGGTATATCGATTTCCTAGATTTTAATCATCATTCATTCACAGTGTGAGTTCGTCTCTCCTGGAACAGTCTGTTGTCGAGATCGTATTAAGATAAGGCTGGAAGCCCCCGGAGAATTACAAAGGCAAATAGTTCGGATGGTGGTGGACGAAATAAAAGACCAAACCGAAAAAAAGTAACTCCGTGTTTAATCGCAATTACAGCTGCCTCTGGTGCCTTACACCGAGCTTATCGCCTCTTCGTATCATCACAGATCTTGAATAAAAGAGTCAATTGCACCTTTAATTCCTCCCAGACGCACATGATTTATGCTCGATGATAGGAGATGTACAACATATTTATGGGCATGTGAGCAAATCTCACTGTAATCTGCTCTAAGTAATGCTTTTTATTGCTCATACCTAGTAGGCGATGCCCCGTGATGAATATGCAAAAACAATGGATCAAGTTATAAAAGCTCCGTGGCGCTTTTCAAGAGTAAACCCGAGAGTAAGATGGGCGAATGAGACAAGGAGGAATTTGCTCCTGCTTCTGTTCCCTATTCGATAATTTGTACGTCTGTCATGATCAACACCGTGCACATTGGTGTGCCTCAAATACAATATTCGTGATCAACTTGTTATGCTACTTAGATAACGATAGTATACAGTGTAGATGTGGCGGTTTAATAGATGTTAGGGCGATCAGCAGTCACCAGGATGAATAGTAAAATGTCTTGTCTTCTCTTCCTCAGGTTACCACAGTTTACCGTCTATGCGAAGATTTTGTGCCTCCTGATGGTAAGTTGAAAATCAGACGAAACATATAAACAACAATTTAGCATCTCCTCTGACCAAGATCTTCATTCATCATTCAAGATGAAATAATTAACATAAATTATCTGCAATAGCACTTGGACGTGCACCAAGACTTTTAATACATTTTATAGCTGACTTGATGAACTTTATGACACATATAATGTGGAATGTCAATTAATTTAACACTTCACTCAATCATTGCCTCTATTTCTTTATTATGCATTTTACCTCTGTTTATCGACTTTGACGATACGCAATGTCTCTGGAATTTATATTGTTTATTATATCAATAACATTATCATTAAAAAGTCTTTAGAGCCATTTGATTTCACCCAAATGCTAGCGTGTGCGTGTGTGATAATCATATTAACGAGAAAGAGGGACTATCAATTAATTGATAATGTGGAACATTAAATTACAAAATGTGTACACATCTTGATTCTTTATGTTGATTCTCAGTAAATACGAAAACAGTGGAAACTTACGCATGGAATTTCGTTCAAGGCTAGAATGTGCGCATTCGTGTGGTCTTCACCCTCAATTATCATTCGAGGATCGAAACGGATTTCCACAGAACACTTTTATTCCAAATTGCTCTGGATTTAACCAAACACTGGCATAGATTCTTTAGAAATATCTCGTATTTTCTTGTGATATTATCAGTGGAATATACGAAGACACTCTCATATGCCTGGCTAATTCAGTGATTTCTGTTGCTGGTAATTGTGAAGACAAACAACAAGAGCCTGAAAAATTGATTGTCATTGTACAAGAGTCTCCAGTTTGATGAAATATAATTACCATATTTAAAATATTAATTTGATTATGTGAAATGACAAATACTTTGAAAGTAAAGGTTAAACACTGGAGATTTACGCAATAACAGTGGCGCCATTTGATGTCATATGAATATACGGAATCCATACAGTTTAATTTATTACTTAACATCCAAACATTAATATGGACGTGTGTACAGGTTAAACCTTTTCCTCCACGAAATGTGTCTTGTGAAAACATGTGCGTTTTTTTGTTATTACACGCGATATTAAAATAAAATCCTTATTACATTTTATTGGTGTAACGTAAAATGAACATAAAATTACTATAATATAAATTGATTGAATTCTTGTATTACTTTTGTTTATCAGGTTGAACTTTATTGCAGATATTAGCGGCAATATAATAATCCAAAACGTGTGCAATTGGATTTTCAGTGATAAAACTGATATAACCTATTAAAAACATTGAAAGAAATTTTTACTGCTCCACAACGTCTCGTGAAAATGCAAATTATACGTATATATTTCATCGATTTCAATTGCATGCTATTGAGCACCTTGACTATGGATGGAGTAATTATATTTTCGCGCCATTATATCAGTTTTTGCAAGAATGATTTTTATTATCGGTTCAATTAGCACACCACTAATGTTTATTGCTCTATTTTTTATCGCTTTTTCACAAAGATGAGAATTTCGCCTTGCTACATCAATAAAACGACAACGCGTTGTTTCCTAACGCCGGGTTCTCTGCTCTCCGTAGTAAACGTAAACCCGTGGGAGATTGGCGAGTCTTGATAAAGCCTATTTCTGTTCACGGTTACGGTTATTAAAGATAAAGAGAGCAGAGTAAGAACTTCGATAAGATGTCAAAATATGCTCAAATCGCGCATACAAAAAAAACAAACTCTTTTCCCTCCCCAGAAATGGTAGAATCGTGCAAGTTTGTTTGACCTTTATTTGTGAAATGTTGAAGTAATTTTATTTAGACTTTATTGCCATGTTTTTTGCGGTTATAAGTCGAATGTATAACTTAAGAATGATATGGACTTCCCACTGTGATTTCTATTCATATTTTCACACCTTGTCGTATTTTTTTCTTAATTCAAAAGTGGTGGTTTTGCAATGAACATAAATCAAATTCAATATTTGCTGAAAAGAGGATTTTTAGCGAAAGAAATTATTTAAGTATTCTGACAGTTATTCCAATATTCACTGTGCTTACGTTATCTTCAATACTGGGTCAACCTAATAAATAAATTCAATGGAGACCTCAAGAAATGCAGTTTAATTTTATAGGCTTTGTAAGAATATAAAATAAAAATGCAGTTTCTTTTTATTGAAACACTATAAAGAGTATTATGTATAAATTAAATAAAAACAAATTACGCAATGATGTCCAATTAATAAAATTTCTGTGAATCTCACAATTTTCCACACAGGGAGAGAGAGAGAGAAAAATTAATTGTAAATTGTTGCGATTGGCATTTGCCAATTCGCAGAAACGACACAAAATAATGTTGCAATAAAAAGCATTGGGAGTTCTTTTTCACGCAAAATCTCTTTTGCAGGTGGTGATGGGAGCATTAAGTACAACTTTAGACACAACCTTGATATCGGGATGCTCAGGCAAAGCCGTACAAATGGACAGTGCCGGACGTGTTTTTGCTTCCGACCAGCATCGTAAGTGTATTAATTGCCAATCAATTTGCCATTTGTACCCATAATAATGTTTATTCGCGAAGCTCAAGGCGACCGCTTAACACTGTCATTAATCCTTCCACAATGTAAAGATATCTCTCTTTGCCATGGCGATGGACAAGGAGAAGCGCCCAATGGAATATTTTCAAGGAGGAATTTCACCTTTTTTCTCACATGAGAGCCTTTCCTAAATAATTGTGTTTAAAAATCATTATTTTGTGTAGTTCGGAGTGTAGTTTGATTTTGAGCAAACACAACTAGTTCGTTGGTCAGAACTACATAGACTGGCATGTTTGAACAGTGAGACAAACCGTGACAGATTTGTGTACTTAGTACCAAAAATAATATTGGAGATATGTAAAATTCCAATGGGTGTTAGAAAAATTTGTAATTCCATACGCTATAGACTTTTTCATCCAATCAACTTCGGCTCTTTCGGTCCTTTTGATAGAGTTTACTTTCTCGGAATTTCCCAAATTTTCACTAATTTCCTCTATCCATTTTCGTGCTGCCATCATTTGCTGAGCAATTAAATTTGTTCACTCTCAATTAAAAACACTTGCGCATTCACACTTGTTAGCTTTTAGCGAATTCGGAGAGAATAATGCATCAGGAGCATTTAACATCAAAGAGCTCAGATTCACATGATTGCTATTTTTCCATACCAAAAACAATAGTTTGAAATTTCACGTTTGAAGAAATTTATCCTCAAAAATTCTACCTGTCGATACTAGTTTGGTGCTGAATATCACCATTCCGATGGGTTATAGCCACTTGACGTGACTCCGGGCGTAGTTTAGGGTCATCTAGATTCAATTTTATCTATTGGGGATTGAATAGATTTCAGCACTACTGGAGTATCTCCGGTGTTGAGGGTCTGTCATTCTCGAGTTGCATTCCATTTCAGTATTTGTAAACATTAAGTGGAACATAAGATTAAAAGTATTTTCGTATCATTTAATGTAATTCTTTCCACGAACTGCAATATTTCATTCTCACAAGACTCCATCAATTCGAGGAAGAGGAGGATGAAGAGGATTTATAATCAATTATAGGGTTAAATGAGGGTGGTCCTTTTTGTGCGCTATAACAACGGCAAATTGGAAAAGAAATTTTGACGAGATATGATTATTTCGATGGCGGGCAAATCCTCCAGAAAATTGGCAAAGCATCACTTTTTGCCGTTCCTTTTGCAAATTCTTTTGGCCAAATGTTGTCACGTTTGATTCTTTCTTGTCTATTTGGGGCCAAATTGACTTGTTGCACTTTCCATGTGAGGCCTCCCGGATTTTTCAGAGCGAAGATTTCGTGCGAAGCGAGAGAATGGGTGAAAAAAGACAATCTCGATGATTCTTGCTAATATTTGTGCCGCCTTCTAATTAAAATGTTCATAAAGACGTTAACAGACATCCCAAGGAGAAAAAAAATCGCCAAATAAGATTTTTCTTCACAAAATCAGACAAATTAGAACATTTTAAAGTATTTTTTTCCTCCGCCAGAAGTCTCCACAAAATGCCTTAATGCCGATCATCAAGCGTAATCTGTGAGAAATACACACAAAAGCAATCAAAGAACAACGTGGAGGCTCTCCTGCGATTTCATTCAATATTTAAAAATGGGGATACGATAAAAAAGAGAAGAATGAATTACTCTTAAACAAGTTCAATGTAGTGTAGAGATAAGGGAAATGTGTTCAATCGCTCCTCATTTGCGTCACCCTTTAAAACGTTGAATTGATTTTATTTTGTGTTGAAGGGGAGACAGGAAATATCGCTTCTCTTCATCCATGACTGCATGTAATAAATGTCTTTTAGTCGTACTAAAAATCCAGATTGAAGGGCTGACAACTTGGCTGAGTGGTCGATGCAAGAAGAGGGGATTTTATGATGGAAAAATTACACGTCTAGCTTCAAAATATAATTGAAATGTTCGATTAAAAAATCATATTACACTAAAGGCATAGGCAAGACCATACACGCACCAGCTCTGCCTCCATTCGCTGAGAGATATTGAATAAACCAATAAAATTTTCGCACCTGTACCCCATTTGGTCTAAATTGCTTGCAAGTTTATGGATTTAGTGCAGTGTGAGTTTGTGCTAATGGCAATAAAAACCTAAAAGCAAAAGGTTGAATGAAGAAAAAATGCTTTCGATTTTTTTCTCAGCACGCGAGAGAGGATAAAGATAGTGAAATAGTTTGATCAGTAACGTGTAAAAGGAGCAAATAAAGTGACGAAGAAAAAAAAGGTGAATGAAAAGGTGTGAATCTCCATAAGTGTGAAAATATGACTTTTCAGAAAGTCTTCATTCAAACACACATTTGCTACAAAGCTGCAACATTATGGAGTTCAACACTTATGCACACGCTTTGTGGAAAAAACATGTATGTAAATGGATATTATTGAGACGGAAAGTTGAAGTGATAAACGAAATGCACACTCTAGCAGAAAAGACGATCTCATATCAAATTATAAAATTCATTCGTGAGTTAATGCACTACCAAAGTTGGGACTTCGACGCAGTATCAGTTGATTGAATTTCTTAGTAATTCAAGGTGTTGGATTCGGTTCCACGTGGACGGAAAGGGAGTGAAACTTCCCACCATAGTCACTCTATATGGCATCTTATCTTACTTTTGAACTCTGCAAAATTATCTGCCTCGGGCGCATTTCCTCAAAAAATAAAACATGGAGTGTGCGGAGGGTCAAAAAATATTTCAGCTTTCACAAAAATGGACAGAGAACTAACATTAGTGGAGGTGAAGGTAGAAAAATGGCGACACGTAAATCAAATAACAATTCAGAACGAAAAGAAAACAATTCAAAATCGCCATGGGATATCATAAAGCGTTGTTCATTTTAGGTACAGACTAAATTGAATTGTAGGTAGGTATATTATATGGAGTCTGCTTGTCACTCTCTCACAAAAATCGCATGTATCCAACACACGGCATAATTTATGTACATGTGTGGAGACATTAACGTGCGTTTAAATGTGTAAAAAGGCAATCTTTCATGCGAAATCGCATTTTTTGTCACCATATCTTTATTCTTCAAATCATGTGTAACTAAGTGAATGCAACTCTCAGACATTTGCCAAATGGAGATGAATTGATGTGGAAGAGAAAAATGGGAAGCGGAAAAAATAACTCTTATTCGTGCAATAAATTTGAATTTGCAATTGATGAAGGGCTGCGAAATTCAATGAATGCCAATGTGAAAAGGATTATAGCGCATTATGTTTCGGCTGGGAAAAAAGGTGGATTAAGGGAATACCTTCACTTCCTGAGTTTCACAAGGGCACGAAACATTCTCTGAATCTAAACACTGCAGTTTATTATTAAATCTGACAGTGTGTCCCATTAGTTCAGCAAGCATTTTATGCACACGGAATCCTTTACTTTGTGCTATAAATTATTTAATAAAATCTTAATTGAAATCGTCAGGCTATTTATCTCTCTCATAAATTTTCAACAAATTCACCATAAAATTGAGGAGCGAATAAATATTTTCTGCCCGCGCTCGGTTTAATCTTCAAATTTATGTATGATCGGACATTGTTAATAGTTGACAGTAAACTTAGCGCCACTGTTATTCAGATCTTACATATTCATACTGAAAACTGAATGATTGTAAAGAAATTCCCACTAATTCTCCATTCATTCTGGTTGGGTGGATTAACAAAAAGTATAACATAAATTATCTCATGACATGTTACTGGAGTTCTTGGAAGTATTGGAGATATTTCTCTCTTTGTGAAATTATTTTTTCCGATATTGTTTTTAAAAACTCCTCTCGTTCAAAGAATTCCTCAAGTTCGACACTTCCGAAGTTGATGGAGGGAAAAGTGAACAAAATTGGGAGTCTTATGGTGAATATGGAAAATTTATAATACTTCTCCGACTAACATCTTGTTATAAATTTAAGTGATGATCCTCTTTGAGTATCTCCAACTTAATACCATATTGACGCCTATATATCTTGTCGAGGTGTGGCAGGTTGTATGATTCTTCAACACACTTTCGAGCATATGCTAAGGCTGAGGGAAAGAGGTGTATTTTATATTTTTATAGTTGCTATAATTTTTATTAATGCCGAATAGTAATTCTCTGTTCACACTGCTTCAGTGGAACATGAAAAAATTTGTAATTAAGATGTTAAGGGGAAAAAGGGTCGAAAAAGAGATGTTCGGCTGGCAACCGAATCGGTGGTGATCACTTACAAAACAGCGTACAATATTTCCCCCCGAGTAAATATGTGCATGGGTGAGATATTGAGAAAGATACACGAATCATCTTCCGTCAATAGTCCATAAATGACTCGACAATATAAAATCCATTAGAAATTGCATTGGCCAGTGAACATTTATACCTGGGGCTCGTTGTAGGTGTAGCAAACGCATCATTTTACTCATGGCTCTCGCAACCACTTAAACCATATTCATATGATATTGGCCAGGAGGTGTAGCGGAGATAATTTACAGTATTATCTTTTGGGGGAGAAAAAATCGCATAATCTCTCTATTATGGACGGACCAAGAACGTGTTGAATATCTATTACGGCATCAAATGTGTGCGGTTGTGAGAGAAAGCCGCCTAATTCATGATCATATTGCCCAATAATGTCTCTATTTAATTAAATTTCTATTTTTAAGTGCTATGTATATATATTTATGTGTGACACTCGCGCTGTATTTCTGTACAATCCGGTGGTTTTCCCGCATGTGACAAAGAGGTGACGAAGTTGCAATAGATGCTCGAGCGGAATATCTTCGTTGCATGTGAATATAAACGCATTAAATACAATAATGAGCCCGGCGACCTTTTGGCACATAAATGATACCTCTCCCACCTTGCTCAGGCGGCAAGAAACTGGTTTGATCGTATCTCGCAAAAAACTCCGATGTATCTTGTATAAATTTCGCTATGCTCAACTCAAAATTGGACCAATGATTATGAAAGATAGAATTGGCATTGGAATCGAATGGACGGATTAAGATGAAATTTATTAGTGTGATGTTGTGTAAAATATTTTGAATTTCAGAACTTTCAATCATTGTCAACGGACTCTCTTTTAAAATTTGAAAAACTGTGGATGAGCGGAGGTTTTTTTTTTTTTTAAATAAGCTTTGATCACAAATTCCACATCATGAGATCAAATTGATTCTGATGCGGTATATAGAATGTGGTGTTCCTCCTTTCACTCAGAGTATTTCATCCGAAGTTGACCAATAAGGCATAAAAAGGTAGGGAAAATCAATAAAACGACCAAAGAACAGAGATGACATCTTCAAAGTCATCAACAGATGCCCAGTGGCAAAGACTGAAATGAAAGGGTTTTGCCCGGCTGCTGTGTTTCTCTTTAAGAGTATTTGCATATTTGAAAGGTAAAGTGTTGCCAAAAGGATTTTCCCGCATTAAGCAATTTAGCTTTCCCCACCCATTGGCTTCACCTCAGAGCACTGCGTGGCGGTTCACGGAGTTCAATTGGTGCAATTGTTGAAATTTATCCTGTGGTAAAATTGTTTATACACCCACGAGGTGGAAAAACAAAAGATCTCTATCGCTGAATATGACAGGTTGTCTCATGTCACTTCAAAGCACGCTGTGTTCACTTAAAATTACTAAGATGATCGGTATCTACAAAAGAAGGTGCATATCTATGAGTACATAATATAAAACAATGTTTTCTCAGCATATCTGCCTCAATGGCAGTGGAAGAATATTATAGTGCGATGCACAATAAGTGATTGACTTCCCTTCTTCGGTACACACCGAAGAAAGAGTCGATTAAACGGATTGAATTTTTAGTGCTTCGCTCTTTATTTACATTATAATATTTCTTCTCAAAGATTTTGTTTAGTCTCCACCGTGGCATAATGGAAAAAGCAGAACGAAAACAAAAAGTGGAATGTCGTCTGGCCTAGTTTAAAGTTTATTGACACCCGGCATAATATATAGGAATAGCTTCGAAAATTTTAATCCCAGATATCTTTATAACAATATATGTATATATAGAATAAAAATATAGTGTCGGGCGATTGCTTCTCTCTCACACTATAAAGGTATTCCATCATCAATTTGAAACAGAAATTTCCGCGTTTAATACATTCTATCATTCCTTTTGTTGCTTCTACAATTGTTCAAGGTTTACTCCTACCCTTCACTGGATTTTTTGAAACGATGGAAAAAAGAGTCATGTGCCTATCAATTATCATTTTCCATCCTCGACTCGTATGGTGATGATGAGTATATAATGCTAGTGAGTCCTTTCACAATACCCAAGTGAGAACAGTTTTTCTTTCTCTCTCTTTCGAAAAAATTTCTCAGACGATATATCAAAATGTTGTTGTAATCCTGTCAGTAAATCTGTCTTAGCTGTCGGTTCGACTCACTTTTTCTAGCGCCTTTCTTCGGGTCACAGTCAACAAAAGTGAAGCAAACAATTAATCACTTTTAATCCGTCGTAAGCTATAAGTTAAAGTGTCATAAGTTGGGGTACCATTTCATTAATTGTTAATTCCATCGTATATATTCCCTCGAATATTTTATGTCACAAAATGTTTATTAATTTTAATCTACTTTAATTCAGCCCTGATATCTCACCATTGCATTCATTTATATTTGATCTGCATTCATTAAACCATTCAATGATCATATGTACGTCTAAGTGCTCTGACTAGGTTAGGTCAAGGCTCTCTGTGTTTGGCAAGTTTGGATATTTTCAAAATGCTCTTTCCAAGCGATTGTTGAGAGGCAAAATTTTTCAACCGTTTTAAGGAAACAAATGTCGAGTATACCCGTAATTCCATCAAACTGATCCCACAATGGAAAATCGGATTTACTTCCTAAGACCCCACAATTTGACAAATATCGCAACAACGCGCGCTGAAAGGGTCCTCAACGGCCCATGAAAAGGTCCATTCGGGAATGAATGCACTTCTGGTAAATAGCCCCTAACAGATGGTTAGAGGAATATAATAATGTACGGCAGTTTTTTGCTCATACCTCTCAGTCCAGCGTGAGTCAATTCCCCGTACCTCAAAAGGTTTAACACCGAAAAAGAGATGTCACAGAGATAGTGTGAATAGCATACACATAGTGTGAGGATTTAGCCTGGAGGTGTGATTTTTTGTGGCCCTTAAAAACCACATTCAGCCGAAAATTGCATATAATTTTTCGCTGGCAAATTGAAATTTAATTTACGTGGTGGATCACGCAATGTTTGGCTGGGTGAACGCCACGGTTGGAGCCTTTCGTGGCGCTCCAAGAATGTGTTCCTTGGCTGCAAATGTGAAATTACTGACTTCAATAAAGTGCCCTGATGTTGCCGTGCACAAGGATTCAGCATTCAACAATCACATCTTGCATGGGTGAAAGAAGGTGTGCAAAGAGAAGAAATAACATAGAGATTTCTCTTTTATTTCGGCACAGCACGTTGAAATGGTATTCTTCAGCATCTCTCGCTCTCTGCTGGTGTTCTGTCACAATGAAATCTTCCGTTTATGTCTGCATCTCACATTGCTCTGTATGCTTTCCTTGGAACTCACAGGTATTGGTAGCAAATTTGGATTTTGAAGTCGAGCGGTGTCATCTCTAAAGTTGAACTATTTAGGAGAATTAGAATATGTTTTTAGTGAAACGAAAAAAAATGTTATTCCTTTGGATTATTCACAATACAGTTTACTACTGAACCAAAAGCACCTAATTTGAGTAATGTAAAATTTTAGTGTATATCTTAAAAGATATTTTAGTATTTGCCCAAAGGGACTCACTTTCTTTAGATATGACTTCATTTTCTCCTCGAAACTTGAGTTATCAATAAACATTCTGTCCTAAGAAGCTTCAGATTTACTCAATCTTCTATAAATATAAATAGCTCTCAATGAGAAGGACAGGAAATACAACAATCATAACTTTCAAAAGCCTGCTCAGCTCAGGACTTATCAGCGGCCTTTTCACTTTGTTCTTCACTCTTTTCGAGTGGAATTGTGGCGAAACGTGTAAAATTGAAAATAGTGAAGAGAGTGAAATGATTAAATGGATTTTCTTCCCAATTTCCTGCGCCATCGCTGTTTATACGTAATGCACAAACTTCCTCAATTTCCGTGTCACAATTGCTTGTCGCAAAAATATTTCCACTTGAAATACCTGTGTGTATATAACATTGGACCATTTGACAAATACCGACGTGAAAGGAAGTTATTTCTGGTGAATCACTGAGAATTTTTCCACCCAGGTACATATATGACTTCCACCCTTTCGTCTTTTTCCTGGGCCGCTCTCTGTCACTCGTGCAGGAATTCTTGACTGTGTGGCATCCTCCAGTATTACTGGACCGGAGTATTTACATAAACCTTTTCAGTATCATATTACAGTAGGTGGTCAAAATCTCACGGTTTTCAAAACCTTTTTCTCCTCACCAGTTATTTAAACCTTTTTTCGTCTGTCTATCTATTAACTCACTACTTATTCATACATACCACAATAAATATATTCATATACATAAGATGCTCATGTAGGTAACAAAATTCCAGTTGTGGTTGCATATACAAGGTGCTATATATCTTACCTACATAGATGAAAACTAGGAAAAGGTCCATTCGCTGGCACTCTCCTCACATGAATTACCATTCCGAAAGATATACCTGTCCAACGTGAACTGTGTCTCTGCAATAATAAAATTTTCATGTTACGCATGTTTCTTCATTTGAAATCATTAAGTCTTTAACGTTTTCTTCAGCTACCCGAAAATAATTCAACATCTCTCACCGCGGACACCTATTAAAAGTCTAATGGGACCTACTGGAATTTCTCGAAAATATAAATCTGCTGTCGCTGCCATAAAGTGTCCCTTTTTTCCTACCAAGAAGTGCTTTGAGTTTGAGTCTGGGTGTCACGCAATGTCTCACTGTACCCAATGGGCCACCGCGTGAACGTGTCAGTGAGGAAATTTGTCAAATGAAGCCGCATATATAGTTTCTAATTACTGGAATAGTCAAACATTATGTGGTTAATTAGCTAATCAATTATTGAGACTGTAAAGAGGAAGGCAAAGTAAAAAAGAATATGGAGAAAAATCGTGTTACATTGTTTGAGTATCGTGTATCTTCTTATACCGTTTTCATAAAGAGTTGAACTTAATATATCCGAATTCCTCCACTTGTCCCCCTCTCACGAGCACGGCCGTAGGTGAATATTTATGAGTGTTCTTAGAAGACGCCTAAAGACAACACTGTTGAGATTGTTTGGTCAAACACTTAGCAAAATATCGTATCTCTTTTCGTCAGGAACTTCATGTGAGTTCTCCTATTTATTGTTGTTATTATTTATTACATAAAATCTCACACCACACATTTCGTTAATCTCAACGTCAAAACACTAATTAACACGCTTCACGTTATATATCACAAATTTTAGTCAGATAATAAGAAAAATAAACCAATTATCTCCCTGTAAATTGTACCAGGATTCTTTACAATTATTACCTAATTATTATTATTTTTTTTAACTTGCTTCACTTCACGGTTCCACCTTCTTCATCTCATGCTTCATGGGAAAATACAATGCAATGACTCTATAGAATTGTAACTATATGACTGACTTTATTGATAGCGTTTTTGTTTTGTCTGTGTATTTTCAGAAAAAATAACCCTCTCATCACATATAGTCACCTCAAAACATGGAAATATTACAACACACATAACTCTGTACTTCAAAGAGCAGCAAAGGTTCATTTGCTTCAGCAAAAGGTGGAAAATTATATCTTCGGTAAGGATTACATTCAATTTTCATTATTGCATTTGTCCAGCAAAGTGCCTCTGAGATTGAGCACTGGGAGAACTTTGATTCGCTGTGTTATGCATGAAAAGATACACTCCCAATCGATATTTTCTCTCAGTGTTGTTTGAATAGGAATCGGAGTGACTCTGATAGAATTTTCCGCTATTGTATGAATGGTGATAATAGAGAGAGACAGTGATACCGTGTGACTGTTCATTCATAGACATAATTTATATCAACTTTTGAGATATAAATTGTCCAAGACGTAGAATTAAATATCAGTTACATTTGATATTTCCGGTTTCTCAACACGGGGAATGTTTCTTCTAAGATAATCTCAAATTATTATCATTTCACGGTACTACAAGTTTTATCTGCCTATTGATAAGATTTGAAGTTTTTCTCGCGCACAGAAGTGCAAATAGCTTTCAATTATTCCAAACTGATTTCCTATAGGAATGATTGACTTTCTTCTGCATATCTCTAGTGTTGTATTTTTAATAATTAATTATCGCTCCACTTCTGCCCATGCCTGTATACTTATCGCACGTTTGTTGGTGATACATTAGGTGAAAATACTCATTCCAATTTTATGGATTCCATGAAAAGCATTTAAAAAAAATGAGTGAAAACGCATAAATCCAAGCGTGACATTGCTAATTCATTCATGCCATTTCTTACCTCCTTATCAGAGGATTTCGCATGTACACAATGTACAGGTAGGGAGAATGGTGTCAACTGGAGGTAAATTCCTCAGCGATTGTCTCATCAATAGATTTACAATCACTCAATTCAATTTAGTATCAAAGTTGTGTTGAACAAAAAAGTGTGGCAGGAGGAAACAATACGAAAGATTTATTGCATATGATGAACATTCTTGTGGTGTTAAGAGGCACCTTATATTCAGCTTCTGACACTAATAATCATCGCGATTCGCGTGGAGGTGACATTCCATTGATTTTTTTTTGTTGTTGCTGACCAACGGCGTCTGATAGAGGTCTGGCACGCATTAAAGGGGGCCTGATGGTGAAATGGTGATTTTTTTTCCATCATTATCACTTTCCTATAAAATTTTGTTATCTGCCTCGAACTGGATTCAGAATATCGCGAAAGGTTTTGCAATCGCCAACAATAAAAAGTTTATTCTCGACTGTTTCATGTTTGTAATTTTCATGGGAAATTTTTGAGGGCAATTTAGAGTCGCAAGATACGTAATTGATCTCTAAGTAGAGATTAGAAGCATAATTTGAGATGATCCAAGTGTCTGTGTGAGATAAATTTATCGCCTTATTTGACACATCATTGCGGTAGCTTTTATAAGCAACACACCAGCCCGAAACGTGGAAGAAAAATCAATATTTGCGTTTAAATTTAAATGCTGTCTATATGCAAAATATGTATTTCACATGTTTTCAGCCAGACTTAATTAGGAAGAAACCTTGATTATTGAATTAACAATGTGCCATAGTTAAATCTACAATTCCAATTACTTCAAGTGGCTTTGCGAGATTTCGTCCCACTGCAAGTCTAATTGGATTTCTCATAGGTCTGGTATCATTCTTACACAAATTAGAGTATGAGTGATTACGTTGCAAATTTCTTATCTTGCCGACTATGCAAATTTGCTCATATCTCTTCGAGTTCTTCATTTCCCATGCCATGCGCCAAGAACTCTTGGAATTACAGTTGGGAAAGCAGTTAAACTGTACCTTTTGCGCGAGAGAGAGAAACCCAAATGCATGAATTTTCAGTGTTTGTATCCAATAACTTACCGCTAATGTGATTTTTGTCTGATTCTTTGCAGAAGAAGAAGCGCGACAAAAGATGCTTCTTCCAGGAGACCCTGAAGAATGGCAATTTTCAATACCAGTCGATCATCGATGGAAACAAGTTTATAGGCTTTCGCAAAAACGGTAAGCCTATCCACTACGATGTGGAGCCCAAGAATTTGGACGCCAATTGCCTGTCATTCCTGAAGCTCGATCATACGAGCGTCGCCCACATGAGCGCACTGGTGCCCTTTGAGGTGCCGGACGAGGCAAGGAGAGATCATTCCAAGGGCGCCAACAAGCGGAAGCACAGGCCACGAGTGAACCAGATCAAGCACAGTCAGAAGGAGAACGCGGGCAGGTTCGAGAAGAAGGCGCCCAGGTACTCAACGCAGGAGCCAACGTCAAGCATTCCACCAGATCACATACCCAATGTCCGGTCGCTGGAGTTCCGCGGACGGGAGGCGATGGAGAAGAGGCACAGGCACCGGAAGGGGCTGGCACATCGCCACCCCAAGCACCATCAGCACCAGGAGCCGGAGAAGACTCACTTCAGCCTCGAACAATACTCAAGTGATGTCATCAGGTCACTGCACAATGACGCCCATCGACACGGCGGCTCCAAGCATCATCGGAAGGTATAACCTATGCCCCTGAGCCCCACTCTATCTCTCTCTTCCCGCCCAACTCCTATCTCTCTTTAAACGTACTTAATAAACTTGTTAGTCATTGGTTACAAAAGCACATTGCTAGGCTACAAACCTCTACTTATTGCAACAATACATTTTAATATGTAATATTTGTATTTAGTGATTTTGCATTGATAGGCGTATAAAGAAGCAGTAGGGCATCAATTGTAATCGATTAAGGTGTGAAGGGTGTAGTCTCGAAATGCTGAACAATAAGTCAAATCAAAGTAAGGACAATTATATTCGATTACATTGTAGATGATAAGATGAGGTAAATTCACGTGAGAAACACCAAGAAATTCTTTTCACTCTTTGACGTTGTTTATCGTATGACGTTTATTATGAATAATTATGAATAATGCAATAAAAGCGTAAAATTGCTGAGATGATAAACGATTGGTGGATTCCATGCGAAAGAGTTTATCTTGAAAGTCCATAAATTAAAAATCTTTTGAGATGTTAATCGATTTCAGAAAAAGGTCATCATTTCTTTTGATGTTTCCTCAAAGTATTGATAAAATATAATTACGCTAAAATTTACTGAGAAATGGAGAATCATTCACACAGGTTCGATATGTGAACGTTGAATGTTGTGGATGACAATGTCCTCTATGAATGGTTTTATTTTAAAAATCGATATTCAGAGTACGATGCATATGTATAGAATGTCATTTCAACTCGAATTGTGGAAGTGTTTGATAATGTTAGCAAATTCACCAATCGGTCTTTCGCGGAATTTTTGAATACAAAATAAAAAAGAAAAATTTGACACAGAAAGGAAGTTTTGAGTGAATTTGGTAATTTTATTCAAAAGCAATTAAACAGTATTATAATGCTTAAATAGATTGATGCTGATCATTAAAGGAAATGGAAGATATTTAATGTCCCAAACTACAAAAATATCTCTTTCACTTTCGTAAACGCTGTAACATAAAAAGTTATAGAGATTGAATGGAAGAAAAGATGATCAAGAAATCTTACTTAGAGCTTTCATATGTATTTAGGGAAACTTTCGCTCGATATTTTCACATTTTCGAGAAGTTATGTAAATTTTGAAAGTTATAGAAATTGGTTTATTTTTACAAGAGCAAATTTCAATCTTATGTGTACCTTGAAATTTGTGAAGATGAAAATTAATAACCGATAAGCGCACTTTGTGGAGTAATTGCCATGAATTAGGATGAGACAATGCTAAAAAGTTTTAAATAAATAGAAAGTGAGATGCATAAATATTATCTGTAAGTGTGCCATGTATTTAAATAAGTTCTTGTATATTTTTTTTTATTAGGAAAAAAAGGAAGAAATGTTGATTGAAAGTGTAAAAGCAATTCCTTTTAATTTATAATGTATGTAAATAATGTATATTGAATTTTATACAGTCTAATTTATTCGAAATATTTTTTTAAATGTATTTTAAAGTGAAAACATGAAAATTGGCAAAATTATAATTTTGCATGAGAAATGAGCACAATAAAGTCTTTATTATTTCATACTTACCATATTTTATCTTTTTTTTATTTTGGAGCGATCGAGAAGATAAACGCAATATATTGTAAAGCGACGTAGGACTTCTGTCCTTGTAAGGAAAATAATGAAGTAAAATTCCAGTAAAAAATTGAAACGAATTGGACCATAAACTCCACACACACGCAAAAGGCCTCAATTTATTTTAATGTACATACTAATTAAAATAATAACTGAAAATGCCTCAAATGAAGCCCTCTTTTCAAATTTAGTCTTACTTAAGCACATTAAATTCATATTCAAATTTCAATGTGAGACACTCTCTACATTAATCAATAAAAATTGTATCGTTACTAAAACAAAAAAAAAATAACTATTGACTTTTCATTTGTATGCACTCCGTGCAATGAACATGTTTACTACCAGTGACAGGGCAAAATTTGATGGAAAAAAATAATTATGTAATTTTGTAATCTCTTCATATACACGACTGAAGGTAAAAAATGTACAATTAAAAAGCGCTTGAAATAAATCTGCATTTTCAAACATGATCAATTCGCAATTCAAACATAAATTTGTATAAAATGTAACTAAACTACAATTTAATAAAAATGCCAAAAAATTTATTGAACATGTAAGTTGAAATTGAAACATTTATTACCACTCTCGTTCATCGTTCAGCCTTGTTCGTGCTCGATAATCTTTTTGAAACCTGTCAAAATCTCAAAGTGCTCAGTGTGCATATTAACTGATGAGAAATAATAATTGGTAAGTCTAGTGACATTGGCTAAATGCTTCTTAGTATCCTCAAGCTCTTATCTGATGATAGAATTGATGAAGTTAGGATTAAAAGTCCATCTTACAAGATCGTATCTTAAGACACAGGCCCTAGATTAAAACGTTTTCGCATCGCGATCAAGTTACAAATTAGCACTTGTGACCTCTCTTGCTCTTTCTCCTCAGTCAGCGCAATTTTAATTATCCGTTTCAGCATCTCCTCTTCCTGAAGCATCAACACACTACACACTGCCACTGCATACAATTACCATATTCATGTCTGCCGTCCGTAATCCACCAATTACTCCTGCCCCAGTGCATAATCTCGGAGTTTATTGAGAAATCAGCAATGCATTCCGATTGAGTTTTTCGACAGATGGAGGGCACAGAAGAGGCGAAAAAGTGTTGAAATTTGCATAACAAATTACAAATATTTTCGCACTTTGTGCGTGATGATATCTATTGGCTTATGTCTTCAAGTTGTTAGCAGTTGAAGATATTGTTTTGCTAAGAGCCTCTTCGTGGAATTTCCTTTCGCATCATACCTAGGCAGCCTCTCGCCGCGATGGCAATCTCGTGGAGCTAACTAAATAACATGGCTTGTGTTTTCATTTGCTCAAGAGTGCGACAACATTCGCTCAAAGGCAACGCGGTAGCGAAGTGTAAGGCCATTACCTACTTTATTTTATTGGATTTGATCATTTACACCAGCATTTATTGCCGATGGATGCAAAGTGATTTTTGAAATGTAGGAGAGACGACAAGATGGAAGTGCCACAGTGAAAAGGATTGAGGGAGAGATGCTCAGCGAGGAAACCAGTTCAATGTGCTATTTCTCTATTTGGTGTGACTCTCTTCCATGGTCTTTTGAAATAATTACAAATCCGGATTCGTCACAAACTTTCTGATCATGATGGCGCGCTTCTTGACAATTTTTAATGGTTGGACCACACAGCGAATGCTCAGCGTTTTATTTACATTTTTTCCGTCCCTATAATGTAATATTTTGGAGGCGCTCACAAACTAATGTCACTTTATCAAAGTTTAAAGAGGAATAACAGAAAATAGAGAAGAAATCAATAAAAGTAGAATTCCTCTGAGTCATCCCAGAGACTGATCCATTTAGTCTTCGTCACAGTTTATGTCGCGCGTGTTTAGTTGAAATGTACTCTGTTGAGTTTCCCAGAGTCTCTAGAAGGAAGAGTCAATAAAATTCTCACGATGTGGATACCATGAAATGTACTTTTACAAAATTTGTTCTTAGCCATATATACAATATATCCAAATTTGGCCAGATTATCTGAAAATTGTCAGCACACCATTTTTTCTCGCCCTGCATTGGCAAGAGAGAGGAAAAAAATATGTGAAATGACCAATTTTGTCACACACAAGATCAATCAATTTTGTGTGGAAAATTGCGCATTTGGCTACTTGATTGATTTATTGGTAATAGCGACAAATGAAGCCTTTGTTGGACAAATTGGGCAGAAAAGAGATGCATTTGCCACATTTTCACGGTAATTCATACAATAATCGTTAGCATAGTTGGTGTAATTTCTTCACAATGAGACAGCTGATGCCTCATTTCAATTGAGACCTTTTTTCATTAAATCTTTAAATAATATTGGTACATACCTACTCGTGAAAGGAATTGTTCGGCAATTCTCACGTGCCACCAAGTGTGCGGCTCTTTTTTTCAGGCAGAAGTTATATGGAAAATATACTGCGATAGTTTATCGCAGATCTGCATTTGGAATGCTGAATGTTCGCATCTGAACATGACTAATGCGCACAGTTGAAAAGGGGCTCATGGGCTATTGGGCAAAACAGTAACAGTGATATGAAAGTAAGTCGTGACAACGGGAAATATTTAATCTAACCCGCCGCCAAAATGCGAGGTACAGCAAAAATGAGCGATTTCCGCCGTTTATGAGACAGTGTTGTGATTCAGTATTGGATCATCTCGCCGCGTAAATTCCCACAGAACTTTAATTAAGCCACTAACCACAAGTATGCGCAGTGAAATGCATTATAATTAAAATGCAAGTGAAAGAGCAATAGCTGAGGTGCCTCTGCCTTTTTTGCTTTTTTTGGATGCTGTAAAATTCTTCATTATAGCCATCTCCACACAAACATGCCACGAGAGATGCACGTATGAAAACAGTGTTCATTAGGTTCAAAACCACACGACAAAACCTGATTGGTATGTTATGATGGAATGTGAAATAGCATTTTTAAATGACACATTTTACTGCGACATTCGTCAATAGAGGCGAAGATGAAGAAAAAAGCACATACTAAAAGTGCTAAATGCACATGAGATTTCTTCCCTCATCTCAAAGTCAATAGCAAGCACCGTGAAAATGTGAAGATGTGCGAGAGAAAACCTACAATGAAAATGGAGTTTTGAATTCGACAAATTCATATGTGGAATGCAGTGCAGAAGAAAGTGTAATTTATTGTGAAGCTCTTAATAAAACATAAAAGATGCGTCTTCATCTGGGCATTGAGGCAGTTTAAGAAACTCAGTGGCGAAACAAGGCGAAGAACGGCAGCAAATAGCAATTAAATTAGCTAGAGTACTCCTTCTCGGTTCAAACTTTTTTTTTAATAATTGTATTTAAGTGGAGATTTGTAGGCAAAATGGGGATGTATAAATTCATAATTCTAGGAAATGTGCAAGCTTCCGACACATTGTTAAAGCGCTACGCCATTGACAGGTAATTTAGCGATCTGATTTATAGCTCGAATGATGAAAAACGTTCAATACTGTATTACTTTTATTACTAAACCATAATAAATTGACTTGATGTGGCAGCTTTTAGGAATGCCAAGGGATAATTACTCCCTATATTCAAATTCAGAGGTAGGCATAAAGGGAGGAGATGAAGGAGTAAGTAAACCGTCAAATGGATTTCTATTATGTTTCTTTCAATAGAAATATTACATGAGTTCGACACGGGAAACGTTATTTGGAGTATTTTATGTCAAACACCGGTTCCCACGAAAGGTTCTAAAAAAAAATACTGCTGAAGAGTCACCCAAAAGTACATATGTCTTGTAGCGTATCAAAATTCAATTTGTAACTGATACAGTGAAAGAATACATTTCCCTTTATGACCCTCACTCTTGCCGTCATGGAGAACACTCCGAAAGTGTAATTAAGATATCAGTCACAGAGTAAAAGAGATATCTTTAGAAATATTTGTCGAAGATTGAGTGCACCTCTTAAAATATAATTTATATCTCTGGACTATGAATAATAACAAAGAGCTCGATAATTCCCCACTTCCAAGCGTGAGTTGAATGGGGCATTGCGTTGCTGTGAAATTTTGGGAAAATTTTCATGCCCAAATAACCTGTCAATAGAGCTAAGATGATAATTTTTCATAAAATTAGCATTCAATAATAAAATTTCATTCAGACAATTTCCTCAATTTGATAATGAGGAAGTGCTTCAATATTCAGTCAAGACTGTGAAAAATTCCCAGTGTGGAATAAACTAGTTGAATGTTATGCTAGAGTTCATGAGGGATTATGTGATAAAGGTGTAAATTATTGTAGTATCGAATTTCTTGTACAATTAGTGGTGACATTTAATCACCATCGCATCTCGCACTCAAAGATCTTCCACACGCCGAAACGATAGCAAAACATCACGCGGACAAGAGAGAAAAACAACTCTTACGTTTTATAATGGTTCATTTTGTTTCCATCATTAATACAAGATTGGCTAAATATTAATTTCAACCAACAGATATTCAATATTCATTTTAAATGAATACATCGTTTACCTGAAATTAAAATATAAAACACTCATAAAATCTGTATTTCTCGTATTTCTATAATTTTTGTAATTAAAATCATGTACAATTACGATGTGTAATTGTAATTATTATTCCACGATTTGGCATTACATTTCCAATACTGACATTCTCAATGTAGATTTAATTTTCTTTTTTCAATTTTAATTACCTGCTAAGAATACTAATTTTTCACGCAGCTATATGAAACAATTCGTATAATAAGACAGAAATGAACATATGAGTTTTCCAAAAATTTCTTCTTGTTCATAATGCTGCAAATTGAAAATTGCTCTTTTCATTTTGTTTATACTGTAAACTAAACTAAAAAATAAATACTTATCAAGAAACGTGAAATTTAAGTGACAAAATTGATAAATTAACTACAGATTATTAATTACTAATTTTCTTGAATGCACAAAATATGTTTTTGCTTATTTTCATGATATTTTCTCTCTATGTTTTCAAATACTTTTTGGGTGTAGTTGTGAGTGTCGCACCTGAAAAGATATTTAGTACTTCATCCACGCGGAATGTGAAGAGAGCAGTGTAAACGATGGCGTTTATGACACTGTTGATCCTTCGGTGTCCGAGGCGTTGGACGACGACTCCATGAGTGAGACAATCAAGATAGGCAAACTACCCAGCATCATACAGGCTCCCATGCAGAAGAAGCAAATCTCATAGCCACCAGACAAATCTCTCAGGAAGCCAGCCAACGGGGGAATGGAAATGGCGCCGACACCCTGGAACATCCTTACGAGGCCATAGCTAGAACTGATCCGATCCGTCCCGAATATATCAGCCAACAGCACCGGCATTAACAGATACCAACTGCCGAGACAGAAACCATAGGCTCCAGCCGCACAACTCAACACATACCAGGAGTTCGCCAGGGGGATTATGAGGACCGCCAACCCGGCCCCGAAAATACTGTTGAGAAACGACCTGTGCATTAGTTATGATGGGAGAGAATAAAAGGTGTCACGTACCAAGTGATATAGGCTTTCTTCCTATCGAAAATCTGCAAATCGGAAAGCCACCCAAATCCAAGTCGTCCCAGCAAATCCAGGGCCGCGCTCACCGCCACCAAGTATCCGGCCTCGGTCTTCGTGTAGCCGGCAGAGAGGACGTACGCTGGCAAATAGTACAACATATAGGGACTCCCAGTGGACATCAACGTGACGGACAGACACATAAGGATGAAGACTGGCTCCTTCAGCAGCGACACATCCAAATACTTCTCAATCCACATCACACACGAATTTCGACGTGCTTTCTTGGGACTCGCGCCATACTCGGAGAAATCACTCACGGGCGTCGGGATAATCATGCTTTTACTCAGTCCTCGGTTTGTGGTCATCGGAATGGATAAATTATTGTCCACTGGTGGGATTTTCGCTAAAATTTCATCAGTACTGCCTGCATTTTTATTCCTGCAATAGAAAAGAATTCAATTATTGCTGACCTTCATGAAAGTATTTCAAGCTACAATTTGAGAAGTTTATAAGAATTGGGAAAACTTTTACATTAACCACTTTCAACTCATATCTCATATTGATAAAACTTCTATGACGTGTTGCTCTCAAAACTTTTGCTGACAATTTATAAACTGAACAATGGCAAGTCGAAGACTTTCATAACAAATTATATAACAAATTCTGGTTGATTATTATGTCAAGAAATAATTTGTTAGATTTCAGTCCAAACTTGGTTTTGAATGTCAACGGGGAAATTGTAAACTACGAATTATTAGATCAGATTCATGACTCGTCTGACCTTAAAATGTGAATTCCGAGCAGATTAATGTCTAGAAAAATGCGCATTTACTGGATGTCTTTATATGTCATTTTAAAATGATAAATTATCATTTCATTCAGTTGAATGGCCAAGAATTTAGATAACACTCAAGCCCACACTTGGCATTTAGCCACACGATTCATTACCATTCTCTTGCCAAAATCCTCTTCAATTCTCTGAAAATGTTTGTACCTTCGTCGGCTTCCACGGTTGGAGTCGAACCCTGTTCTGCTCTTGTAGACGCATGTGGAATCCGTACTGAGATCCTCAACTGAATGGAGAATGCTCGAGCTTCGCATTGACTTGATGGGCTTCATGAAGATGGTCTCGCCAACGACGTCCTTGCACTCATCATCACTGTTTTCCTGTAGATTTTTCTCCGTGATGCTAATGAACTTGTTTGAGTTGTAGAGGTCATTGATCTGGTTCTTGGCGTCTTCGACGAAGAGATGGTTGATGTGCTTCTTCGCATTAAGAGGATCCTCAGATGAGCTCAGAGTGGTCGAAGCGGTATTGAGGCGCGATGTTGTGTGGTGAGACGAGATGGTAGAGCAGATTTCGGCCTCAGTGGCAGCGTCAGATGGTCGATAGAGACTGGCGGAGGCGCACACGTGAAGCATGCATCCGCCCAGGATGAGAATCGTACCGTGGAATCCAAAAGCGTGCACCAGACGCTCAATGAGCATCGGGAAAACGAAGCTCCCGGCCGCAGTTCCGGACACCACGATCCCATTCACGAGGGCGCGGTGCTCATCGAAGTACTGCGACACGATGATTATGCCAGGAGTTGTGGAGAGTCCACCACCGATGCCCGTGAGGACGCCGAAGGTGAAGAAGAGGTGGATCAGATTGGTGGCGAAGTAGCTGCAAGTGAGACCTAGAGCGCAGAAGACGCCGCCCACGAAGACGACCGTTCGGCACGAGAAGCGTTGGCATAGAGCACTCGAGATCGGAGCCAGGAGAAGGCATAGCGCCGAGAGGATGGCTGGAATCCAGGAAGCTAGAGCTGCGGAGGACTTGGGAAAAGTCTCCATCACCTCCACGTGCAGCACTCCGTAGGACTTCACTAAGCCAGCTACCCAAAACTGAACCGAGAAAGCGCCGAACACAATCAGCCATGATGTGCAGTTGTGAACGTCCGTACGATTTTCCAGGAGACGCTCCTTCTTTCGGTACTCGGTTAATTTACTGAAAGAGGATGGGAAAGTTCAATTGAATGTCTTTTAAAATAAGAGGTGTCTTAATAAGCCATTGTCCTGTAGAATTTCGAAAATAATTAGTTATTGTCCTTTTTATAAAAATTACATCATCTCATCATCAACACATTCCGAGCGATTTTCGTGGATTTTTGCCAATATTTTGTCTCTCTTCACAATAGTATCAAAGTCACAAAAGCTTGTTGCCACGGGGACACCCTTTGGCAAGAAAATAGACGTCTAAATGGATGCGCATTCATAAGGAATACCGTAAAATTGCATGAACATAGCAAGAGCGAAAAGGATGCCATTAATATTATCTCGAATTGCTTTGTGAAGCTCAAAATTCAATCAAGAGTGAATCTGATATTTTCTGAAAATGGCCTCCAATAAAGATTTAAAGATTTGCAGTCCTTGCGTGATGGCTTATGTAACTTTCCAGATTATTGAACTCGAGGCTGAGCTTTTCATAAAAAAAAACCCTTTTAAAATCGTGCATTTAATTATTCCGTGGTAATATGTATGTATTGAGAATTTTAATTTTCCTCGATTTGAATTTCACATGCATATTCTTGAAAACGTAGCAGGCGTTCCAGTGAATCATCGTAAAGTATCACATGACACACAATTGCGAGGGTTTTACATATATATCAGTTTGATGACTGGATAAATATGAGGACTCCGAAGGGCATCGCAGTCTCTTAAATATCCAATGAGTCGCTGCAAGTGCAATCGGATGGCAATGGCTTACCTGAAACTCCTCAACTCCCGCGATTTCGCAATTAGCGGCCTTGCCGTGAGGCTGGACACGGTCAACAAGTTCTCGTTGTCCTCCTCGTCGGGCTCGCTGGCGGGCAGCGCGACGGCCGGGAGACACTGAGGGTCGATGGCGAGGGAGACGGGGCGCCGGGGGGAGTCGGTGCCGCCCTGGGCGACGGGCGGCGCGGAGTGGATGGAGAAGAGCGATCCATTGCATTCGCCCAGGAGCAGGGGCGAATTGACGGACTGTTGCACATGCTTGAAGTCTCCGTCGCAGTTGAAATTGAAGGCATCCTTCTTCGATGGCATGCGATCGATCTCGGGAAAATTCCACGACTGCTGCTGTGCAATGGATCGATATATCGACTCCCTCGAGTCCTGCACGGAAATTAAAGCGCACTCAAATCACTTTGGTTCTCCCAATATCGTCATGGTGTCCTTCGACTGTCATGCTTAAAGTTCGAGGCGGAATCGAAGCATGGCGAAGGCTTTCATGGGTGGGACGTTAAAGAGCTATGCAGAGTAATTGAGTTGCTGAGAGAAAATCAGCTGACTTTGCCAGCGGAAGTTCATTTTGAGGGTGGTTCTGAGGAAAATCAATACTACGCACTCCTCAAGAGATGTGCTGTGCAAAGGGGACGCTTTTCTGACCAACATTACATCATTTTCACTATCCCGCTTGCTATCCTTGTATTGATTTCCCGACAGCCATCTTGGAAAGTTGATGGTCCCACCAAGGCTCAATTGCGATGACCTATATTTGTACAATTCAGTCACTCTGCGGAAATTTTCGCCAAACAGCATTGACAGCAGACGCTGAATTTCCGCAGAAATACAATGGGAAGTGAAAAGCAGAAATTCACCCACACACACTGGCCGAGGGAGAGGAAAATCGATTACATAATGTGATATTCAGAAGTTTACTTACTTGTACGCTCCATTCTCGGGGTAGTGACATTGTCTATGCGAAATTGGTAAAAATCTTTGTTTTTCGCGTTTAAAACCTAAATTCATTGGTTTGTTTTTCTTGGTTGTGGTTATTTTTGAATATATCGAAATAGTAATACTTGTTTTAGTAATGTTTTAGAGGTCTCCCCGAATATAAAATACGAAAACGCCCCCTATCTACTTCGCAGTATCACTCGACAGGCGAAAGAGATTCACCCCCAAAATGGCAAAGAGCCTCTCTTAAATAATTACACTCTTCTTGGCGATTTCACCCTGTTTCACAGCTTCGAATGCGACTCGAGAATCACGTCAGAAAATATGCGATATAGAAAAAAACATAGGGCTTCGCCACTGAGACAGTGAGAGATCCGTGAAAAAAGTGGAGCCTCTCAGATGCCTTGCTCTCTCTAGGTATTGTTGAGTACACAAGAGTCAACGATGAACTGAGTGGAACAGCGCGAATCCACTCCTTCTGACACAGAGTGGAAAATCACCAGAATCGATATTCTACTCCCTGTACGAACCGACCACCCCAGTTCAACCCTCATCGCAACATTGAGTATTGGACACGGCACAAAACTTTTCATTAGTCATTAAAAATTTAGCGACTATTTTTCTGTTGTTGTCTCATATCAATCCGCTTTTCCCGCATGCAAGACATCGTTGCTGAATTTGCCTCATATCTATCCATTCCATCCAATAAAATTCATCAGCTTTATAAGCAGGGTGCTTTCTTCGTTCTCTCTTTGGCATGCGATTATTATCCACTAACTGGTAGAGCGAATTATTCAACAAACAACCCCTTTTCCCGAAATAGATGAGAGATTAAGACTTATTAAGTCGCCCGGAGGTAGGCAAAACTAATAAATTCAAATTATATTGACGTTGCTCATTATTTTATTTTCAAATGACTTTCATCAAATATTTCTTCGCGATAAGATAAGACAAGAAATAAAACATCGTATATATGTTTACAACAAAAATATGTTTTTCTCATTTTATAAATAACGGTAGTAATAGACATAAAGATGTGTTTGGCAAACTTTCTGCACGATATTATTATTAATTTGGTTTTTCTTATATATTGCATACCACTTTGTAATATATTTCCAAATTGTAAAATAATTATGTAGCTCAATAATGCAATAACCGTCTTCAGAGGTTTTTCTGCAAGTTATGTACATACATTGCTTGTTTCACGAAAATTGCTATCTTATCAGGAAATGTACTGATACACTACACTAATAAAATTTGCAAGAAGGCTGTTTTACAAACTGATTATTGTATGTACAACGCGAGAACTTTGCCACAGCAATATAAGATACAATAGATATGGTGAAATGGGGGATTCCTGAGATTATCATGAATTGATTAAGTTTAAAAAAATTAGACTTTCTATTCATTAAGAATTAAACAAAATTTGTCCACAAACTTGATGTACTTTTTAATAAACAAAGCCTTAAACTTTTTATAGAAACTTTACCTATTAATAGCGAGAGGTAAATAAAATAAAATTTTGACTGTGAAATTTATGATTTTCGATTCAGCGAAATTCGCAATATGTATCGACTTCCTGTAGCCAATCACAAGCCACAATTCTTTATCATCTTCTGATAACGTCTGCCATGGTGCACACTCCTCGGACCGCTTAGCAGTCGCTAATATCACGTTAAGTCGTCCAGTTGAAATTATTACACAATAATGAGTCATTGTTCATAACAAAGAGATCTAGAGTTTCGTGAATTTTTGTGTGTTAAAATGCCGCTCGGAAATTCAAGACCACGCCAGGACATGCAGAGGAGCTTCTCCTTCAATCCGCCAACTATGTTGTCCACTTCCTCCTCGCATTCCACAGGATCTGCCACCAGGAATTTCTCCGCGACTAAAATCAGTTCTTCTTCATCATCATCAACCTATCATAGTTACTCGTCGTCGACATTAAATCGTGGTGATGTGTTCAAGAGGGCTTGGAACGACAGGAGTAGCATAAATAAGCCAGATAATTCGCCCATTCTAAAGGATCATCTCACCATTGATCAATCGTTTACAAATATGGAGAAGGAAATACTGAAGCAGCCTTTTAAAACAACCTTGAATGCGCCCTTAGGAACATATTCAAGTAATACGACCACCTGGAGAAACTCTCCCTCTCTGACAGGAGCGACATTTTCTGGTAATTCGTCTATAAGTGCACCAAGATATAAGTCACCGTCAATTCCTTTTGAAGATGCCGTGAAAGCTCAACCAATGAAGACGTCAGCACTGAGTAGCACAAAACCTGCATTATTGTTGACAAATATTCCTATTGGGCTGGAAAAGAAAAGCATTAACAATCCAGTCAGCAATCCTGTGAGGAAACCTGTCACACCAGAAACGCCAACCAAGGCCTCAAGTGTGTATGACATATCAAAGAAAGGCTTTGCGCTTATCTTCAACAATGAAAAATTTGATCAAGACCATCAAGCATTCAGAACCGGAAGTAGAAATGATGAAAATGAACTGAAAAAAACTCTTGGGCGATTCAACATTGATGTAAAGGTGGAGAGAGATGCGAATTTGAATACCATAGAGAAGAAAGTCAAAGAAAGTGAGTATCAGAATTTGACATCTTTCTTTTTCTTTTTTGTATTGGTTTAACATTTGCTACTTGATTAATAATTCTAGTCAGCAAAATGGACTTCAAGAAGAAAAGTTGCCTCATCGTTTGCGTCCTGAGTCATGGCAATGAAGGTCAAACTATTTTTGCCAGGGACAGATCATACAATCTCGATAAGGACATCATTGAACCCATTATCCGGAATGCTACTCTCGCAGGAAAGCCGAAGATCTTCATCGTGCAAGCCTGCAAGGGTTCCGTTCAGTCTGTGGGATATGTCATGACAGACAGCACGCAGGTGAAAACGTCCTTGACGAAACCGTCCGAAGCTGACATTCTCATCCTGTACTCCAGCTACGAAGGCAGAGTTAGCTACAGAATGGACGTGGGGTCGATCTTCATCCAGAAGCTGTGCACTTTCATTAACAGCAATCACAGAACGGACAGTCTTGAAGACATCATGAAAAAGACTCGCCGAGACATAACAGATCATGCTCAAATTAAGTAAGTACTCAAACCGATAAGATTTTATCAACTTTCATTATATTTATATACTGACGATATCTTATTCTATTGCTTTAGTCGTGCATTTAATTATATTATATATATATATATATTCTCTTGAAGCAAAATCTTCAAACAAACTCCAACAATGGTTTCAACTCTCACTAAGGATTTCTTCTTTACTGTGTGAGAAAAAGAATTAATGAGGATCACAACTGCAAAAACTTATTTAGCTTCGAAACAGTGCATTAATTAAATTTTTTATTACATAACTAGTTTACAAAAGTCCAATTCAATTGAAAAATGAAATATGAGAATTATAAGAATCATGTAAGGATGCACAATACGTATATCTATTTAGGTATGCTCTATACTATCATAATTGTTAAGTATTTAATTTAATATATATTATAACACAACAATTGTATTTTCGCATTACAAATAATTTTTTTCTGAGAAACAGATTGTGAATTATTGCTTATGGTGATAAATATCTCCTCATTAATAAAAACTATAAATGATTCCAGTCGTTGGTTTTTATCACTTCATTCAAAAAAGTGCCATAAAGAATTATGGCGCGAAGTGCGCCTATCTTCATACTGTACAGGGTGTCAGACGTCACGGTCTTCTCCATCGTGTGCTCGCGTGAATCGAAGAGAAAAGGTGAGTCCTCTGCAAATTCCTCACAAATCTGCGGAAAATCCCCATTTCCTTGAGGTCCTACAGTATCTTCATCACAAAAGAATCTCGCCGAAGATATAAATAACGTGAAAATCGCGCTGGAAAAGCGGCAAATCCATTTTGCCGTGTGTTATGTAATGTGACTGGATTTTTGCAACCTTGAGAAAATTGAGTTTTCCCTGTGCAAAATGCAATTTGGCATCAATAATGCTGAAATTCTTCTCGTTTTTCCGCAGATGTTTGCGTCAATCTATGAGGCTGCCCGCCATTCGGCCCTTCGCGGGCCCCTCACGAAGGTGCAGTGCGAGGAGGCTGCCCAGGAGCCCAGCAATGGCGCCGTGGTGCCTCTCGTGACCGGTCGCCAGATCGCCGCCGCCGCTGCTCCGGTTGAGGGCGATTCCTGCGAGTTCGGCTCCCTCAAGTACTACGGCCTCTGCTGCTTCGGCGGCACGTTGTCGTGCGGATTGACGCACACAGCTGTGGTGCCCCTGGATCTGGTGAAGTGCCGTCTGCAGGTGGACTCGGCCAAGTACAAGAACCTCATCACCGGCTTCCGTGTCACGCTCAAGGAGGACGGTGTCCGCGGTCTGGCCAAGGGATGGGCCCCAACCTTCTGGGGCTACTCGGCACAGGTGAGTTGTGCGTGCGTCACTGAGCAATTATCCGAAGATAATCTGAGAAATGTGACTTTCATTGCGAATTCACGACTCTGAATCGCCTCAGTCACGTGAAATGCAAGTGACTGAGATTTCGAAGACTCATATTTCTCTTCTTTTATTGATTTAAGAGTGTCTCTTGAGTTGATAAGGAAGCGTATGGTCTTATTACTCAATTCTAGTAAACTAGTAAACCCGGAGATGTTCAGTTTTGGGTTAAAACGACCCTTTTTGAAGCCTATTGTTAAAGAAAGTCCATTACCTGACTTAACAACCCAAATCCAAGCTTGAGTTTCGAAGAAAGTATATCAGACATTCGGATTGCATAATAAAATTGCATAAGTCATCCAGTTGTGCTGACTGGCCAAATACCTCCGGTTGGGCGCAATGTGAAATCTTCACTCACTGCTTATCTCTCAAACCAATCCATTAACCCAAGGGAAGGGTAGGCATGGGACTCAGCGTCTTATCAACGAGAGAATATATTGTCAGCTGGCTAATGAATGTGATTTCTTTCGCAGGGTATGTGCAAGTTTGGCTTCTACGAGGTGTTTAAAGTCTACTATGCTAATTTGATTGGAGATGAGAATGCCTACTTGTACCGAACATCTCTGTATCTGGCCGCATCGGCGTCGGCAGAGTTCTTCGCCGACATCGCTCTGTCTCCCTTTGAGGCGGCCAAGGTGAAGATCCAGACCACTGCCGGCTACGCTAACAACTTCCGCGAGGCTGCGCCAAAGATGTTTAAGGAGGAGGGCATTGCTGCCTTCTACAAGGGTCTCGTGCCGCTGTGGATGCGTCAGATTCCGTACACCATGATGAAGTTCGCCTGCTTTGAGCGCACGGTGGAGGCCCTGTACCAGTACGTGGTGCCCAAACCGCGGGCGGATTGCACCAAGAGCGAGCAGCTGGTAGTTACCTTCGCCGCCGGCTACATCGCCGGTGTCTTCTGCGCCATCGTGTCGCATCCGGCTGACGTGGTGGTGTCCAAGCTGAACCAGGCTAAGGGCTCCACAGCCGTTCAGGTGGCGAAGGAGTTAGGCTTCATGGGCATGTGGAAGGGCCTGATGCCCCGTATCATCATGATTGGTACACTCACGGCGCTGCAGTGGTTCATCTATGACGGCGTTAAGGTGGCACTTCGTCTGCCACGCCCGCCGCCGCCCTCGATGCCCGAGTCCCTGAAGCAGAAGCTCGAGGGTTCACAGTAGGACGCAAAACAATTAGAGAGCTATCGTAAATTAAATTAAAATCAGAAGACAGAGAATAACGAGAAAAGAAGCACGGAGAAAGGCTGTGCTGGTAAATGGCTGGCTTCTCTCTGCGAGAATTTCCTGCAAAATATTCAATCATTCTTTCGAAGCGCAGTATTCTGTTCGAATATTCAACACTCCATGGATTTGTCTAGTTGAGACAAATCCAAATAGCGCATTTCACTTTTAACTATCTTCTACAAAATCAGTGTATATTTTTATTTTGTTTGGAATATTATGTATAATGTAGACGGAATGTATAATATTCATTCATGATTGAGAACTCAATAAAATCGAGCAGAATGTTGAACAATATCACTCATCTTTCAATTTAGATAAGCTGTGCTCCCCCATGAGTCACCAGCATTACGTCAAACTTCTCTGCAGTGGCTGTGTGAGATTGCAAACTGAAGAACTTTACTCATAGCTTCACTAGCTACATATGGAAATACCGCGTGGAATAATTTTATTCACACTACACCGTGTTTACTGAGAGCTTAGTAAAGAATTGTAATAATTTGTAAATTGTCGAATGACTATTGAGCAGTGAATTCGTATGTTTATAACAGATATTCAGCAATCAGTTGATTTCTATTTGATATAATTATGATATCGAGTGAAAATTTCTAAGATCATTTCAAATATCACTTCAGTGTTCAAAAGTCTTGCAATTTCAAGTGTTTACATTGCATAAGTTTGTTAATCTGCCGCGCTTTGCCGCACTTTAGACAATAAATTTTTCTCAGAACATTAATGGAATATTTCGCGGAAAATTGTACGCGTGTTTTGCGTTCCTTCTCTTACCTTTGATCTATAAGAATTTTTCACTTCATCTGAAAACATTAATACGTAACCGCTGGCTTAATGATGCAACAATCTGCCAAAGATTCACAAGTGATCTTGTTTTGCTGAGCTGAGCCTGGATTCCGTCTCAAGATTGCTGGTGAGATAAGAGGCCACATAATCCACCCTCTTAACATTAAGAGACAACGCAGAGGTTAATTATAAAAAAATATTTTATTTTGTATACAGTTCTTCACAAATTTAAAATTCTCTTCAAACTTACAGAGATACCTAGAAAGTAGCAATGTACTCCTGCATACCATGATGACTTTCGATCAACAAAAGTCCTCGCGATAAATATTTCAATATCGATTTTACACATTTCTAATGCTACAACATAAGGATAATTTAAAAATTAATGTAGGCTGCACAGATAAGCAAAAAAATCATTCATATGTGGAAAAATAGGTAAAGAACAAAACAATAATATTATCAACTAAAATTGTTTTGAAAGTTGATATAGGCTTCAAACTGAAAGTCTACAGACTAGACACTAATTTAAATTATCAGTATGCATGTTGATAAACAAATTCTCATCACTATCTGCATAATCATCGAAATATTGTGTACACAAAATTTATTATTCAGTATTATTATCAGTTTGCAGAAAAGAAGAAACTCAAGTGTAGAATTGTTTCTTTCCTTTGCTAAATTACTTTATATTTTCCTTTAACATTATGCAAATTGTACATCTTGATGGCTTTGTTATTACATAAAATCATATTTTATTGCTTTCGCCCTTTCGGACAGCATAAATTAGTGATTCGTATTCCCTCTCGACAATTTGTTTTCATCATTTAGTTCAGTCTTTTAGTTACCATTTTCATCAATTCTTATTTTTCTCGTCATTTTGCGATAAAAAAAAACAGGAGAATAAAATTTCAATAAGTTGTAACTTTTTCGGCATGGGAAGACGTTACAAATTTGTATCGCTCATTTTTCTGATATATTTTATTTGTAGTTTTGCAAAGTTTTCGTCGCTTTCTCTCCAGACACAATTAAATAGGAGGGCTTCGGGGGAATATATAGAAAAAAATAATTAAGGACAATATGCATCAACTATCAGGTAGAATAAAATAAAAATTTGAGTATGTAATTTCTTCACAATCAACTTTTACTGTTTTAACAGATCAACATAGAGCTGCAAAATAAGTGCTGCTTTTCACTCACTCCCCAAACTTCACTAAGATTACCTCTCGCTCGATGTTGTGCGATCATGTGGAACTTCTTCAAGAGCGCACCCCCAAGTAGTTTCTTTGACACTGAAAAAGAGCCAAGAAAGACGGAAGAACCATGAGTAAAAATTGTTTAGCAATGCCCGGAATTCGTTGAAATATGAGGTCAATGGAACGAAAAATTACATTATCCCGCCAAAATCGATACGAGCGAGCGCCAAATTTTCAAGTGCCCACATTGGATCGCGATTTGACCAGAAACAGAGCGAGAAAAAATCACGCGACCAATTAGTTGGGATCAAACGACGGGGTCAGCCGCAGAGTGTCGCAACTTTTTCCCAGTCAGTCTGAAACTTTAACAAGATTGCGAGGGAACTTTACTGCGCCACTCTGTTTTCCACTCCCCCGTGATCTTCTCTTAATTGGTAATGAAATGCAAAAACAACAAACAAGCGTCTCAGCAAGCACGTGTTGGAAGAAATATGTAAGTGAGAGCGGAAAAAGTGTCCAAGTATATAGTGAGAAAATCTAAGTGCAGTGCTTTTCCATGTCCAATTTGGCGTTTGATTGACGCATGAAAACTTCCTGATCGAATTGTGATATATGTGAGCATGGCGCTTTCTGGAGGGTATTCATTTAGTTAATTTGGATTTTAATCATGGAAATTCTTATTGCTGCATCAATTAATTTAAAAAGTCACTATCGACGGGTTACATTTGCGGCTCAAAGCTCAAATAATAGGGCACTCTGTGTGCTATCATGTTAGAGAAGTCAATTGCTGCAAAGCATTTCCACAGCTAGATGAATACCCCTCGTTCCACGGAAAGCGAGATAGAAAAGTGTGTATGATCTTGTGTGTTTGTGACTATGAACTTGGATTTGGCCAGAAGGCAAGGTTAATCCAATATGTGTGTCGTGTTGTGTACTATCGCTAATTAGGTCAAGTTTTCCCATAGTGAGACACTCACGTTTTCAATGTGCGGCTCTTCCCCCCAAAATTTTGATGTCGATTCCCAGAGTGTGACGGAAGAAATGGATATCCTGTAGGGTGCGTCGTCCGGTGTGAGTGATGATGACGATCAACGCATGGAGAGACTCACCAGTAGGGACTCTCTGTCTTATTCCAAGAGCTCACTTCCGGCCACGAGGGCACCTTGATGCCCTGCTCACCCGAGCTGATGGCGCACTTTGACTGAGCCTTGGCGCGATCGAAGCTCACGAATGTGTCGCTCGCCTTGTCAGACAGTCGCTTCGACAGCGTGTAGTTGCGTCCGTCGTTGTTGTCCCAGAACTCGCGATCGTTGCAGCGGAAGCACACGCAGAACTCCAGAGTTTTGGACGCAGGCGGCAGGGTGAGGCGGAAGGAGAAGGTGTCATACAGGACATAGGCGCCGGACGCTCCGGACACCTTTGAGAACACACAGAAGATGTCCTCCTGGCTCTTCCAACTGTCCCACGTAGCCCTGACAATCACCTCCTTGGTGAAATGCAGATTCTTCACTTTCACCGTTCCCACGACAATCGAGTCATTCTCCTTCACAATCACATTTTCCAGAGACACATTCTTCTCCTCAAGCTTTTGCCTGCAATAGGGGAAAACAATTAATTTTCATTATCACCAGCGATAAGTGCAACAGCAAAGTAACAACAAAAACAGGAAGAAATCTTGTCAATCAGACGAGAAACTAGTGGAATATTTCCACAACTTTTCCCCATACAAACAATATGCTTTACCATCAAAATGCTGATCCCCTTCTAACTCTCAAATACTTCTACTCACCGGAATGCTAAGTAGTCTGATGCCGGCTGCTGGAAGTCCACCACCCACTGTTCTGGCGGCACAGGACTGATCATGCCCTGTGTCACGTGCGCCAAGAACTGCAGGCTCCAGAAGGGTGGCACGTTCGACGGCTCCGACATCACTTTCACCTGCACCAATTCGAGGCCCTTGTCGTCAGCAAATATCACACGCTTCTTTATCCGGCCAGGCTCTGAGTCTCTCTTTGTCACGCTCGCCTGGCAGGACGACGAGCTGAGGATGTTGGCATCGGTGTGAGTGATCAGGCATGATCGCTTGGGCGTGTTAGCCATCTTGATCGACAGCGTGTTCTTCCTTTGGTTTGTTGGCGACGCCAGAAGCACCGATGGTCGGTAGCATGGCGCTTCAAAAGGTCGTCTGAGGAAAGGATGAGAAATAGAGTGTTTTCAGGGCACATTTTGAGACTTGGCAAATGGCGTACACTTACCTAAAATTAACTGTGCAATCACTGAGAAATCCGGTCGGTGGACTGTGACTGAACACCGGAGGGCTCTGGGAAATCACCATATCGTAGTTAACAGGCATGATTGTAAGCTTTTATCTGGAAAAAAGAGAGAAAAAGTCTTAAAAACTCAGAACATATCCAAGTATCTGCAAGAAGTTTTCCGATTCTTTTACGACTATTCGGTTGATGTTAAGCAATAATAACGGTGCCTCAGATCGGATGATTTCTGAAACATGTTCAGGTAAAATTCAAGCAACTCATCATGCCAAATCTCTCTCCGATTTTAATGGGGTTTCTATTGTAATTTTCACAACACCATTTCTTCTGCTCATGTCTGCACATTTCAACACTTCATCCGATTTTTGTCACGAGATATAAATTTCTACACCAATAAAGCGCTATTATTAAGTTTCTTTTGCATATATGTATTTTTAGGATATAAAGAAATTCATATGAAATTGCGTGTTGGTGGTTAAAAATAGTGATTAAACCATTTTGTTTATTTTCATAGCCCAAAATTGTATTTGCCATGTATTTCTATATATCATTCTCCTTGTGTATATTAAAATGCGAAAATTGTGTCTCTAAAACTTGTGCACATTTGTTGACAAAATCGTGAATATACCAATGGACGCGTGTTTAATGTTACCGAATGCCTAAGAGCTCGCGGTTTGCCTCATGTTAAATATTAGCTTGTGTGCTTTTAATTCTCTCTAAGATTTTTCTGCCATTTCCACGCTTATGTTTATTGGGAGGAACTGACGAAAGAACTATTAATGAGATGAGAACACAGCATCGGTTTTGTTTACATATCGTCCGATTCTGGGTGTCTAGAAGACGTTTAGGACTTTCAAGGTCAAGCAGTTCAAGCACCTCTACGAAATTCTTATCGTGATGTTTTTCACAGCTTTTGAAATTCCTCAACTAAGCCTATGCTGGGCACTATATATATAAGTGAGCTGATAGTATCACTGTTGTGAAAATGAGAGAGAGGGAGAGAATTGTGTGTGGCAACAGCCTCATCCTAATCGTGTCTTGCAAAATTTCTTGACATTGTGATAGGCCAACGAGGAAAAATGTGATCCAATGTGGCACGAGGTCAAAAATGTTTCGGAAAAATCGGAAATGCAGTTAGCAAATAGCATGTGGCAAATCACCCATGATAAGAGTCGACTTTTTGTCATCCGACGATTCTGGTCAAGGATATGATAATATGGGAAAACTATTCTGTGGAAATTCCGAGTAGTGTTGAGAAAACTGACAAGTACATTAGTAATAAGAATTAGAAGCATATGCATGGATTGATATTTCGACGCGCAATCAACGACTTAATAAGTCTAATAAGCACATTTGTGCGAAATTGAAAGAAAATGATCCCCCAAGTCACGACCTTCGACTCGCCGCGGTGTCAGTTGAATTGCAGATATCACTACACTTTTACTCATTTATATAAATGAAATTGAAAATATATTAAATGAGGTCTTAAATAATGTTGAAATTTAGGAAATTTTTAAAATCTTTTTGGAATATCTTCTTGTGTGGCACCTTGAACAGTATAATTACTTTCTCCAGATAAGCCAATGTTTTAGGCCCATTTTCACCTTAATGACAGGAAGCTTTCTACCCACAACTAAAAGGTCTTTCATCTCAAGACAATAAACTTTCGAAAAATTCACGAAATGTTTGAAAATAGCCACGGGATGATCTGCTTTAGAAAACCTCAGCGAGAGACTGATGATCACGTACATTCAGCATGATTTCTCTCTCTCTCTCTCTCCCTAGTTATGTATATTATTTAGTGAAGTGCCACCATTTATTGATACTCCCCCTTTTAAATGTCTATGCGATATGATTGGCGCCAATTAAACCACTTATGTCTGGATGGATCGCCGATACTTTGTGAACCGAGAAGACACCAGGCGAATTCCAGGCACTTCCAATAGGCAACTTGGACGCGTCGTCTCTACGCCACTCGGGCACTCGTGGTGTTTCTCCACTATTCGAAATATGTGTATTCACTATCAGTTGCAGTAGTGATTGTAGTATTGTGACTCAAACGAGTGGCCTTTATCTTATAGTTTACAGCTATGAAATGGTTCAAGACATTTACCTCAGCGTGTCCTGCTTTCGAATGTTTTGAATTTATCAGTATGAGAAAAAGTACACGTGGTTAAAAGCCATCGCGGCTTGAAGACACTGTGGCAAGATGAGGGTATAAGTTGTGAGGGAAAAGAGAAAATAGTGTTGTGCAGAAGAAATTTCACTGGCGGTCGGGTGCGAGAGAGGAACGGAGTGACTGTGCGAGAGAGAGAAAGAGGCCATTTCAGACCTACCTCATCATTATCAGCCGGCGCCTACGACCGCCAGTCGTAGCCTTCGTGAGATTCACGCGTTCAACTCGTGCACAGTGGCCAAAACTGAACAGTCTTGGCATGTGTATGCACACGCAATACCTTTTCAAAATTTCATTCTCTCTTCCCTCTTTCGAATTTATTTTTAGCACGGAATCAAGACTCGCTGTATTGGTTGATGAAATCGCGCCGACAGACGCGCGAGACTCCATGGATATCTTGTCTGGATTTTAACACATATATAGGCGTCCAATCGTAATCGGAGATATGCCAAATTGAAAATACATGCTTCCATGGAAAACCAACATGAGACACTCTCGGGTGGACATACATTAGTCGCAACTCTATACAGACACTCTCAATTTAGGGGGAATTAAAAGAGAGCTTTGCAGCCAAGAGCCGTCGCGGGCTAAAAATAAACTTTCACCACCCGAGTATTATATAAAATCGAACAGAAAAAATACTTGAATCATGCCGCCAATTGAATTTACTTGGACTGATTTCGTCAGGGACTCATCATCGTTCTATTCATTGGAAGCAATCAACTCTTCGCAGAGAGTGAAATTTTCACCAGATTCACTTTCAAAAATGCCAAGTGAATTTTCCATTTGTGAATTTTCCCATATTTCATTTTGAATGTCATCCTGTCACAATTAAAGAAAAAGTGTTCCAAGGATTTAGTGTAGACAGCCACAATTCAAAGTGAATTGGATCTTATCAATTTTACAGGCTACAATATGTTCACAACAAATCGCATGGCTGACATAATTTCTTTGAAAATTGAAAACATTTTTTTGCGAATTATCTAATTTTAGTGGAATGAATCCAGAAAATATATTAATACGTCTGCTGACATAGTTTTTCTCAAGATTCCTTTCTTATCATTGAAACTGAGGGAATGTTTTTGCTAATTGCAAACATTGATAGGGACTTTATAAAGTTCAAAAGTGAAAACCTTTTGCGTTTCTTTCAACTAACAATGAAGTTAAAAATAAAGCGTTTTGTCCAATTAACTTTGTTGTTGTTTAGGAAGAAATGAAAACTTTTTATAAAGTTATCAAATCGCAAATAGACACATATTTGTTAAAAATTCCGCGAATGCAAGTCTGTGTAATACATTTTACTGCGATTTTCTCTTCAATATATTCTGACAGTTTGAAATGAACATGCATTTTAACATCTTTATCCAATTTACAGATCACATTCTCTCTAAGCAGTCTTGAGTGTCCATTTTCTTACGCCAGTCAGTGTGTTTCTTGTAGATTTATGAATGAAAAACGCCAACCAAGCGATGCTTTATGTAGTTCTCTATTTCCAATAATGTCGACACTCTAGCGAGGATTTTATCGAGAAGTGCGACCAAGAAATCCTGTCTCAGCTCAACTTTATTCAGCACTTCGATACAATGTCTGTGGAATGTCTATTGAGCTGAGGAATTATACAATAAAAGAAAGGTTGACGCAACTTGAGATGCATGATAAGAGCGACATTGTTTTGAAAATTTATGCTCAGCAAATAGTGATTTATTTACTGTGAAAAGTCACAGGTAAAAGTGTGAGAGAGCTTTCTTATCACTTCGCACACGCCGTTTATTTTTTCACCACACTAATTCCAGTCTGAACTGAGTGATTGAGGGGATTGTCTTATCACTCTGATTACAGTGTTTGCTGTTCAGACTCATGAGTGCTCAAATAATTAGCAGAGTAATAATATTTTATTGCAGAATTTTGCAAAAACTTTTGGACGTTTTGTATCTTATCATAATTGAGTTTTTCTCTATATGTATTCCATTATATTCTTTATGACTTGACTCTTTTGCATTAATTAGCCTAATTGCATGGCAATTCTTCTATTTTTCTCCCCAACAGACAGTGTAATTGAAATGTAAAATTACTTTTTTGCGCCTTTTGCATTTGCGGCTTCTTTACATTCAAAACTGCGGTGCTTTATTTCCTCAAAAATAATCAATCATTCTTACCCCCCAAGACGGTTCAGCCCTCTTTGCCTATTGTCTCTAGGACGACGATCCGTCCCTGAGTGCAGAAATGCATGCGGTTGTTCGCTCGAGAATCCCATTGAGAGATATTATGTGCCACCCACGCTAAAAATTTCTTGTGGTGCAAATTTATTTTGCCGGTACAGTGCAAATTCGATTGTGATCTTGAGGCTTGAAGTGCCAGAAGTGCGCCAGACAAGAGTTTAAAATGCACACATCCGGACACACCGAATGAACTACAATGTGGGTTTCCGCGGAGAGGAGTTCAGGCCAAATAAATAAATCATTATACCTTCATGGCATTCAATGGTGCAGTGGAAACCTTCATGCAGTGCCGAGATCAGTGTCTCTTCTCATAAGAAACATTTAGTGCTGCGCGAAAAGCCTGTGATTTTGCCTATTTTTGTAACAATTATTAAGGCGTTTTGCCTGTGAGATGATTATCTCCCCACAGAGGCGGTAACAAACATCGTTTTAGGCAAATCCAGGCCAATGAACTCCTAATCACTTGAAACTTCTATCGCAGCCACTAATAAAATTCGCGCCTGTCTCTCTTAATCGGATCTCTTGGCCTTTCATCATGTAATTACAGCACTTGATAAAGAATTTGAGCTAATTTTGAGACGCACCACAATTGTCCTTCCTCTTCGTCCATTACCCTCAGGCGGTAATGCTCAACATAAGAACGCGATAAAGACCAATGAAACGTACAGCAGAAAAACCATAGTGATACATTTCAAAATCATTGTCTGAAATTCCATCTGTAGTGCTGGATTTTCATGGTGGAATTCCTCCATCATGTTCAATTGCAGCCACACTCAAGGGGTGACCAGCTAATTAAAATAAGTGATGGTAGAGTTTATAGACCTAAAATATTCTCATAAACACTTGAATTAGCATCTTGAAATCCTTTTTGCAATATTCAATGAATGAACAACTTGTTGTAGATCGACTCATTAACATCCCAGACATACTCATATCTCATTATGAACAGACATCGTCAATCTTGTTAATGCCTTCTGACGCTTGAAGCAAGACTTTGACCAACATTTCCGTTTTCTGCCCCAGACTTGCCATCACGCCGAAAGCACCAGAGCTTCTTTAATGAGCAACCCCTTGAGCAACGTGAAAAGGGAATAAATTATCGAGTAACATTGAGTCTGATGATGGGTACAGACGAAGGAGAAACATCTTGGTGGATGCATTGGTGGAAAGATTTATTATTCCCACGTCTATATAAAATTTAATGTTTTCCGCATAAGTTTAATAATTTCTCTCCGATGTTGGCCACTTTCTTAGGCTCTTCCCATCCCATGTTGCGATCTTGTGGTGCACAACATAAACGTTACAATTTTTCAAAATATTAATTGAACAGGTTTATGCATTCTCATTTGCACGCAACCCACGTTGTCCTCATGGCGAGAGAGGGTTTCGCCTCTCGACCAGCCCAGATTGACACACACTCGCGCGCTGAATTCCTCCACCGAACAGTGGATAATAATTTAAAGTGCGCGAGTCTGCCAGAAGACAGGCCTGATGAGAACAGGACTTGGCCGTGGACGAGAGTGTGGGATGATCGGTCTCTAGTCAATGAGTTTATTAAAACTTTAACTGCATCCAATTATGGAATGCTCCCATATGACGGTGCCCTGTTGATGTTCTTGCCTTTGCGCCCTCCTCGATTAATTTTAATTTCACAGTATAAACATGAAGGATTTTAATCTCGCGCTCTCTGCCCCGTTCGCTACACTTCAAGCATGCGCTGCCCACAGAAAAGGGAGTAAAGTGAGAAAGGTCAGTTTATTCAACTGATAAATCACTCGAGTAGCCAGACAAAAAATGTCATTCTCTCTCTTGTTAAGATTTTAAATTTAGCACATTGGGCGCCTTTTTACACACTTAAAACTGGTTGATTACAAGGAAAGCGCCATAATTTTTGGGCAGCCCAATGATAACAATTTAACACCATTTTCAGGGTTTTGACCGCACATGTAATGTTTGATGAGCAAAAAGAAAGTCGAAATTGGCACAAAGCTAATGTATATTTGCCCAATTATTAACATCTTCACGAAAGTACTGTTGAAATTTACATTGTTCTCTACACACAAACGAAATTTCATGCTGAATTAAATGCCCATTAACAAGATACTAATATAGAGAAAGCACAATTATGTAGCTTCAGTAAGGAATCAATTTTTCTGAATGGTATTCTAATTCTATGAAGCGTTGATTAGTTTAGAATATTGAATCTAGTGCATAAAATTAGGCTCATTCAATGCAATGTTACTGAGACAATAGAAAATCGTGGTTCAAGAGAGAAGAGATCTGAAAATTGAGAAATAAAATTTCAATATTTGATCAAGTGCTGTGCTGATCAATTCTTTACTCAAAACTTGTAACGCGAAGCATCGTTCAAGGCATCCAAGCGAACTGGGACAGCAAAGAGACCCAAAAGGACAGTGACTTTTGGATCATGTCTTGCTGGAATTGTAAATTAACATCAGAGACATTCTCCCTATAGAAGGCTACATGATCGTTAGATTTGATTAGCTTGGGAAAAAGAGTGAAACATTTTCCAGATGCATCGGCACTCATTCAAATTTCACCGAGTTCTGCAGATTGTATCATTCTCCAGTTCGATTGCGTGAACTTTCTAAAGTGCTTCTCACCTTGTTGGACACGATCGCATTGATAAGTCGGCATAAATTTGAATTTTCTGCAGACGCGACCACGATGGCTATTCTCGTGAAGTGCTACACACATAATCATCAGTGTGTATTTCTTTTCGGCTTCAATTAAAGACCACGCGAAAATGATTGGGAGCCTCAGTCCGCGTAGCCAGTTCAATCCAGATCGCGAAAAACTTATAGCCTCTTCGGCTGGTTTGTCAACTGAGAGAGGAGGGCACCTCTCAATTTAGTCACGCACTCAGCGAATGATGATAATAATAGACACACTTGAGCTTTTTTTCAGCGATCCATTTGACAACAGACTTTTCCAGCGCGCCTATAGTCAACTCTATACAGTGACGAGGCATCGCATTTGCATTCAGTCGACGGGATAATCTTATTTACGATTGTCTCGGTCAAGATATCTGCGCGAAAAATTTAAGACGGTGAAATGCAGGAGGAATTTCCAGTTTGGCAAGACTAATTGGTTGGGAGGGGAAAATACGGTTTAGGATATTCTACCCGCCTTGATAAGGCGCCGAATGGGAGAAAAAGCCAGTTGGGGAGACGCAAATTTGCATTCGATGCTAATTATGCGATGGTACACGTGAGGTCAATGATTGAGGTCATTTGAGGGTTGTGATATCACGCCACCATTTCTCTCCAGCCCGATGGAATCTGTCCCAGGCCATTGAAGAACTTAATTGTAATTTATAGGCGACTTTCATCATCGCCCACAAGACTCTCTCTTTGGCAGTCTTCAGGCGCACAGTATCAGCATTAGACACTATATAATTTTCTTCTCTGAAAGCAGTTAAATCAGTGATCAAATTTCAAGGCACAAATGAAAAATATTTAAATGTATTGAATTAGTTTTCACTAACAAAACAGACCTCCTAGAATAAATCCAAAGTGCAGTAATAAATCATTGCCATATCCCTGCTTTTAAAGTCGTAAAATAGAACGAAAGTACGGGAAAGTGCCGACGTGTCAAATTCAAAACAGCAATCTTGGCTGGGATTTGAAATATTATGACTAGATCAATCAAATTGATTGTGGTTTTTACAGTTAAGAACTGATGCAGAAAAATATACTTTTCTTTGGAAATTACAAACTCTAACCATTCTTGTATTTCGAGGTGTGAAAAAAAAGCAAACAGACCCTGAAAAATCGTCTTTGATCTGTCCTCAGTAAGCAGAGAATGGAGTTTTGAGAGATCTGATGAAAGACGAACATTTGAAACACTTTTAATTACATATTCAGATACCGCAAAAATGTCAATTGGAGAGAGAAGTGAAATATCTGGCATCTGCAAGAGCCGTTTTGCGCAAATTGGCTATTTTCGAAAGTTCATCTCATCGGATGGAAACACATGCTTAGAGACAGTAAAACTGGCAGTGGGAAATGCACGATTTTCATTTCAATTGAAGGAACATAATTTATAAATAGCCTTTTCATTGGAGACAACTTGTGTTAATTTTGCCTCAAGTTGAAGGTTAGCAATTTCAGGGAAATACTATCGACTAAGTCGCATTCTGCTCGCAGCGTCCATGGAAAGGTGACTGTATGATTGCACGCATAATTAGAGACTTCCTAAACAGACGGACTGAGAATAGTGGGATAAAGCAAAGTGTCTCTTACCTTTCTGAGTATGTGGAGGAAGAGTAAATATCTTGTAGAGATTTTATATTGCACAATTCACGTACACACGATACTTTGAGGCGAGGAGGAGACGTATATAAATTGAAATTGTTTAATTTAAATTTATATATATATAGAGTTAAAGTTAAATCACATCATATTCAGTAACTCTAACGGAGAGTGGTACAAAAAATCATCTGCAGAGGCACTAAAGAGACAATTTACAGAAATATCAGGATCAGTTCATGGCTATTTGATAGCGCTTCTCTCTAAGAGTTCCCTAACTGTTCTTCACGAGCGGCCCACCCGGACTGGAAGGCGCACACAATACGAGAGCGGGTGGATTAAGTTAAGTAGCTACTGGGACACATTCGCTCGCGATGAATTCACACACCCTATCCGCGAGGGATCTGGCACGGCACAGCACAGAGAGAGAGAAGGGAACTTTGTATAGGAATCAAGCCACAATATGGCAAGCTCTGGTGAGACGTGCGCCAGGCGCAACTATTTGTGAGGTACTGATAATGGAGTTGTCGTTCGATCGGCCTGTGAGCAGCGCTCTCAAGAGCACGCCTCAGCCACATTTCCCCCGCCAGTCGACTGATTGCGCCGATCTGTGCGTGTGTGCATGATCTATGAATGGCAATGCCGGCCACCTCGTCCTGGCCAGCTCTCCTCGCCTAGCCGACCGAGAGAGACGCGTGCGCCTCTCCATGACAATCTCGAGGCGCACTGAGGCGCACAGAGGCGACACTCTGTCGATAACCGGCATGTCCGCTCCGTGAGAGAGAGTTCACAGAGATCAGCGGGGGCTTCTCGGCGCACACACACACTCCCGCGCGACTGGGGCTGTCCCCAGAGGTTGCTCGCCGGGGCAATGCAATTACTTCTGAAGGGTTTGTCACTTGCCGAGAAGGGAATCCTGAAGAATTCATTGCGTGTGTCTCGCGTTAATTCAAGAAAAGTATGCATGAATACGCGCTTCTTTTAAATACTTGTCTTGGATCCAAGATAATTTGTCTCATTCTTCAAGATGAGGAAATTCTTTCAGACCTCTTGTATCTCAGAAGATCCGAAGACAAGGTCTCCTGTCGGAAGTGCTTGAACCTTTTGCCAAACTTCATGTCAAACACAGAATTGATGAAGTTTGGAAAAATCTTATAAATTTTCTCTTATAACTTGCACTAGTTGCAAAACTATCACTTTCTTTTAACTAGTGAGTAGCCTTTGAGAATAAATCATTTCAGAAGAAGATTTTAAAAATCAAACTGTTTGTGAATTTGCTGTGGAAATTCAATATTGGCAAAAGTAGAGATCAGTCTAATTAGACTGGTTGTTTTGACGCCCTCAATGCTGTTCTCAAACATTCTGCCCATACATATGTCAAATGTTTTGGCTAAAAATAGCCAGCAATTGTGATAATGCGCCTAACAAGTGCACTAATAGACGGTGGATCCTTCACAAGTCACCCCGAAACTCATCACGCTAGTCACGCTTTTAGGCTCTGCGGCGCCACGAGATCACACTTCCCCTGCGCTCAGCCTCTCAACACGGGCCTCATCCGGTTTTTGAGGAGAATATTCGTGAAAACTTGTTAGCAATTCCCAATCTGGAAGAATAAATTACGGCATTACAGAGAAACCGGGATCTCTCACGACGGGATAACATTGAAATTTTCTAAAAGACACTGCAAATCAAATATTTAATTTTGTTGCTTAGATCCATCCGATTTGGCTGCGAGGAAGAGGCACAATCAACACATGTAATGAGCAAAAAGAATCCAAACAAACAGAAAGCAAGGTGGAGTTTTCAACTGGGATTTGCAGTGTGTAGAAATGATTGAAAAAAAATCCGAAAGATCCGATGTCGGGGGAGTTATGAAATAGAGGCCATGCCATTTGTCCCACAAATCACTTATCGGAGAGCTTTTGAAGAACACTCCAAAAGCGATATCTCTAGGCATTTGACCTACGCATCAAATTGCAGGCGGATAAAGCACAAACATCGACGGGTCACCTTATTTTCCAACATTTGCACTGTGACATAAATTTTCCTCCCGAAAATTTTTCCTTCAATTCCAATTTCACTCGTCTGAGAAAGCCAAGATTGTGCTAAATGTGGATGAATTTGTGTCAAAATATTTATTGAAAATATTTCATTTTGGAAGATTTTATTCACGTGATCAATGTTAGAAAGAGAAAAGTTAAAAAATCATGTTCAATGATTGTAAAACAATCATTTTTTCCTCCTTGTACCACTTTCTACTGGAAACGATAAGCGCCAAAAAAGACGCAATTTTGGTCACTCTCTCTCTCCTCAATCCCGATTGTATTGTTTAAGTAAGTCTATGACAAAAAAATTGTCCATTGCACAGATAAAGTAAAGATTCATTATCAATATTTGCCTGGGCGAATAGTACAAAAAAATACAAGTCAATAAGGATTACATGAAATTTCGCTGGGAACGACATATGGTCACATCATCTGACCACACCGCCATTCTCTCTCGCCGACAATACAATCCCCCTTATTGAAAATTGGACTAACGATAAAAATAGCGATAACCTATTACGAATGTATTTTTATTTAATTAGCAAACCATTTCTTGGAGTACATTCTTTTTTTCCTTTCTCCTCGCCCAGAGAAAAAGATCTTTTATTGAGCTCCTATCAAGCACGAAAAAACGCTTGACCTCTCATTCTCTTGAGGTTCCCCGAATACAAGAGAATGAAGGAGCACAAATGAAAATATTGATATAAAAAAGACCAATGAGAGTGAAAAGTCATTTACAAATGCGAGATTATTCCTCCATTGTGTTTTCTCTCTTAAATTGACAATATTATACCAAGCAATTCTTCACGATAAGCCTTCGATGCGATTAAAGAAACTTTCGTTGAAAATAAAACAACCAAAATGATCTTTCTCAATGACTCGTGCGAAACAAGAGCGAAGTACATATATATTCTACCTCAATTGTTAAATAAAGATGACCCCATCGAAGCAAGGATGCCTCAATTGTGTGATAAAAGTGGTAAAGAAAACTGCAATACGTGCAAACGATTGCAATCGAAAATAAACTTACATTACGACGAAAAGTAGACTGAAATATCTCAAGTGGAAAATGACAATACATCGATTCCTTGAAATTTCACATGGGAATGATGATAAACGTACATTTCTAGGAATTCGCCGCACATATGGATCATTCAACTATTTATCGACTCATGAAATAAGATCAAAAGTGTTTATTTTTCACTGCAATACCTCCTTTTCATTTCTGCGCCCAGACACACTCAAGGATTGCGTGTCTCGCAATCATCGTCGCATCTAATCTCCCTCTGCAAGTGCCCACCTTTAATCAGAATCCGATCCGCTGTCTGACTGAAAGTCTCCCACGTTAATCGAGAACTTGTACTCTTGATCGCATCCCAGATAGGAGTCGCTCATGAAGTAGAGCGTGTACTCGTGCTGACCGGGACTCGGGGCCACAAAGTCCAGTTTCACTTTAGCCTTCTGCTGCAGTGTGAGACGCTTGATCGACAGCAGAGAGTTGGAGCGAGGATCGCCGATTACGACCCACCATCCTTCCTCGCGTTTCTGTGGGAGAGAATACGAAAAAATGTATATTTCGAGAGCAAAATTGCATCGAAAGATAAATGCTTTATCACATGGCAAGACATCAATATCACTGAAGCGTGTATTAAATGGTGCTTGAAAGTCACAAGGTTATTTTGTAATTAATGCAGGATAATCATATGAAATTCGAATATATGAAAATGTCTTTCTTGAGGACAGGAAGTGCATTTAAAAAGAGAGTAAAGCCACCACATTTCTGCGCGTAATCTAAATTAATCACAGCATTTCAAGAATAAGAGGAGTAAGCAAATACGTGAATCCCCCTTATCACTGTGCAAACTGCAAAAACTCCTTATCTCAGCTTCAAATTTACCTGTGGGAAGAAGGGAGCAATAACCGGCCCCGTCACTTCATCTTCACGCTCCAACTGCACCACCACATTGACCGTCGACCCAGAATTAATGCGCTCCTTGTTGAGGACCTCAAAGTTCAGCTCAATATTTGGATAGCGATTGCAGAATCTCGCCACATCAGCCATTTGTGCGTCAGTGAGTTGTAGCAGTCGGGTTCGATCATCATCCTCCAACTCCATGATGTCAAACACTGTCTCAATGTTCTTATCTGTGCATCTCTTTATGATGTCATTGGTGAAGTGCGGCAATTGTTTCAAGTACGAGTCTTTGCTCCACATGCCCTGAGTCACCATCTGAGCCAATTCCATAGCAGCCACGGCGGGTGAGAGCCATCCGTTCGAGCTCAGCACGTCCACGCAGGCCTGAATCAGTCGAATAGACTTGCCGAGAATCATCTCCGTGTCGCCCTGCAGCTCTGGTCCCAGCTGGAATCTGCACAGGTGAGCTTGCAGCAGAAGATTTGTCTTTATGTGCGGATCATTGTATCTGTAGAGAGATTAATTGCATTGTTACACATCAATTGATTTGACTCTTGACTTCACATATTTATTACTTACTTTGGGCTAGCGCCATTTGGCCCAACGAGTTTATTTGGCAGGCGCTGAGCCAAACTCCTCAAAATATTCTCCTCATGGTGTCGCACAACAATATCTTCATATTCTGCAGCTGATGAAATGATCTCCAAGAGGCCACGAATTTTTGTCTTACTATTCAGTGACAAACTGAACAGTTCTAGAAAGATAAACAAATAAATTTATGAACAGATCATTTGCATAATCATCGGTACAAGTCTAGACTGCATAGATATACATAGTTGATTGTGATGTAAGAGTTCGTCTATATTACCGTCTTCTGAGAAGTCAATGTTATATTTTGAGACGATAAACGAGATAAGTGTGAATTTATAAAACAGAAAGAGAGAGAAAGTATTGGGGAGTTACTCTGTGAGAAATGTGAGCTTTTACCATGAACTTAATCCTCAAATATTCGCGAGTCATCAATTTCTAAACACAGTGTCTCTATATATATTCCAACAATAGAATATTTTGCAATACCATTTTTAGCGTCAAAGTAAATGGCTTTTGACAACCCAAGGATTTCTAATTGGATCCATCAAGGAGAAGTGTAATGAGCGAAACAGTCAAAATCACTCACCAATTGTTGTATAGTTGATGTAGTAGTAAGCTGAAATCATTCCCAAATTCAGTGGCAATGTATCCATGTCATCTTCAATGCTGATGCACTTTGACTGCTCCAAATCCGACAGGGTGTTCTCCACGAGCTCAGACAAATGATCAGATAAATGACGATGAGTAACTCCTTGTAAATTGTAGTAGTTCGGATTCTGCGTCAGTCGGCGATAAAGGAAGGTCCAAGTCAAGTAGTCAACGGCATCTTGCTTATTCTCGATAGTCTTTGTCACGATCTCAGCATTGAAGTGATCGTGAAGACGATGGTCAAGATGGCTCTCCACAGGAAGGCTTTCATTTAAGAATTTCTTGAAGAACTCCTTCTTGGAGCTCTGACACATCAGAACGCATTTCGCATCCTTGTCTTCCAGCGGACGATTGGCTCGTCCTATCATCTGCATAACATCAGTGACTGGATAGTCTTCGTAGGAATGATTCTTCCCGTTGTAGTACTGCGTGTCCATTATGATGGCCAAGTGGGCGCAAATATTGAGTCCCCAGGCCAACTCTCGCGTCACCACGGCAATCTGGACAGCTCCAGAGTCGAATAGCTGCTCCACAAGGCGATGATCAGATTGCGTGAGTCCCTCATGGATGTAAGCAACTCCTTGGGAGAGAGTCTCCTTCAGTGTCTTGTCAGACATACGATCCAGGAATGGTTTGATGTCCTCCTCCTCAGCGTGGAAAAATCTATTCGGTTGTGATTCAGCTGCACAGTAAGTCAGGATGTCAATGGATGTCAATCGTGCTTGTTTCCTGGACGACACAAACACAATCACCGGTTTATGCGGGCTGTACTTGATGATGGCATTGTACACTGGCTTCGACATGGCAGCTATTCTCGAAGCATGGTGTGTTATATTGAAGCCCTGGACGTGGAGCTCAAGTGGAATTGGACGAACACTCGGGTGGAAATTGAATGTCACACTTGTGTTGCATCCCAACCACTGAGCAATGTCCCTGGCATTGGCCAATGATGACGACAAAGCCACAATTCTGATCTGTTTCTCAATTTGCGACGAAATATAGCGCATCCTTGAACAAACAACCTCCAACACGGGTCCATCTTCTCCACCGATCAACTGCAGTTCATCCACAATGAATAGCTGAATGTTCTGGACATTCTTCCTTTGCTTCCATCTGCGGGACAGGACATCCCATTTGTCAGCCGTTGTGATGATGATTTGTCCCTTAGCGAGGAGCTTCAGGTCCGTTCCGGTCTCACCAGTCATCTTGACAACCTTATGACCAAGGATTTGTCCGAATCTCGAGTGCCACTCGTTGAACATTAAATCTGCCTGAGCCTCTCTGGACACCAAGTACACGCATCTTCCATCCGGATTCTGAGAGAAGAGCCTGAAGATGGCAAATTCAGAAATTGTCGTCTTTCCAGATCCAGTTGGAGCTCCAATGTAGATGTTATCATCACTGTTGTAGACTGCGTTGAAAACTTGCGTCTGAATGGGATTGAATTGCGGAAAGCGATCATTGTAGAAAGCCTCGTATCTGGGATTTCGAAGAGCCGTGATGGGCAGCGGTTGCAGATCCAGCAGTTCTGTTGGCGGGAGATTCTTCTCCGGCAAGATAAGATGCCTGAACGAGACGGGGAGCTGCGTCTCCGCGCCAAGCCAGCGATCAGACACAATTCTCAGGAAATATTGTGGAGGAAGAGGTTCGAAAACTGGCACGAAGAACTTTATAAGATGTTCATCCTGACAGTATTTTGCCTTCAGGAGAAAGAATTCATGGTGAAGGATCACTTCAGAGTCCACATCCTCCACCAGAATCCAGAATGCCTCAGACTGTCCATGCACTTTCTCATCCCACTGGAAATCTGGAGTTATGCTGAGTTCAACACGCAGAGTCGATGTGTTGATTGGTTGAATGTGGGTTGAAAGATCCAATTTTGGGAATTGGTGAACGAACTTGTGAATTGTCTTGCCCAATTTCGGCACTCTCACGAGTTCTCCAATCTCGTTGGGCTCCAAATCGTACAAGCGCTCCCACGGGAAGTTCTTCTTCTCGATCTTTTTCACAATTTCTTCTGGCATCTTGCGGAATTGGCGCAAAGGTGACATAGATTGCCACATCCGACGATCAATCATTTTGCAAAGAGTCAAGGACTTCTCTGCCAATTGAGCCCACCCTCGATATAAAACCATCTCGTAAATTGCTCTGAGGAGCCTCGCGGCTGACTGAGTGACATAGACCATGTCAGACATCAGGGCGAATCCTTCGAGTTTCAGCTGCGAAATGTACGCTTGGAGCAACACGTTCACTTTAGCACTTGGCTCTTCAATGCTCTCCTTGATGGGAATCGGCACACGTTCCATGAGCTTCTGCAGCTCCAGTTTCTCTTCCTCTCTCACTGTGATATTTTTGAACTCTCCAGACAGTGAGAATGCTCTAAACAACTCGATTTCGCTGAGCGTAGGTTTAAGCAGCTGATTGTATGTCATGATGGTGTCGTGAGTGCAGTAATAGTGTGACGCGATTCTACCCAATTCGGTCACTTGGAAATTGCCTGTCTTCCTATCATACTTGATCAGCTCGCTGCGATCCAGATGAAGAGCAGCCGTGTGCACTAGATCTGCCCTGTGAGTCTCCAGCAGTGAATCCTCCTTCATCTGATCATGCGATATGCCATACAAAGTCGGCTGGCGCAGCATTCGAATATACAGATATGTGTACCCAAGCCAATTGACGGCATCCTTAACGTTCTGCACAGTTCCCAGAACAATCTCTGCATTTAGCATATCAGGCATTTTAGACACGAACTGCGACTCAATGGGCAATTGCTGGTTCAACAGCGACAAGTAGTACTGAAGCTCGCTGTGGTTTGTGATCAATATGCCCTCACCTTTAATATCATACTGAGGTCGACCAGCTCGACCCAGCATCTGAAGGACGTCCAAAGCGCCAAGCTCAGTCCAACGACCTTTCTCCGGATTATACACTTGTGTTCCCTTGATGATGACTGTGTGGGCTGGAAGATTGACACCCCATGCCAGAGTGGCAGTGGAAACGAGCACTTGAATGTGTCGATCAGCAAACAAATCCTCCACCAGCGTCCTGTCCACTCGTGTCATTCCAGCGTGATGAATAGCAAATCCATACGGAAGCAACTCCTTCAGCTCCGAATTTTTCACCTGCTCCGCTTCCGATCGCAACACTTCCATACTCGCTGATCCCTCGCGCAAGAAACTCCCCAGAGTATCCTTTTCCAGACACATGTCTCTGATGGCTCTCGCAGTTTTGCCTGTTTCTTTGCGAGAGTGCACGAAAATCAGAACTTGATTTCGTCCAGCATGCTCTATAGTTTTCTCATAGACGATGTCATTCATGACCTGGAACCTCTTGAGTGCCTTCTTCTCTGTCACTCCAATGTACTGCTGCTCCAAAGCCACAGGTCTGAAACTGTTGTCGAAGTAGAAGAGCCCCTTCTCAGGACGAACGCGCAAGAATGTGGCCACGTCTTGATAGTTGGGCAGAGTGGCGGACAATCCAATGAGACGGATGTCCTCTTGTGTGGTCTCAATGTTCCGAATCGTACGCGCCACAAGTGCTTCCAACACAGGACCTCGCTCATCGTGCAACAAGTGTATCTCATCGATAATCACCAGTCTCACGAGAGACGTAAACGTCTTCTCTCCGCCCTTTCGCGTGATGATATCCCACTTTTCGGGTGTGCACACGATAATCTGCGTTGCAGCAATCTGTTCCCTGGTCAGCTGATGATCACCTGTCAGCTCAGACACCGTGAGATTGTAACATCCCAGCCTCTTTCCGAAGTTTCCCACCATTTCCTGCACCAAGGATCTCATGGGAGCCACATAGATGATCTTAAATTCGTCCGTATTGATCGATCCATCGTCATTGATGTGCTTTCCGATCTCTCGCATCATCGTCAGCAGCGCCACATTTGTCTTACCAGCTCCAGTTGGGGCGCACAGGAGCATATTTTCATCTGTCTCCAAAGCAGACTTCCACAGGCGACTCTGAATGCGATTCAGCGTCTTAAAGCCCTCAAAGACTGGTTGGACATACTTTGGCAACTTCTCTATTGTCACCAGCTCTTCGTCTTCCTCAAAAGCTTTGGGCTTCAGCGCGGGCACGTGCACTTCTTCATATCCCTTCCTCTGCTTCCGGAAAGATCCATCAGGCAATTGACACCTCTTATTGGCCATAAAATGCGATCCAGCTGCGAAAATTAGATCCTCTAGTTCTAGAATCTTCCTGTTCTTTCCCAGATGCTCATCACTATCCTCTTCACCCTTAATCAACTCCTCCTTGTACTTCTTCAGTGCCCGCGTTGGGTGACCATCTTCATCCTCGTCGATGTTTTTCCCAGTGTCCAACTGTCGGAGGATCTTAGCCAAGGTGGGATCTGCACGCATCTGATCACGAATTTTCTGCCTCTCCGACTCACTCTGACTCGACGCTAGCATTGTGCAGTAGAGAATCATCTCTCGATTCTTCTTCAGCTTCTTGATGAAGTCAAAGCAGTCGAATCCAAGAAGCAAAACCAGTTGATTCTCGCAGTCTCGATCATCATTGGAGTCCTTGAGGATCTTCAGGACTTCTGACGCTTTCGCCTGAGATACCATTGCATCGTTGTAAAACTTACTGAGACATCTCTGAAGCCAGTAAGCATCAATGTCCAGAGGATGGAGAGATTTTTCCTTCTTGGACTCTTCAGATCCACCCAAATTCTCAGCATGAAGTGTGTTATCAATTCTCGCCTCTTCACCCTCTTCAGGAGCGTCTTCTTCACGGATCTCACCGTAAATGTCTTCATCGCTCTCTTCCTCAGACTCCTCAAACTGTACGTTTATCCCATAAGTCTCATCGATCTGCTCTTCTCCTGCCACTTTTATAGTGCTTGTCGCCTCTGAGCCGAAATCTGTTATTTTCTTTCCCAAATTCACCAACAGAGCAAATCGCTCTTCAGTGACATTGCCCAAGAGGGAGTCAATATCCTTTCTCTTCTCCCGATCCTTCAGTTTCTCATTCTTCAGCACCGCCAGAATCTCATCTGCGGCGCCACAGAGAATGTCTCTTGGCTGATCACCCAGAGATTCCTGAATGAAGCTCAAGAGAACCTCATACGTCTGTCGAGTGTCCTGAGTTTTGGGCCGGTAGACAATTCCCACCATCTCATCGATGCCCTCTGAGAGCAGAGTGGCTCCCTTCATGCGATCGAAATCATATTGCGCCTCATCTCTCTTCTGACGCTTCGCCTTGCGCTCCTCCGTCTTCTCCGGCTTCGTCCGCTGGTATCTGTCTCCCATGCGGGTTCCCTCCAGCTTCCCCACCAGCGACACCACTTCGCCTGTTGCTTCATCTCTTCGGGGCCTCTCAATGAGTCGCACATCGGCTTGCAACACAAGATTGGAGTTCTGTGGGAAAAATTGGGCCCATGAAGCGTTTGGAATCGTCAGGAAAGAAGGGTTATGTTTACAGAAAATTTTCTTTCTGTTTTCACGAGTATTTAGATCTCTTCTACTCACCGCTTTGTACTCGTACTGAAGCTGACGAGCCGCCGCATCCGCCATGGCTAAGCAGGGGTCAAAATTCACAGATTTTACAAAGTTTTCACGAGATTTTGTGAGCAAGAGCGTCCAGCATCAACTAAAAACACACTTTCCGAAATTCTCACTGACGTTCGGAGTGGGATTCTCGCACTTCTTCTTCGACATTCGCGAGACGAATGGAGGGGAAGTTCGAAGTCGGGCAGAGTGTCAAAGTGAGACGGCGTCTGGTTTTCCTCAATTTTCTTAAAAAATAAGATGATTTCGCGCGAGAATCTACGTTATTTGTGAATTAGACAGGGACATACAGGAGTTGAGCTACTAGTGAGCAAATCTTGACACGGTAAAGGGCAATTTGAGTGCTGGAAAAAGTGCCCTAAGCCTTTGACATTTCCCGATCGATTTTTTGCTGGGAAAAGGCGTTTTGTTTGGGTCCGGAAGTGAACTTCCTGGGCTAATTGGCGCCTTTGTCCACTGCTTGCAGGCACTGTAGACACTTGGCGACGCTTCAGGACACCATGGCCAGCCACTCAGAGCGGAGTATTCACGAGATGCTGAAAGACACGCCGTCCATGAACGAGAGCAACAGCGCCATTCACACGGGCACCGAGCCCAGGGGCTTTCGTCCCAGCCACCCAAACAGTCTGCCCCTCCGGAACACCTCGGCGCCCGCCAGCCCATCGCCCGCGACCAGTCCCAACGGTGACATCATGAAGAATGGCGCTTCGAAGATCGACACGATCAGGAACTGGAGCATATCAACGTACAAGTGCACTCGGCAGCTCATGATGGAGAAGCTGGGCAAGAGCACAAGAACCGTGGACTCGGAGCTGGAGGCGCAGATTGAGCAGCTCCGCGATACGCAACGAAAATACTTGTCCGTGCTGCGACTCACGCGGGCCATGAGCTCCCATTTCCACCACGTCGTGCAGACGCAGCACGCCCTCGCGGAGGCGTTTTCTGATCTGGCACAGAAGAGTCCGGAGCTGCAGGAGGAGTTCCTGTACAACTCGGAGACGCAGAGGAACTTGACAAAGAACGGCGAAATTCTACTAAGTGCTCTCAACTTTTTTATCTCGTCTGTGAACACGCTGTGCAATAAGACCATTGAAGACACGCTAATTACGATAAAGCAGTACGAAACAGCTCGGTAAGCGCACCAATTAGCTTCTTATTCATTTAGCAAGAGGCGAGATGAAAAATGTGTTAAAAAATGCTTTGATTGCGCTTGAATGTCCTGCAAATTAACTTCAATTAGCCTTTCCGTAACTTTTAGTAGCTGAAGGATTGCTAAATCGATTTTTCGGCTGAGCTTTGTATAAAGCTTCCTCCATATTGACATATAATTGTGACCATTTCAGTTATAATTGCTTCCTAGAATCCAATATTTCATCAAATAGGGGAAAGCGAAGTGACAGAGAAAATAGAAGAAAAAAAACGATCTATTTTTTATATTACCACAATTCTCTACAGTCCATGTATTTTACAATTTCCGCTAATGTGGAGTCTCCTTAACGAAAATACATGTGACGGAAATTTGTTCAATTGGCCCATCTGGTCCATGTCGCAGTGTTAAAAATAGACAATCGAATTGTAAATGGGAGGCAATGAATTTAGAATGATTTACTGGAAACGATTTCGGTGATAATTGGACACGCAATTCTCATGTTTCTCCTTTCCTTGTTGCATTTGCAGAATTGAATATGACGCCTATCGATCGGATTTGGAGAGTTCGAAGCCAGAGGCGACTAGTCCAGGATCTGAGGATGCCCAGAGGAGTTTCATGAAGCACAAGGAGCAGTATGAAAAATTGCGCTCTGACGTGGCTGTTAAAATGCAATTTCTCGATGAGAACAGGGTAAGAATGCATCTTGTCATACCTTTCTATTAAGCATAACTTATTTAAATGGTTTCTTTTGCAGATCAAGGTGATGCATAAGCAATTAGTTTTGTTACACAATGCTATTTCTGCTTATTTCTCCGGAAATGCACAAGCACTTGAAGGGACGTTGAGACAGTTCAACATAAAGGTGAGTTGAGAACGTCAAAATGCCAAGGATATAACACTGAACGAGCGTTTTCGCTCCTTGCAGAGTCCCAACTCTTCGAAGGGATCATGGTTGGAGCAGTAAGAATCTCAATTGGATGTGTTTTGAATTCCCAGTTGACTTGCATTTCTTTGAGTGCTGACTAGAAAAGGCCTCGTGAGCGAGAGAAGTCAACTCCCAATGGTAAAATATTAGTGAAGGAAGCTTCAAACAAGTAATCTGATCGTTCCTCGTGAAATCATCTCATGAATTGATTTACTCTCTTTTAATTGAGCTAGTCAAATTTTTTTCTGTCTTTTTTAATCACTCCAAACATCTCACTTATTTATCGAATTAAGCTATTGTCAGCATTTTTTACCGCCTTTATGTGTTAAGAAGCACCCAAATTTACTTTCACTCATCTGAGATAAACGTTCTATTTCTATAGTCGGAAATACTAAACTCATAATAATTGTGTTTACATTTTACTGATTAATGTAATAAAAGATATATACAAATAAATACCAGCTAGTGGCTGTAATTCAGTTCTTCTCCAATGACAAATTCTTCAGCTTCTCATCCAGGATCACTTCGTCCTCCTCAGCTTTGAACATGTCCTGGAAGGAAGTGCTCGTTAGTGACTAGAACTTAACGATTTCCGTGATCGACTTACGGGATCGTAGATTACTTTGACGATGAGTGAGCAACTGGGACACGTTGCAGTTTCCTCTCCGGCTATCAGCTCTTCCTGGAAGTGCACAAATTCCATGATGAGATCACAGCAAATTAACCTCAACCGATTGCATACCTTGGAGATTTCGAATCTGTCGCCACAGGGACAGGGATAGTGGTAGACACCCTCCGCTTCGTCATATTCAAAGTCCTCAATTTCTATTTCGTCGTGGTAAACACTCATTTTCCCTGATTTTCAACGATAAAAGCGGAGCAGAACACAAACATGCCGCAAATCAAAACATGCTGCCTGTCAAAATTCCGGATCTGAAAACGCGTCTGGAGTCCTCTTGCGGAAAATTAGAGAAGTGCAGTGCCGTCATAATATTTCTGCATTTGTGGCTGTTTTCTGGAAAAAATGGCTCAAAATGCAAAGGAATTGGAGAAAGTTATAGGCTCTCAGCGCGAACAGTTGACTAGATATGAAACTCGTCTCAAAGGTGAGCTAATTCTTCTCGAGTGGAAAGTTTTGTCATGAAATTTTGTGATTTACAGATGTAGTGGCTGCTTACAAGGGGCTGCTGAAGGAGAAGGAAGCCCTCGAAGTGAGCCTGTCAGCACTCAGCAAGAAGGACACCACGCATGAAAATGGCAAGCCTGATGGTGCAACTGCTGATGGGGACAATCTACAAATGCAGATAGCCACACTGATGAGCTCCCTGGCGACTCTCTCGGCGGAGAAATCGCGCATGGAGGCTTCATTCCAGGCGGACAAGAAGCTGTTGCGACAAGAAATCCAGCAGAAAGATGTGACTCTGAGAGAGATGCAAGAGAAGTTGAAGGCGGCCAGCACACAATCCAACTTTGATGTGGAGACAGTGAAGTCGAAGTTGATTGTGGAGCGACATGAGCGCGAGAAGGAGACGAATGACAACATGATGATGGTCCGGGAACTGCAGAAATTGCTCTCAGACGAGAGGCATCTAAAGGAGAACTTAGAGATGCAGATAAATGACCTGAAGAACCAGTTCGCCACTACAAATTACAGTGACAAAACGATTAAAGACCTCAACAGTGAGCTGGATGCGGCCAGGAAGAAAATCAAGAAACTTGAGAAGAGCGAAAATGTGATTGGAAACGAGAGTTCGGCGATGGTTTTGCAACAGCTGCAAAATGAAATTGCATTTCTGAAGCAGCAGCACTCAGTGGCGATCAAGAGTGAACAGAAGAGGGCTCTTGTTGCTGAGGAGCGAACTAAGAAGCTTGAGGCACTGCATGAGGAGCGCGTGGCGAGCCTGGAATCCCGTCTAGCGGAGCTCTCGAAGACTGTGGGAAACTACGACAGACTCAGACAGCAGGATCAGGACAATATTCACAAGCTGAAGGAGAGAATAGCTCAGTTTGACAACCCAGATCCCAATGCTCTGGTTAGAGAGGATCAGGCCATGCCCGCGAAGAATGTGAATGAGATTGTTGATGAAATAGTGCGCCTGAAGAAGATCCTCACGATTGAGAACGCTAAAATCCCAAATCCCATCGACGTGTCACGGATCTTCGCCACTTCAGCCAATGATCACGGGGTGTGTATGGAGGAGCAGGTGAGGCTCCGCAGGGATCTGGAGAATTGTCAGATGGACAACTTGGATCTGAAGAAGAGCGTGGAAGTGCACAAGTCTCACATCCACACACTCCAAGAGAAAGTGAAAGTGCTCAATCGCAACATTGACGAACAGGAGATGGAACTGAAGGCCAAGGCGACGGATCACGCGGGAGAGATCAGAGCGCAGAAGGGGAAATGGAGGGAAGCCACTGCTGCTCTCGAGGCGGACTACCGCTCTCGCATTGCTGAGCTGGAGCAACATCTGCAGAAGCAGCGTGATCGCTCTCTGGTGCTTCTGGAGGAGAAGGAGAACGAAATCAGAGCTCTGCGGACGTCCTTTAACATCTTCATGCCGCCTGGAGAGGATTCTGCAGAGACAAGCAGTCAGGGATCCAGCGAGCAGAAGCCCCAGGGAACTGTGCTGACAACACCTGGAGGATCGAACGTCGAGGAGTATCACATGTTGCATTATGTCCACGAGTTGGCTCGGAAGGACGTTGAAATTTCAGCATTGAGAAAGGCTAAACATTCCGCAGAGAGTTCTTTGCGACAGGCGTTGCAGGATAAGGTGTCGACGCAGGAGGAGCTGCATGATAAGATCAGTCAGCTCGAGGAGAATGTTGATAGGTGAGTTGATTCCGTATCTTCTCAACGACAAGTGCATCGTTAATGTTTTTCACCTTCCCAGACTTGAGCGATGCAAGTCCCGAGAGGGCGCCAACTTGGAGTATCTGAAGAACGTGACTCTGAGTTTCCTGGCCACGAATGACAATGTGAGGAAGAGGCACATGTTAAATGCCATCGGGGCAGTGCTGAAGTTCAGTCCAATCGAAATGAAGTCCATCAACAACTATTTTACCAAGAAATTGTAAATCATTGGTCGCTATTAAAGTATTATTTATTGTTCAATGGAAACAAATTTTTCATTTACTAAATCCAGACACGGGAAGTTTTTCCAGAATTATTCGCATAACCATGGGAAACATGGCGAAAAACTTAAATCGATGTCCCATTTTGTCTGGGTGAGTCAGAAGATCGAATCCTGTTTCCAAGTCTCTTTTCTGGTCAGGCTTGGCGTTCTCCAGAAGGACCTGCAGTGCGAGTTAATTTTTTAATAACTTCACAGAAAAATGGAACTCTTTTCACTTTACCTGTAATCTAACGTCTCCTCCCAGTCTCTGGAGGAAGTCAGCTTGAGTTACTGGGCCGAAAGTGAGGACTTTCTGGGTCTTTTCCGCTGCGAATTTCAGTTGCTTGAAGTCCACGTCCGCAGTGAGATCAGCCTGTCCAGGATCTTCCAATGGATTGTGCAGTTGATGATGCTTAAATGCCCTGAAAGTATCTGTCTTATCCCCAAGATGCCCATAATCCATTATCAAGCTGAATCCTCCGTCTTCCTCCAATCGCTCCGCTAAGTGATCGATAGTGCTGAAGCTGTCCAGAGAAAATTCTACGTGATCTCTGGCGTCTTCAAATTCAGAAGACAGTTGAGAGTAAAGTTTCGAAGCAGGCGTCTCTCCTCTGGACATGACAAACTTGAAAGCGTCTTCCTTCTCGCCATTCACATCCACCAGAACTTCTCGCCAGATATTGTCTTTCCGCTCCAGCTTGTGTACAGGCAGAGCATCGAAGAATTCATGAGCAAAGATGATGGAGAAATTTCTAGGAACGTCTTCAATGCTCCTGTACCAGAAAACCTTCACTCCGGAGACCATCTCTCCAGCATAGTGGTATTTGGACTCTGGATCAGTGACTTCATCGTGACTGACGCAGAGTCTATTGGCCTGTGCTTGGCACATGTAGGGACTGATCTCCACCAGATGCACCGAGAGGTCTGAGGAAGACAGATTCATCTGAGTGAGCACTCTGAGAACGTCTTGCATCAGAGTTCCTCTGCCCGGTCCCAGTTCGACAAGCTGAAAAGGCTTCGGCGAGCCAGTCTTTTGCCACTCTGTATATATCCAAACAGCCACCAATTCTCCGAAGATCTGGCCCACTTCCGGAGATGTTATGAAGTCTCCTTCCCGCCCAAAGACATCCTTGGTCATGTAGTAGCCTCCACTGGGGTTCGTGAGGATCTCCTTCATGTAGCTGGCCACTGTTATTGGCCCTGTGGCTTTAATCCGAGCTGCTATCGTCTTAGCCAGAGGCACATCCAGCTTTGGGAACTCCCTCTGAGGCTTCTTCTGGGGCGAATCTTTGTACTGAGGTCTCTTGATGGGCTTATAGCAGAATGCCCTGGCGATAAGAGAGATTGATCGGCTTTTGGTGAATATTCTTCCAGGAGATAACCTAAAAAGTCAAAGAAAGAACATAAATGATTATTTCAAGTAGAAAGTACGATTTATCATTATTCCTCCACTGATTTCTGATTTTACGCACATTACTTATCACTCTTCGCTCTTTTTATATCACTGTCAAGACCTTCTTCGTGCAGTAAATGCGAAAATAAAACGTCCTTGCGGTTATTCACCCTTTTGTTTACAATTTCGCTTGACATCTGACTTTGCCCTTTAAATTCTCACAGCTCTTGTAATCGCAGAAAAACACCGAAATTTTTGAACTCTCAGATATAATCTTTATTTTGTGATTATGTAAATGTGTTAATACATTCATTCTTAGATCATGTAAAAAAAATCTCTTCAAAATTTGAAGCTGTCGGTATCACATAAAACATTCGACAAAAGGAAAATTCATTGTTCACTCGAAGGATACTTCATCTTCTCAGGATGTGGAACGATTTTCTGTGCAATCACTTGATCCTCAGTGCGATCGTTGCTGCCAGAAGCTCCCCCATGTCTCTGCATAATCTTCATCTCCAAAGACTTCCGATCTCCGATGATCTTGGCCATCTTTCGCGACAGGATTGTGTTGGGCTTCTCATAACTGCCAGAAGTGACTTCCCCGTCACTGTCTGTTGTCCAGTGTGATTGATCACCACGGTAAGTCAAGGGCTCTTCCACTGGCACCACCTCGAATGAGTGATCAATGTCAGTTCTCCTGAGATTCCGTGCTGAGTCGCTTCTCTCCGGCATTTTGGGCTTCCGGCGACGTGCCAGAGGCAGAGTGTTGGGCGGATGAGGAGCATCCAATGGTCTCCCATGTCCAGTCTCATTGGCTTCAAGGGCCGGCTCCACAGGAGGCTGGCGAACACTCGTGGAAGCAGAATGTCGCGATGCCAGAAGATCACAGAGCTGGAAGTTGAAAGATTCTCAATGTCCGAGGGAATAAAAGCATGAAGAAATTGTTGACTCACCTCCTCAATACCATCCATGACCCGGTAGTACTCATGAGCTCCATGTCCGGGCGCATGTTGCTTCAGAACCGTGAGATATCGCAGCAGTTTTGACTTTGTTATGTTCATAATACTGTATGCATGCAGGAGTTCCAGTCGCATGACAGTCGGATCGTTCACCAAGTATCCCTCCACCACTTCGCTGTCGTGGTAGTCCAGATTCGTGTCAGTCATCACATTCATAACAGCCAAGTTCTGCAGGTAGTGCGAGGTGTGAATCCTCGACAAGGAGGACGTCCTCTGTCTCTCACTCTCTCTGCGAGGACGTGAAGCGAACAGGGCGTTGTTCTTCGGCAGAGTCATCGATCGCGGCGAGTCCAGAGAGATCTGCTTGATGTACCGCGGAGGAACGTAGACGAATACTCCACTGGGTCTTAAGTACTTCTCTGGCCGCATCATGTGGAGAGAGTATTTGACGATGAGGCTGATATCTACAGGATTCGGATACTTCATCAGTGTGTTGATGACTGTGGAATAGTCCGCCGTAAGAACAACATCTCGGACACTTATGAGGATTGTTGCAGCGACATAGGGAATAAGCTCGAGATCACTTCCAGAGGCAAAAATCGCATCCCAGAGGATGAGAATGTCCATAAAGGAGAACTCACGGCCGTAGAGAACGCGGAACCATCGAATGGCCAGAATTGAGAGAGGCACATCTAGCTTAGCCATGTGATCCTGTAGTTGAATATCATGCCGAGCGAGAATGTTATTTTGGAGGGACTTTACGTATTTCTCAATTTCGCCAACGGCATTATCTTTGGATGCTCTTGATGAGGTCTGTAAAAAAGTATTCTGGTTATGTTGGAATAACTCCTTTATAGTTGCACACTTACGCTGGAGACGGAAGGCAAATGTCCTGAAGGATCTGGAACAATTCCACTGATTTTGTAATATTTTTCCATCTTCTCCATAAGCTTTACAAAGAGAGCACTAAAAATAATAAGGAAAGAACATTGAGAGAATGAAATATCACAGTAATCTCTTTAACTTACTAGCTGTCTTCTTCAAGGAACTCTGGATCCAAAAGCTCCTCTAGAGTGTGACTGAAAATTACAAACAATAAATCATTCCACCCTCTCAAGAAAAGTTCATCTTCTCTTACTTAACACTCTTGACGAGATCCTGCACATGAGACAACACGCGATGATCACTGTGAATAATAAAGATCAGCGGCGCGAGGAGTTCATGCATTCCTTGACGGTAGCAAATGAGAGGATTGCTTCGAGCATAGCAGAAGAGAATGTTTGTCATTATTTCCTGGATCGAGGCCTTCCTGAAGAAGTCAATCCCCGGAAAGGTTCGCTGGACATCCTGTCGAATGAGCTTGCTCAACTCCTGATCGCAGAAGTGCTGATTCCACACGCTCTCGTTGGATTGCGAAAGTGGGTCATCATTGCTCGAGAGATTCCCTTGGTAGGGATTATGGTTGAACTGTGTCTTCAGCTCGCGGTACGCCAAACGCGCCTCCCTTCTCTGCAACAGCCAATTGACCGGATCATATTGGAAGGCTCGCAGCAGCAGAGCCCAGCAAATACTCCGGAACTTGGAGACCTTCAAGTCACCCTCGATCGCTCTCTCGCGGAGCTTCAGCAAGTGCTCACACTGCGAGAGATCCGTGCAAAGTTCAATCCACTCTAATCTGCAATACAAAATAGTCACAGCATCAGCAATGTGTGCGAAAATATCGATTACCATTTCTTTTACTCGTATTTTTCGACCGATGATAACTCCTCGGCGGCCGCCTCCTTGGCAAGGCTGGCGCCTCGATGGGCGTGCATTCTCCCCGAGTTCCTCCGCGTAACGTCTCAAGCAAGTGCGCTTCTCATTAAGATTTGATGCTCAGGACAACAGTCAGTGAGATGAACACAGCACAAAGCATATATTTTACCGGATATCCAGTGATTTTATAATTGCAAAATTTGCAAAATGCACAACACAAACACCGATATGTCACTGATAGGTAGCATCGGGAAAGCGGCAGCGTCTCTACCGGCGAGCACGAGTAACTTTCAATTTGAAATCTGTCAAGCGGTAATTTTTGTAACGCATTGCAGAAATTTTTGCGTTGCGAAAAATTGAAAACGCAAAAAATGTGCAATTTTGCATCTGCTATCAGTTTCTGCTGACACTTTTGGAAAATTCCTTAAGGAAAGCACATCTAATTGTATTCCTATGGAAATATATTCGAGTACATTAGAAGAACTTAACAGGCAAAGTTCAGAAGATCACAATTGTTTCTAATCGTTCGGATATGCAAAGCTTGATAATATGTAGAATAGACAAAAATAAAGACTGTCTAAGGTCAGGAATTTCCATTATATGTATGTATGTATGTAGAAAATTGATTTATCATCTATCGGTAAAATGTTTGTTTGTCACAAAAGTGGTAAAAGTGAATTGAATGTTGGTATATTCATAATTCTCTCTGCATAAGAATAAAATTTACATACATGAAATTACTTACTTACAATCCAAATACTTTTAATTTTTAACAAACAAAAATAGAATGAGAGACATTACTTAAAACAGAGCTACTTAAAATATAAAACTTTTCAAAAATTCTACTTTTTATTTGTTGTAAATTACTTTTAAAAATATTAAAATATATTGTTTTTTATTTTAGATATCAAAAACTTACATTTATTAGTACCGTTACATATCAATAATTTTTATTTAAATAAATTTTTGATTTCTCAATAGCAGTAAGTAAATATGTTTCAATATTTGTTTTTCTAGGACCTCCACGATGGGATACTCTATGTCTTCCGTGAAATAAGGATGTGCCATTAAAAAGAGAGATCACATCATGACCATTAAACGGTGATCTGAAGAGGCTCGTGTCCAATAATATTTGCCACAAATTATTCCGCGTCGATTAATGAGCAGAATACATGCATTGAGAAGAGGAAGGAGCTTACGTGTGGAATAAACGTCGCACTTCGCCAAAATTGCCCGCTGGTCTCCCCCTTTGCGAGTGGTGTTTATAAGAAGCATTGTTCCCCCGCTTAAGCGCTCATTCCGTCTTGAAGTATAGCTGGAGACACTCAAATCAGCAGACGTGACACAAAATCTTAATAGTTACCATTCCGATTGTGATTTTCCGCTGTGACAAAGCTTCGTCCACTTGGCTCTTCCTCAGTGCTCTAGAAAGGTGAAAAGTGATTTTTTGTGAATAATAACTTTTTCATGAATTGCATTTTTTGTGTTATCGTCGGAATGAATATTTTGCAATGTTGAATACAATTGTGCGCATATAGTTCGGAAGAGTTGATCTTTTGACCGTTTTTCCTCTTTCTCCCGAAGTGGTTGCCAAAATGTCTTGATTATTGAATATCCAAATTTAATTTAATGCGCATTGTAAGTGATTTTTTGGCATTGGCATTGCAATTAGAGAATGTTCAATGTGACAATGACTTCTTGGTGGTAGAGAGAATTAGCACTAATTTATACTATTCTGGATCAAAGTGCTAGAAGGTGTAATTTACAAGTCCAATTCATTTGCCAATTGTTCAAATTTAAATCTTTATTGTATTAGATTTTGCCCTGAATAGGTCAGAAATCACTATTGTCACTGCAAATTCTATGGAACTATTCAATTAAATGCGTTGCATTTTAGTTCTTGTGCATTTTTTGCACTCACTCAAGATTTCCTTCCGTTACCTGTTGCCAAATCAGATTATGGAGTGATTTTGGCAAAAGTGAATTAAATAAAATGTACGATATTAAAAAATTTACCTTGACGAATTATTAAATTTCACAAGATCGTGTCTCTATGGTCAAATGACATAGTTTCTCACCTTATATATTCATCTAATCAAGCGTATTTTACTTTTTAACTTTGTCCACGTGAAATGTTGCATTTATTGAGACACATTTAAATCTCTTCTAACTTGAGACTTTTGACACTGTAAATATTTACCAAACCACAGATTTGTTTTTCCTTTTTCTCCAAACAATTCATATTTAGTGTGAAGAAATAGTGCGAGATTATTTTCGGATTCCCGTTGAGAAATCGCATATTTCTGTAGGTGATAAATCAAGTGTGAGACATTTATCAATTATTCATGAACTTCAACTGAGAAGAGTGCAATTACTTCCATCAAGCTTAAGTATTCTTCGACAATGAGAGAACTCTCTCTTTTAGGGTCACAGCAAGAATGCACATAATAATTTCACCACGCCGAGAGTTCGTCGTAACAATATATGAAATGCAACTTGACATTGGCAATGAGTTGCATGCACAGTGGATAATTTCTTTAATGTGGCTGTTTCACTTTCGACAGCACTCAAGCACACTGGCTTCGTAAAATCGATGGATGGGGAAATTTAGGACAAACCTTCAATGCATTGTGCTCTTATTGAAATATTGCTGAGCATCGAGCTTATTAATCTCATGATCACCTCTTCTGAGCTGGTCACCAAATTCAATTCATCAAAATCGAGTTTCTGTATCAAATAACCTCCAGCTATGATTTCGTTGCGTAAAAGAAACTCTCATGTGCACTTGAAATTTTAAAACAAACCTCTTTTTGTACATACGCCCATTATGAATTTGCATGCGGCTTGTTTGTCGCAAGTGAGCAATTTATGACTAAAATGGTACAGGGAAGATCGATTCGAATAGTTGAAGAAATTGATGAATTATCGGAAATTGCTGTGCGATACAAATTAGCATGCGTCATGCAATATATCGGAAGATAGACTTGTCACATCAAATCAACTATAATTTTGAGACAGGAATGGAACGGTAGACTTAACTCAAAAATCATGTGGTTATGACCACGTACACCGATATTTAGTAGAGCTTATGTAAAATACAAAATTTAGATTTGTGCTTAACTTTGACTATTGAAAATAACATGTCATATGACCCTTTTTCGTTATTGAACTGTTTTATTTTTATATAAAACCTGCAAAACCACTAAAATTTAAATATGACCTAATGAGCTTGGTAGGTTATTATGTATACAAAAAAAGACTCCCTAATTCCTACAAAAATTGTGTTTGATCACTAATTGCATATGCAAATTTATTGGCTAGAGGTTAAGGGCAGGGCAGAAATGGAAAGCATTCAAGTCAGGCAATTTCTGTAGAAAGAAAAGCAAACAGAATTGCAAATTTTGATAAATTTTATGTAGATTGAAGATTTATCTCCAATCATCTGAATCGACAATATAGTTCATCATTGTCACTTTCTCCGAAAATATGTACCGGTGAAGCTTATTAAGCATTGAGTACATAACGCATACATACCTTCAACGAATTTGCACGTGTATTGTATGAAAATGAACCTTAACCTTGAGCAAATTTCACGATCATTTGCTTCTTTTATTTGATTAGTAATGTGATTTACCAAGACAGAATGATGACCATTTCATCAGAAAATGTTATTATAAATATTGACATAGCAATTAGATACTTTATAAATTCACAATAGGAAAATTTCCCGTGCATTTTGACTTGCGCACACAATTTCTTGGGAAAATCTACAAACAGGTCTCCAAATGCTACCTGTTGATATGTCTGGTCCATCTGTCAGATTGCGGGATATACTTTGGGAAAGAGCGAGTTGAGATATTTCCGACCCTCTTTAGGTTTCAAGGCATATTCTCACGCAGTGGCACGTAGTAATTTTCACCGGTGAGAATTTCGATGAGAGTGTAAGTTGCGAGATGTCAAGGAGATAATAATTTTGGGTGAGATGAGCAATTTCACTTCTATTCTCGAGAGATGCTCATTCCAAGGGCAGGGCAATTTATTGGAAACCGGATGCGATTTCACCGCGAAACAGCCACCAGAAAAATGATGTGCAGTGAAAAAATTGGCCATTTATTTATCGTCTTATCATCAATTTATTGCAGGCGAACAAGCGAATTTCTGCAAGAAGCACGCACCACACTGAAGAATCATGCCACCAAATCTGTTTGGGAACACACTCCTCTTGGCGGAGGGCACACTCGAGCCGGAGAAAAGTGCATCTCAAGCCACAGATGACTCGCAAATCAAAACGCCGACAATTCAGGTGAGATCTCAATTTACAGGGTAAGCCACAATTTTCGAAATTTCTCATACTCAGGTTTCTCTTATCTAAGATTGTAATCTTGGAAATTTTTAACACAAGTGTGACGAGACAGTGGTTTTCCTTAAATTTAAGGTAAAACTTACACTTGCGGTTAAATCTCACTTATGATGATGGGCAGAATTTTGAAGTCTGCTGCTTGGGACAAATTTCTCTCTTTAAATGACAAATATTTTATTCGGTAAATCCCACGATTTATGTGATTCGGCATTTTATCAAACAATTGTTAAGGAGTTTGTTTAGCAGTACTTTTTGTGGCACACCCTGTACTTTACAGCATTGATGACCAGAGGTAAAAGCGGGTGAAATTTTATTTCAGGCCACCGAAGAGGCAGGGACATCACCAAAGGTGAAGGAGAAGCCGTACAAAATACAATTTGTTTGGAGAAATATAATGATCTTCTTATACTTGCACTTGGCGGCACTGTATGGCGTGTATTTGCAATTAACTTCGGCGAGATACTTAACATTTGGCATAGGTGAGTACACATCAGAATGGATAGAAATGTGTGAAGATAATTTTATGATCGATTCCAGCAGTGATAGATAGACACTTTCACCCCAAACAATAAGAAGTGAATTGCTAATGTCTTTGAATATTTCACTTATTGCTATTGAAAATAGCAATTGCATTTGTCAATATGTTCTTTTTATGAGGCTGTAAAATCGCCCATTCGCAACACTATCGCGGAAAATTGGTGTGGAAGTGGGTCAATTAGAGAATCTTTCGAAGATCATCATATCACTAAAGGGTGTACGTGCAAGTTGAGGAATATTCTATGGATTTAAACAGTGTGCAAAGACATTTGGGAATAAATCCGGCAATTATAATTGCTTTCGAAGGCATACTAATATCCTCATTAGTTGATCATGATCGTCACGATAGGTTTCTGTGTGGGAGACTCGCCAAATTCATGCCCATTGACGAAGTTGGCAACACTGAAAAGGCATGGAATGAGCTTGTAAATATTTCCTATCACGTCGTATTAATTTGGTTAGAAATGGGATGCTGAAAACACGTGTTTTCGCACGATCTTCCGGTGGTGGGATATCACATAAAGAGGTCTTTGATCAAAGTGGCACGCCACGGACCACTCCTTCGGCGCGGTTCGCAAGAAGTGGTAGCTGTGACGTCAATTAGAACACATTCTGAATGATGGTGAGACTTTGGACCTTGGACGTGAACCTGAGATGATTAGGAAAGTATTGAGTTTTACACCCAAAAAGACGATTGAATGGGGATTCATGTCGCATAGAGATGGATGGCATATGCTAATATGAGAGAAACGTGGATCTCAGCAACGGAGCGTTCAATTGTAATTCAGCAAATGAGTTATTATGAAATATTTCTATTCAAAATTCAGATCATGACGCCGGTCAGGGCGTAATTTATCTTCAATATGTGCTTCTGATCGTTTTCCCCTCTTAAAATCCATCAATATGTATTCTCAATGGAATCGATAATGTTCAATAAATTCAACACACTTCCCGTCAATCAGCTGAAAATTAGAATTAAGCCAATTTCATCGATTTGTCTCATTGCAGCACTTATTCTCGGATTTTGTGGAGGAATGGGAATTACAGCTGGTGCTCATCGTCTCTGGGCTCACAAATCTTATAAGGCCAGGCTGCCGCTCAAAATCCTTTTGATGGTCTTCCAGTCGCTCGCCTTCCAGAATCACATCTTCGAGTGGGTGCGCGATCACCGAGTGCACCACAAATTCGTTGATACCAATGCCGATCCCCACAATTCGCGCCGCGGCTTCTTCTTCTCCCACATGGGCTGGCTGATGATCAAGAAGCACCCTGACGTGAAGACGAAGGGTGTTCTGGTAGACATGAGCGATCTCGAGGCCGATCCAGTGGTCATGTTCCAGAAGAAGTGAGTTGCTGCAGTGGGTCAAGCGATCACAGATTTATGATTTATGAAATGATTTCTCCCTCGCAGGTATTACGGGATTCTCATGCCGATATTTTGCTTCATCATTCCTGCTCTAATTCCGTACTATCTTCTCGGAGAGACATTCTCTAATAGTTGGTACATCGTGTCCGTGATGAGATACGTATTGTCACTCCATGGAACGTGGCTCGTGAATTCGGCAGCTCATTTGTGGGGAATGAAGCCCTATGATAAGTGAGTTGTAGTTTATCATTCACATTGATAGTACTCTAATCATGATCCAATTGCCATTGCAGAAATATTTCACCCGCCAACAATATGTTCGTTGTGATTTACGCCTACGGAGAGGGTTGGCACAATTATCATCACGTTTTTCCCTGGGACTACAAGACATCGGAATATGGAAATTATACAACGAATCTCACTTCAGCTTTCATTGATTTCTTCGCCCTATTCGGTCTCGCTTATGATTTGAAGACAGTCTCTGAAGACATGATCAAGAAGAGGATCCTGCGAACGGGTGACGGATCGCACGAGGTCAGTCGCAACAAGCGCGAAGAGGAGCTGCGACAGATGCTGATGAGCGATCATGATCACTTTCACGACCAGAACGCGGTGTGGGGGTGGGACGACAATGATATGCAAGAGGATGACAAGAAATTTGCCAAAATCTACAACAAGCAAGATTAAATAAAGTGGTGTAATTTAATTTATATAATAACAATTAGATAATGTACTGCTTTTCTATTTTGTTTCAAGGTGTTTTTAATCACTAGACTTAAGGACCAATACAAGTATTTTCTAGCATTGTAGAGTCATTTGATTTTAATGTATTAAAGAACTTTTACATCTCATTTGCTGGTTGCGGGCTACTGAATGTTGCTCATGTAGAGCGTCTGTGTTTTCTGGTGCTCCGCATAATTCTTCGCCATGTACATAATTGCCGCCAGCAGAGCACCTTTGTTGATGGCCCCGCTAATTAGTGCAGCCATCTTAAAGGCTGGCAATGCCATGGGCAGCACTGAGCCCATTAGGATCATCGGCATCAGCATGGCAGGTAGGCCCACGTTCAGAATATACTCCAGTGGTCGCTTCTTGCGTCCAACAGTGGAATTTGCATTGACGAATGTGTCCGCTTTGGAGGCATGGAAAAGAATTTGCAAATAATATTCAGAGCACGAAAACCATCGAAATGCACTCCTTGTCTTAATGTACCTTTCTTCAGTGTCAATTCCAGTTGATTTTCCTTGCTCGGCCGCACCTTCACCACCATTCCAGGTATGAAGTGCAGCTTAATTTCGCGATTGGCAAAATACTGCTCAATGCTCTTTACGAGGCGCGCATCGATGTCTCTATCGGGTAAATTTGTATAACTGTCGTCAAAGTCGGGCCTCTCGTCCGTGTCCCGCGTGAGAATGTGATCGAGGAAGTCATCAGTGATGTTGCCAGTGCTTCCCAAGTTTTTCGGCCAATTCCTCTCCATTCTCTGCAGCAGGAAGAGCTTCATGCACTTCGCGATATTGAACTTCTTCATGCAGCGGAAGATCTTCATTGGAATTGACGCCCGTATGTATGTGATTGAACTTTCGTTTTTCGCATAAAATTTGCTATTTGGGTGGGCTGAGATTTCGGGGGAATGTTTTGGCGGTGATCGCAAACCACGGCACACAGATGGGGACACCATGTACACCAGCCAAATGAAGATCATCATTTTAACGATCATTTTGGTAAGCTAAAGTTTACAATCACTATTGTTCACTATTGCAAATCAACTCCACGATCGCGACTATATCACGAGAGCAGTTTGGTCAGAATGCGATCGTGCTTGATGTCGATGTACGACTAAAGTTGGCTTATGTTCTGAATGATCACATCTCATCTGAGAGACTCTTCTAGCGTCACACATCCATTCAATGATATAGTCGCACGCGTGGAATGTGAACTATTATAGGTGTTGTGTATGTCTTCCGCTTTTTGCATTGCTCAGATCTTTAGCACAATTTTCTCCTGTTTCTCCTTCCAAGATCACCAGAGACGCCAAAGACGCACCATTGACTTACTGCGGGGACAAGACATCGCAGAAAACCCCTCATTGCGGGGACCGTTTGAAAAAGGAATTATGAAATCATAACATCAACGGTATTCAGTGCACTTGATCGCGGCAGATGTGCTTCAATTAACCGTAAAAGACAACTGTTCACCTGGATGCAAAATTGTATCAACGTCAAATGATGAGATATACAACAAGATTGATCAACAATCGGAGAATGACACAAGTTTGCCGTGTCTCTGCGCTTAGTCTTATTAAACAGATATAATTTTCTCCGTCATCAACGCGAGCCTCACATTATATATAGGTTTATGGACTAGGATACAGTTGCATTATCGCTATATAGCATCAAATTGCTGGTCGTTTTATGCACCGAACGTGATTTTCACATTGGAATAATTTTACCAATCCGCAAATTTTAATTGATTTGCAAATAGAAATTGACACACTTCCACATTAATTACAATGTAATGCACAAATTGAAAAAAGAGAATAAAACCATGTCATTATTCAATTTATCTATCATTTGTGGTTCATAAAGTTTGCAAATTGCGTTTTGTAATACCCAAAACATTTCAATTATCTTTGAAATTGTGTAGTACAATAATGTAGATTCTTCAACAAAATTGCTCATAATAATAGACAGACTAGAATTGAGAATTGAGATGCAATTTGCGTGCTGTTATGCGCCAAATTAATATGCATTTCACACTAGTCCACTATGGAGATTCAAACGAAGAGGCTTTCGTGGTAATCCATCGTTTATATCACGGAATGTCACTTAAAATGCACGTCTCATGGCTTGATGAGTCTAATATGTCTATTAACCGTGCCCCCATCATTCATTTGCAAATTAATTTATTGTCTTGGGTGAATTATAGGGAGATCGTGAGGCGTGCACAATTTCTGACAATCACAACAGAAAACAATTCGTGGTGACTCAAATTTAATACGTGCAGACATAAAAATGTCTGGAGATTCGGGTGAAAATTGGGCCTCTCGCGCGCATTTCCTCGATGAACAAAATTGTATTCAAATATCGTAACACTTTTGCCCATTGAACTTGAGGGTTCACAAATAAAACCTTGCCACAATTGAATTTATCACTTCAGTTTCAATTTAGTGAGCGAGCTGTGAAAATTGTCCAACAGCCATGCCATCAACGCCAAAGCTCTTCGTCAGAGGAATTGTGCTGCTCTTCATTCTGAGTGTTGATTTGTGTTTGAGTGATGAAAATGTTGTCAGTGATTCGAGTGTTGCAGGTGGGATTCAAATCTACTTTTGGGGCTTTTGTGAAATGACTAATTGAATTGGCCTTGCAGAATCGAGAACATTTGGTCGTCACTTGATGAGGAGGATTAATTTTGTTCTCATACCAACGGCATTCGTGGTCGGGGTCATAGCCACTCTTCTGGCCACACTGACCGTTGTCTCGCTCAAGGGGTTGGGAGTCGGTGTGATTCTCTTAGTGCTGGCGGTGGGACAACTTCTGGCCAGAGGATTGCCTCAGCTCGCACCCACTTCAACCACATATGCTGCTCCACCGGCCTCGATAATCTACGGGAGGAGCGACGTGAAGAGTCCGATCTGGATAGAAAAAGACTGGAGCGCGTAAATGTAGAACCTGTAGAAACCTATTTATTAATTCAGTGTACAAGAATTGAGGTGAGATTCTGCAATAAAAGAATATATATTCAAGAACATGCGTCTCCACAACCAGCAATTACGCCGCGGTAAGGAATTCTGGGACAGTTGATCAATTAGTTTTTGCCCGTTAGATGAAATGTTACACAATTTTGCCAGAAAGTAAGACGGGATGTGAATGTGGGTAAATGGGATTATTAAACAAGGAGGAATTCCATGGCAAATAGACCAGAAAAATGGTTTGATTTTTCGGTGGTGTTCTTTCAAATGTAAACCACAGGTTAAATGGTCAATTTGTGATGAATGATGCGGAGACAGTGGGAAAATGGAAGTGATGCATCTTGCACTATGGAAAAGTCAAGATCCGCTTCATTGCATTTGTACTAAACCGTTGCATCTCCCCTCCTTGATACATATATCTTCTCTAACTAAAATCCACTGCGGTCGAGAATAAAACACGACTAACTAGATTACAAGTCTCGCGGGAAGCATTTCATACTAACAGACATGTTGATAAAACAGGAGAAAAACTTGAGGCTTTTCTCATTTCGTCGAGACATCTCAACTTATCCCATTCAGTTGATGATAAACTCTCGAGTGGAGCAGAGTGGTTCTTTTTGGCGAAGAATAGTTCACCCATAATATGGATTTACAGTGAAGATCTATTAATTAATTGATATAGAAATTCTACATTTAATTCGCATTTGAGAGAGATACATTTTCTGAAATTAGTACTTTCAATTGCAAGTGAGAGATGATGGTGAAGAAACTGTTGATTATTGTAATATTTATTTACCCCAACATTCACTCAATCTTCTGCGAGATGAAGAAATCCTGGGTGCAAACAACAGAAAATACTCCCCTTAACATTTCATTACCCACCGTGAAAAATGAAGAGATTCCCGTGGAGAAGAATCTCAATTCGACAGACTCAACATCACCCAGGCGGATGACGAACTCACTAAAGTTCTCTGATATCACAAAAGTTGATGATAAGATCAGCAAAGTGGAGAGTAATGTGGCTGGGTTTCAGAACCACCGATATAAAAGCACATACATCGGCAATATCACCAAATCAGAAGTGATTAAAGTGAATTCCAAACTGGCAAAATCAAAGTCCAAGAAGCGCAATCACACATACGAGCCTGTCGAAGGAGAGCTGCCTCGCTACAGCTTGGGTCCAGGCGTGAAGCTGAGCATCGACATGCCACGAGAGATTGTCAACGTGAATCTTGATGAGGACTACTTGAGGGACATTTTTGCAGGTGAGATAGGTGCTGAAATTGTTCCAATTCGCCTTCCTCCACAGCGAGCTCCATAACAGCCGGAAATCCTTTGTTCGCAGGTCGTGGAAAGCGTCTGCAGCTGATTGCCAAAATCATCCCTCTCTTCATATTGCCCTTCCTGGTCCAGTCGGCCATTCTGCCCTTCATGGTGTCGACCCTGAAACTCCTTCTCATAAAATCCATCGTCGTGGGAAAGATTGCCATCCTTCTGCTCATCCTCTCCGCCTTCAAGAACTACCACAGACATCACGCAGCCTACGAAGTGCCCTACTACAATATTGTGGAGCCGCCAAGTCGGAGATCCGAGCTGCCGTTCTATGGATACAAAGTTGATGGACAGACAGGGTGGGTCAATTGACATCTTAATAAAGTGTAAATAAACATTTGATTGCAGTTACACAACTTTCTGCAAAAGCATACAAATCACTCTATCGCAATTACTATTAAATCTGTTTAAAAAAAATGTAGCAATACAAAGTGTCAATAAAGTGTTTATTTTGCTGCTCCTCTCTCTTCACTCGAATACCCTTTGGAGCTTCCCATGCCGCAGAGAAAGTTGAGGGTTACTCGGATTGTAAAGCAATAAAGAAGATCTGGTTAAATGGTTCACTATAGTGTTTATGTTCCTCATTTTAAACATTTCAGGGGCTCTCTCCCAATATCTTTTATGATCTTCTGTGTCTTGTGTCGCTTTAAATAGGTGTTCACTAGGCAATTGTGTCCTAATGCCACGGGTTTTCCCAAAAAACGGCCACATTTTTGGGCATTTACATAAAATTAGAGGCTGGCGTTTCGACAAATTTGAGCACATAATATAGTGAACCGAGTAATGAATCTGATAGAATCAAACTCAATTATTTCTTATCAATGCTTTAAAAAATAAATTCATAGTTTATGTTGAGAAATCTCATAATTGTACATATTAATCCTTTCTGAAACGTGCATCTTTCGGATGAGCTCGCAGGTAAATTAGTTCAGAGAACATTTTCTCAAAAATATGGGACCATATTCAGTGTAATAAATGTTTGAAAAACATGTATATTTGCTAAATGGACCTGAGCGGGGTTCATTCATTTCTGGGCCCTTAAAACATCCCTTGAGAAACATCCAGTCTTTTAGTTTGTTGCAGTCCTTCGTCGAGTTACAACGCAAACAGCTGTAGTGAAAGATGAATCGCTTGATCTACTTTATTATCATTATAATTCTCTCAGCGATATTTGGAATGACGAACTCTCACCTCATCATGCAAGAAGAGTCCAATAAATTTCCCTTGGAAGTGAAACTGAAGAATAGCATTGTATGTTTATGGTGACATTCTTCTATATACAAAGTGATGATTAATTAATTTTCTTCCACCCACTTAGACTCAATTCAATCCCCTGGCCAACATTATTCGTCACAGCGAGAATTTGGCGCTGAGAAGCTGCCAAGAAGTGTTTCAATGGGATCAGTGGAATTGTCCGACGGCAGATTTCATGCTCAAGAGAACCACCAATGTTATAGACAAGGAGAGTGCCTTCGTGAAGGCAATCACAGTGGCTTCAGTGATTTACACTTCCATTAAGAATTGTTCGGCAAATTTTATGGATTGTGGCTGCAATTTCAACACTCCTGTGGTTGATGAGAGTCAAGTTAATAAGTGTTTGGATCATATTGTAGCTTTGGAGAAACACTTCATCGACACTGGAAATTCAGATATTCAAGGATATACGGAAGCACACAATTCACGAGCTGGCCGAATTGTGAGTACATATTACAGATCAATAACGCTAAATTGTGAGTGTTTCATTATGATTGTTATTCCAGGCTGTTCAACGAGCTCTTAAGCACGAATGCAGATGCAGTGGATTAACCAATTCATGCTCACTCGAAATCTGCTGGATGTTTCTTGGCAATTTCTCTGAAATTGCCGCTGATCTTCGCAAGATGTACGATCAAGGCGTAAAAGTATCGTCTGATAATACCGGAAGGGTTAAAAGACACATCAAGAGAGGATCTCTCGTGTTCTTGGAAAAGTCCCCAGACTACTGCATGAAGAATGTCATTCAAGGATGGCAAGGAATGCGTGGGCGGCAGTGCTCCCGACGCAAGGATGCAGGATCATCTCTGCAGGAGCGTCGATCATGCCGCAAATTATGCCGTGCCTGTGGACTCAAAGTGAAGAAGGAGAGAGTAATCAAGGAATCACCCTGCAAGTGCAAATTCTTCTGGTGTTGCGACGTGCAGTGCGACACGTGTTCGGAGAGGGTGAACGAATTCTACTGCTATTGAGACGATGAGCTTTTAAGGCAACTCTCCACGAGTCTTTGGCTCTGCTACCACCGCATTTCTGTCGCAATTAAGAAACATTTGATCATGAGCAATATAGGCCATAAATAAAATCGTTATCAATTTCGAGAAATTGGTGCTTTACTTTCAGATAAGGTATTCAAGTGGATAATCAGTGAAATAAGCGAGCTTTACAGAGACATTTCCATTCAGTATTAATCGAACTTCATAGCGAGAAACATCACAATAAAGCTCTGACAAGAAGAGGGTGACACAGCAAGTGACAATGGCATTTTTGGACACAGTTTTAGGTGAGTCGTTTCATTCATTTGTCTTATCCTTAATTTCCTTATAGAGTGTCCGATAATAGAATACAATAATCAATTAGAGAATTATCATATAACGTGATTGATTTACAGTAGAGAATGTGTGTTTCAATACCATATAATGTGTATTATAGTGATTGTGAGATAAGAGGATGTTAAAAAGTACCTCGAAATACTTGAAATATTATCTAATGCGTTCTACTAACTATAAACAATTAATCTATCTTTTATCAGCATTTTGCATGCGATAACAGTATTTATGGAGGTGTTGACTATAGATTCCTCGTCATATTGACTCATATTCCGAAGCCTTGTGAAATACCACTTCTAAAATGCATAAATCAATTATTTGTGATATATTATTTCGCAGGATTCATCACCCAAAATAAGGCCGTGTGTGTCCTTTCGGTGCTGCTATTTGCCTTTTTCATATCCACAATAGCGTTGGCTGTGCAAAAGAACAATCTCGCATCTGAATTGGCGACATGCGAAGACAAAGACCACACAACCCCTGCTAATTTAAAGGTATACACAGCTTTTTAATCTAGCTGCAAAAGCTAAGAACTCTTTACAAAATTCGAACATGTTTTGAAAAGTTTCATAACGCCGCAATGTAGAGAAAATGTGACAGAGATCGTTAATAAAAACTTTCAACCACCTTACACTAAAAACATCTTTTTATTTCTCGTTGTAGCATCGACTTCCTTCGAATGTCGTTCCAACCCACTATGACCTATTTCTGCACCCCGATTTAGACACCCACAAATTCACAGGAACTGTGACAATTTCCTTCAAAGTCACCGAAGCTACACAATACGTTATCCTAAATGCGTATAAGTTGACAATAGAGAGTGTGGCTGTCCATTCTGCATCCCAGGAAATTCCAACCGTGAGTGATGAAATGCACATATCACTTGCTTTGTGATTTGAAAGTTAATTATTCGATTGGTGAAAACTCTTTGCAGTCCCATGAGCTCAGCGAGGAGTTTCAGAGTTTGGTTGTGAGTGTAAAATCAGGCCAATTGGATGTCACTACCGGCGATTCCACCTTCACTATCGCAATTACCTTCAGTGGATCAATGGAGGACAAAAATATTGGTCTATATAGCAGCAAATACAAGAAGACTGACGATAGTGAGGTCACAATATCATCATCCAAGTTCCAACCGACATATGCAAGGTAATTCAGTCTAGTCAAAACCTTTGTGTTTGCTTCTGCACGTGATAACATTTGGTATAGAGATAATTCGATTAATCATATCAGTCACCTGGAAAGGCGTTAAGCATTTGATACGCACTTCAGACCACAGGAATTAGTCAACAAACAAAAGATGCTTTTTTGGGGATTTATTACAAAATATTTTACAACATATTGAAATCTCATTTCTTCAATTTGCGCATGAGTGGAGAATTTTCCTCTAAATACATGTGTTTTTCAGGCAAGCTTTTCCATGCTTTGATGAACCCGAGTTCAAAGCAACATATTCTATAAGCCTTGTCCGACCCAAGGATAATAACTACATTGCACTGTCGAACATGCCAGAGGAATCGAGCACAGATGGTCCTGGTAGCAATGACGTGACTGTGAAATTTAAGGATTCACCGCAGATGAGCACGTATTTGGCAGTTTTCCTGGTGGCAGACTTTATTAACAGTGAACAAGAAATTGAGAATATCGGAGGAGATAATTTCAATATACGCGTCTACCTTCCTGAAGGTCAGCAGGACAAGGGAACATTCGCTTTGGATGCTGCCGTGAGAATCACAAAAACTTACATAGAATACTTCAACATTGGCTACCCCTTGCCGAAGCTGGACATGGCTGCAATTCCTGACTACGTGTCCGGAGCAACTGAGCATTGGGGACTCGTGACTTTCAGAGAAACTTCTCTCCTCTGGGATGAAGCTGAAAGTTCCACGAGGAATAAGCAGAGAGTCGCTTCAGTGATCTCCCATGAACTTGCGTAAGAACACTGCAAATGTTATACAGATTTATGTTTACTTATTTGTTCAATTTCAGACACATGTGGTTTGGTAATTTGGTCACGTGCAAATGGTGGAACGATGTGTGGCTCAATGAGGGTTTCGCATCCTATATTGAATACAAGGGTCTATCGACGTTTTCTACCGATGATAACTGGAAAATGGAGGATCAGTTCCTCATTGAAGATCTTCATGGTGTTATGGAGCTCGATTCAAAAGTGGCATCGCATCCAATTGTCCAGGAAGCTGAAACTCCTGACGAGATTACAGCTCTCTTCGATAGCATTGCCTACAGTAAGGGCGCATCGATAATCAGGATGATGGAAGGATTCCTGACCAGTGATGTGTTCAAGAGTGGTGTTAATAAGTTCTTGACTGAATTCAGATACAAATCAGTTGTAACAGCAGATTTCTTCCGATTCATGGACACTGAGGCTGGTTATAGCGTCACGTGAGATTCACGAGAAGAATTCTTTATGATTCTCTTAATTTAATGTGAATCTGTCTTCTAGGGACATCATGTCTACATGGACTGAACAGAAAGGATATCCAGTGGTCACTGTGAAAAGAGTTAGTGACACAACTTATGAACTGACACAGGAGCGCTTCCTGTTAAACACCGACTCAAAAGCAGATGAAACTGATAATTCTCCCTTCCGCTGGCACATCCCGATTACCTATGTGAGCGATAAGAAGAGCAGTGGTAACACGGTGGAGTGGTTCAAACCCGATCAAAATAGCAGTAAGTAGTAATCTTTATGGCATGATTTTACCTTGAGAATATTATCAGTCAATGATAAATCTTTATAGTTCAACTGAACATGGGAGAAGCTTCAAAGTGGATAAAAGTAAATCAGAACCAAGTGGGATATTACATTGTCAACTACGACGACTGGAGTGAGCTTGTGAACCAAATGAAAGATGCAGGAAATCAATTTTCCGTCATGGACAGAGCCCAGCTTCTTCACGATGCCTTTAAGCTTGCGGACTCGATGACCATTTCATACACCGTCCCACTGGATCTCACGACTTACTTGCTAAGTACTAATGAGACCGATTACGTTCCATGGTCGGTTGTGACAAGCAAGTTCTCGTCATTGTACGCAATGTTGGACGACTCACTGGATTTCTATCACTACATTACGAAGCAAATACAAGAGGTTTATGCATATGTCAATCCAGTGAATATCAACGAAGACACTGCGCAAGATCACTTGAAGAAATTACTGAGAGAGAAAATCATGAACTTGGCATGCAGTTTGGAACACAGTCAATGCATGACATACGTCCGTGACAGTTTCAAAAGCTATCAAGATGATGAAACTAGCAAACCAGATCCAGATATTCGACAAACAGTTTACTATCACGGAATGAAGGACGTCCGCGGATTTTCTGATTGGAACGCCATATATCAACGGTTTGTGAAAGAGATTGATCCACAGGAGAGAGCTAAGCTAATGGAAGCACTTGCTGCGACCCAATCTCCACAGTTGCTTACCAATTACCTGAATATTGCTCAGGTACATATTCTAGTTATCAACTGATACCATTGCTTGTTTATAAATTGTGATTTTTCCTTAACAGGACAAGAATGGCCCGATCAAGAAACAAGACTACGTCACTGTGATGCAATACATTGCAAACAATAAAGTGGGAGAGAGTATTGTTTGGGAGTATGTGAAAAATAATTGGGAAACGATTACAACCGAAATAAGTGATATCAATGATCGCACTCTTGGGCGAATGATTCCAAACATCACAAAGAGATTCAACACTGCCGCGCAATTGCAAGAGGTATAAAAAAATTTATGGGGAATTTCTTCCAACAGGAATATCTTGATCTTATCTCGCTTTTCAGCTGGAGCAGTTCTTCGCAAAACACCCAGAAGCTGGAGCAGGTGCAGCTGCGCGACTTGAAGCTCTGGAGACGATAAAGTACAATATCAAGTGGCGGGAGCACAATAAGGCGGCTATCGATACATGGCTGAAGGAGCATCTTGAGAACTAAAGAAGAACACCCTTTCACATTCGGTTTTGCGTACTCATTCTCTTTGTTTTGGGGAGAAAGGCGTGTTTCTTGAGCAGCTTGATATTTTTGTTTCAGTAAAAGATTTTTTTTTATTCTGTGACCTCAAATTTCGACGTTGTAGTTTGAATATAAACCGATCAGAGTAATTTGTATGCTGGAAGCAAATTGTCGCCTAGAATTTGGAACGATGAGTGTTTGCACGAGTCACAGAGAATAGTGAGTTCATTGGAATTTACATTATATTTGAGGCATTTCTATTGTGAGGAAAAATTCCATATTTTACCGTGTGACGTCTTCACACATTTTTTGTAAAGTGTGCATAAAATTGTTACTCAAAGGAGAATAAAAAAGCAAATAATGTAAGATTCTTCAGAATTGAAATTTTCTTCAAAAATTCATGCGACAATGTGTCTATGCCAGATGGATCATGTACGCATATCATGAATATTGAATAACACACATCAGCGGACAATTTTCCCATCTCATTCCATCCCTCCCACTGCAGCGAAATCTATCGTCTCGCAGGAGAAAACCATTAAAGTAACTGACCTTATCGATTCGACGCCGATTGATTTCACTCAATTCACGCTGAAAGTGATTAATTGCTCTCCTATGATACAAAGTCACAGTCTGCGAGTACCCGTTGACTTCCCTCAGCGATTGCAATCTACAATGTGCAATTTGTCTAAGCCGACCTCTCAGTTGCTGCTTCACTCGCTCCTCGGCAAGTTGAAGAAGAAAACTTGATTTTGAGTGCCAAAACGTGCTTGGGCGCAGTTTTTTGTGCTGGCACTTCTGTGTTTTGTTCCAGAGATTCTTCTCTCCTGTGCTCCCCACGGATTTTCGGCTGGAGCCAAACCGGGAGTCAGACGTGAATGCGAGGCGGTGAGGTGGAGGAATTGCAGCATTTGGTGAAAGACGGCAATCCACAATGTGTGGCTGAGAGTCAAATTTCAGTTGGGGCTTCACTGCGGACCACGCAACATTGCTCGTGAGCATCGCGGAGAGTGTGTGGTTCAATTTTTGGATGTTTCAATCATTTTAATTAATGGAAAAAAGTGTGGTGGATTTGAGTGTTGAATGTGAGAAAGACACACTTTCAATGAGGTGATTACTTAATCGCTCACGAATAATTGCTTTCAGTGCTCTTGGATGTAACTTGTTGGCGTACACTTTTTGGGGTCATTTGACTCATCATCGTTGCGCTGTGTGAATCCAAACAATATATATACAATACAACGACTTTGCGACAAAATAACCACTCACTAATTTTGCGGGCGCACTCACAGTGTAAAGAATTCCATAATTTCGGTGTATCTCCTGTCCTCATTGCGGCTAAAAGCCGCTTTTGTCGACTCTTTTTCTGCACTCCACGCTTCATCTCGCCAGCGGAATCAATTGAAATGCAATAAAAACATTCGCCATCAGTGCGAGTTTTAATGGCACGGTGGAAGGCAAATATAAGGAACCGTTAATATGGTATCGATGAGACTCTCCTAAGCTGGTGTTTCTTGTTGTGACCAACAGTTTGGTGTGGTTCTCTCGCGTGGCGTCGCGTATACAAATTCAGAAGACACCATGTGTACCAAATATTAACTGAAACCACTGAAACTGAACCCATAAATCGATACCGCATAAAATTCAGTGTTACGAAAAGGAGATGCGAATGTGTGTTAAAGTTTTTGCTGTAGATTTTCAGTGATATTTCGAAAGTTGACCTGTCTCGTGGAATTTTCCCTTCGACCAGTGGCTCTAAAAATACCAATATAAACTCACATTTTACTATCGACAAAGTGATGAGAAAACTGTATACAATTTTAGGTGATGTAACACTTGTGGAGGATTGATGAGGCGCATTTGGACACACAAGTGAGAATCTGCACAAAGGCAGATCGATTTGAGAGGCAAATAGCAGTGATAATCTTGTGAGAAATGGTCCACAATCCGGCTAGTCTGGTGCGCCCGTCGTCGGTTTCGAACTTTTCCCGCCAAGACTCGAGCACTTTGCGGAAGAGCCACTCTCTCGTGCTGTCTCTGGCGACCATATGTGTGATTCTCGCGGCGTTGCTGTGTATTGTAGTCGCTGGGTTGGTGTTAGTTGGAAGGAATCTGTCAAGAGTTTCTCAGTCGTCGGCACTGAGTACGAGAAATTTTTCCGGCTTCTCATCACAGGATCCCAGTTCCCTGGCCAATCGCTCGATACTTACTCTCCCCAATTCAGTGAATCCCCAGCAAGTGCCAGGAAGAGTGGAGGGCGTAATGGCATCGACGAGATTATCAGCCGCGGCTGCGAAGATTGTGGAGCAACTGTCGTTCCGGCTGCCGGCTGAGGTCAGGCCGAAGAGATACAATCTCCACCTGCATCCCAATCTCGTGGAGAAGACCTTCTCCGGGAATGTGTCCATCGATCTAGAGGTGTCCAAGCCGGTCTCCTTCATCGCTGTGCACACGAAGAAACTCACCATCAGCTCAACGAGTCTCACGCGCGAAGCATCTTCAACTGTGCCTCTCGAGGAGACTTTCGAGTATGAGCCCCTGGAGTATTGGGTCACAGTGCCCAAGGAAACGATCGGGGAGGGAGTCTACCAGCTCAACATGTCCTTCAACGGAAGCCTGATAAACCGCATTGTGGGATTCTACGCCAGTTCCTACTTCAATCCTGAACAGAATCAAACAAGGTGATAATCATACTTTTATAATCATTTAAGAAGCTTTAGGAGGAGAGTTTTTCAAGTTTTTTTCAGTCGAAATTTAAGTATATGCAACTCAGCACTTCTTTGCCCAACAACAATTTTTGTAATCATATCAGGATTATTAAACAAGAATTACATGTACTTCCAGCTGGGAAATAGTAATTAATACAATGTAATTAGTTTGGGTTGGGCATTGGGAAGTTTGCAATTATGTAGTTTAGAATTAGGTCCAAACATCCGCTATTTTTTGAAATCCTCTACACTAGATTTCTTATGTCTCATGGCACTTGCCAGTTACTTTTGTTGCATAGAGACGAAAGCACAAAAAGCAGAAAATGAGATGATTTTCTCTTAACCGGAATAGCCATATTTATCGCGCTGAGAAACTCACGTTATGTGTGCTCTTTTGCGGCGCAAAAAAGTCACTGGAAATTGCCGTCCATTGAAAGTAAAAGTCATGACCGCAAGGTGCTGAATGTTATTCACCTCACTAATCGTTCTATCTTGCTAACTAGGACAATTGCGACGTCGAAATTTGAGCCAACTTATGCGAGGTTCGTGAGATCACATTGCAAAGATATCACTCGTGTCGATTCTAACACTTTGCTGCTCTTGCAGACAATCTTTTCCGTGTCTCGACGAGCCAGCCATGAAGGCACCATTTAAAATCAGCATCGTTCGTCCAACTGGCGACAATTACATCTCGCTGTCCAACATGAATGAGGAGAAGAATGAGGAAAATGGCGCGGAAACTGTATCGCATTTCGCCGAAAGTGTTCCCATGAGCACATACTTGGCGTGCTTCATTGTCTGTGATTTTCTCCACAAGGCGGAAACCGTGAAGACTCAGGGCATTGGCAAGGATTTCCAACTGAAGGTATATGCGACACCCAATCAGCTCAACAAGACAGAATTTGCACTGAAGACAGGCGTGGGAATTACTGAATTTTACATTCAGTACTTCCAAATTGAATATCCGCTCCCGAAACTAGGTGAGGAAAGTTGATGGTAACTGAATTAATTATCTCTTAAGACCAATTGCATGTTCCATCAAGCGATGGAAGTGGCTTACATATTTGTGTCTAGATGTTTGTTTGGCATTAATTGAAAGATATGCTTTCGCTTGTTGCACAATTTGGCGGGTTGTGCAAATACTGAGGAAAGTAATTTAAACTATTTGCTAGAAATAATTGGACTCATTCAAAATCTTCAGACGCCAGAGATAAAGACCGTCAATTAAGGCATATTAAATGAATGAGGTAGAGAAAGGAATTAAGACTTATCCGGAGTGTATTTTACAACAGAATTAGGTGGCACATGAATAATGTATTGCTTGTTAAATGACATAAGGCGAAATGATAATGAAACGAGCAATGAGATTAGATAAGTTTCCGAATTTATGCATACAACATTCTATTTACTGCTTTGTTTGCAGATATGATTGCGATCCCTGACTTTGTGTCTGGAGCAATGGAAACTTGGGGTTTGATAACGTATCGTGAGACTGCTCTCCTCTATGATCCACTCATCAGCTCGTCGGCGAACAAGCAACGCGTGGCCGAGGTTGTGGCCCACGAATTGGTGAGTGACAAGAATATGACATTGATGGTGATTGAACGGGATGCTAATTTATCTTTTCAGTCCCATATGTGGTTCGGGAATCTCGTGACAATGCGATTCTGGAATGACTTGTGGCTTAATGAGGGCTTCGCCAGCTATATCCAATACAAGGGCTGTGACCACCTCTTCCCATCGTGGGGCATGATGGATCAATTCCTGATTGACGACCTGCATTATGTGTTCCGAATTGATGGATCCTTGGCCACACATCCAATTGTACAAAGTGTGGCTAATCCGGACCAAATTACCGAGATGTTTGACGCGATTTCGTACAGCAAAGGGGCATCGATTATACGAATGCTGGAGGACATGATTGGGAGTGAGAACTTCAGGAACAGCGTCACGAGATACCTGACAGCTCACAAGTATGGAAATGCTGATACAAATGATTTACTGACTCAAGTGGAGAAGCTCAACTTGGACTATGATATCAAGTATGTGATGGACACGTGGACGAGACAAGGAGGTTTTCCTGTCGTCACTGTGGAACAGCTTAGCAATACCACCTACAAACTGACTCAGAAACGCTTCTTCTCCAATCCAGAGAATGACATCTCCTTGGCGCCTCCTTCTGAGTACAAGTGAGCAATCCTAATATTCAAGTACCTGTAACAACTAATATTTACATGAATCTTCATCTCTTTTTAAAGCTATCGATGGTACATCCCAATAACATATGTCACAGACAGGGATCCAAAAGTGCAGAGAAAGTGGTTCCCCAATTCCGACACTGAGGCTGAAATTGTGATTGATCATCCTCATGACTGGATAAAGATCAATAAGGATCAAATTGGCTACTACTACGTAAACTACCCGGCGGATGTGTGGAGTTCTCTCACAAGAGCGCTGATTGAGGACAAGAACGTCTTCTCGGTGTCTGATCGCTCCCAACTGCTGAATGATGTGTTCTATTTAGCTGATTCAACACAGACCTCGTACGAGATCGCCTTGAACCTGACGAAATACCTCAAGACTGAAGATCAGTATGTGCCTTGGGTGGTGGTGACGAATCGTCTGCTGAACATTTATAAGCTCGTGGATCAGACGGATGTGGTGCCACAGGTGGAGAAATATTGCCAGCAACTGCTGGCGAGAGTATATGAATCAATTGGATGGACTGTGAATGAGGATGATCATCTGAAGAAGTGAGTTTACTCTTAATTGATTTACACACACCAGATTGCTCTTAACAAATCACTTTTCTTTGCAGTCGACTCAGGGGTCTTATTCTGCAGTTCGCTTGCGCAATGGGGCACAAAGAGTGCCTTAGTATTGCGGGTGATGAGTTTAAGAAGTGGCTACAGGATCCGTCAAACCGTCCTCATCCTGATCTGCGTAGTATAATCTATTCCTATGGAATGCAGTCCGTGGGTGACAAGGAGAAGTGGGATCAGGTCTGGAAGATTTACCTGGCTGAGACGGATGCTCAGGAGAAGACTAAACTAATGAGTGCCTTAACGTCGGTGAAGGATCACTCGCTGCTCAATCGGCTCATAACACTGTGCTGGGATGAGAAGAACGTTCGCGGTCAGGACTACTTCTCGACCATGAGCAGCATCGCGAGCAATTCAATTGGTCGGAATCTTGTCTGGGACTACGTTCGTGAGCACTGGGAGGATTATGTGAAGAGATTCGGACTGAATGAGCGATATTTGGGCCGAATGATTCCTGCCATAACGAAAAATTTCAATAGCAATGTTAAGTTGGAAGAGATGAAGGCCTTCTTCACAAAGTACCCTGAGGCTGGAGCTGGAACGGCGGCGAGGAAGGAAGCCTTGGAGAATGTGTCCGGAAACATAAAATGGCTTCAGAATAACAAAGATGTTGTCACAGAGTGGTTCAAGAACAATTCTAAGTAGATTTCTTATGAATTTTGAAATAAATTGAGGGAATATAAAACAACTTCAGTGAATTTTTCTCATGAACCCAGAAAATGAAAACTGGTAAGTAAACTATGAAAATTTGATGTTTAGGATCTCTAGGATGCTTCAAAAATATTCTTGTGTATTTCTTAAAAATTCTACATAGTGAATGCTTAATAAATATTTAATCTACTTAGGTTTTGAGTAATGCGTCTTCTTGCAAGTTACGCTCTTCTCGTTCATTCAAATATCATCAAGCTAATGCAACAGTTAATATACGAATATTTGTCATTTATCCTACATCAATATATGTACTACACATACACTACAATTTAATATACTGCGAGATGCACTCACTGCAAGATTGTGCTATTCATCAATTTGAGATAAGAGCACCTGGAGCCGAAGATTCGTGATATTCAATTGCCCGACGAAGTGGCAGCTTCACATTTGTGGTATGGATAAAGTGGAACTGATATTGCAGTGCACATCTCAGGTACAGAAGAGTCACTGTTAGTTCTTAATCTCGTTATTAATCTCCTCCATGTATCGCACCAAGTCAGAACTGTTGAGCTCTTCGTCCATCTCCTGCAGACTGGAATTGCTGATGGTGTTGGAGTGAGCACTGTCGACACTGTTGAGTTTCTTCAGCTTCTCATCGGCCGTTCGCAGTCCCACGTCCCCATTGTGGGAGGACTTGAGATGGAAGACCATCTTAGTGCTGCGGCGCAGCTTCTCGGCGATTGTGGAGAGCGCCGACTGGTGGAATTTCACCTTTCCGCTGGAATGCCCCTCGCTTCCCTTGGAGGGCGAAATTGCGAGGGCGACAGTCTTCGACGGCGACACCGGCGTGGGTGGACCATTGTAGACTTCCGTCGGCAGCAGCTTTCCGTCCGCCGTGGCGGTCCGGCTGAGCGCAGTGGCGATGGTGAGTTGGCTCTCGGAGGTGTGATATGGCGGTGGCCTGGCGTCACCCTCGTTGGTTACTTTGAAGCAATTGTTCATGAGATTGAGCGCCTGGTGGTTGCCATGGATGAGCGAGAGGTCAGACTCGCGCTTCTCAATGTGACCCATCTCCGCCGCCAAATTGTTGGGATTCCTATTAAGGTTGGCGGCTAACCTGAGGGAGCCCCCTACGCCAGCCCCAGCAGCTCGACTCAGGGCGCTGTAGTTGTGGTTCTGACCGTGATACTTGCCGCCAAAGCCGCAGTGCCGCGCGAGGGTTGACTGCAAAGTACGAGCGGAGGGAATGAGATTAATTCCCATTGTGGATAACTTTTCTTCTCAACTTTGTTCTTTTACTACAGCCTCGTCCTGGGGCGAAATGGAATAAATCTAGTGAAATGTCGACAAGTGTCTTTGCGACAAATGTTGAACTTTGCAAGTGAATTGAGAGAAAAATTGTGTTTGGAAGAAGGAAAGGAGTGGAAAAGTTTTTGTCGACTCCATATCATCGTAATTTTTCACTCTTCCTAATATTGCTTCCCCCTTTATTGATACACTGGCAGAAATATTTATAAAGTCACTTGGGAAAATTTGACTTTATGTGTTCTTTCTATTGCGTACTATATTGTGTGACATTGAAAATTCTTCTTCAATTAGTTCAAGGAATTTCATGCGAAGATGTCCTTGTTTTCTAAACCAATAGTTTCAATGCGGATTCAATATATTCTCTACTCCACTGTAAGGATGCGTAGAAAATGACAAAGCGACACACCCCCGGATATCATTATTCTACGACTTTTGCACCCTCTTCTATTTCCTCATATCACTTTCTTGTCTGCTGAGCACACTAATACTCAACAACACAGAAACTGTCGTTTAATGTGTTCACTTTCAATTTCAATATTTCATAAATTTTTATCGAACATCCCCGAGACAGCCGCACAATTTCAATAACAAGATGAATGAGATTATGCAGGTCTTTCGGAGGTTTCCGCCCAGAATGCTAAATTATTAAAATTTGAGATAATGAATGATGTCTATGAAAATTGGAGGAACCCGAATAAGTCCCTCAATATATCAAAATGTCCAAACAATGGTTTGACTTATGAATTCCATCCTTTTGAAACATTTGCTAGTGACAGAAGTACTTATTCACAATTCAAATTAAAGTGAAATTTATAATGTCAAATTTGTAGGCTTTGCCTTTGAAAAATGTATTTTCCAATTTCTCAAAGACTTCTCCACTCTTTTCGCAGCATTGAGCGATACGGGAAGCATAAAAACTCCTGGGTGAGGTCCCAAGAAATGTGATGCAATAAAAATCGACAATAAAATAAAGTTCCACCCAAAGTGAATTCACACTATTATTTGTTTATTTTATTTACACTTCCATCACACCCGCTAATGCTCTCGTGAGTGAGAAATTTCGCATTATTGCCACGATTTTCTCGTCATTAAATTTAGGGGTTCTCTCGAAATGACGTTTTAAATGTTGCGCGCACAAAATCCTTTTGACTCTGAGAGTTCATAGTACATATAATTCTTTACGCTTTTCCAACTGAATGTGGCAGTTAAATTATTTATTCTGTTACACTTCTTGAAGGCATTCGAGAGAGGGAAAGTAATTGGCAATGAGAGAGAATATCAGTATAATTGTTTTCATTTCATTTTGGTGATGGATTCTGCAGGGATATTTGGCCAAGAGACGATTACGAAGAATCGAATTGCGTGCTGAGAAAATTGAGAAAATGCGTTGAGGGAATGTCAATGGAGAGGAAGTGTGATGAAATCTATTGATTAGCTCGTGGCTTCTATTCTGGGGGCCTCTTAAAAAATCGTTATACTTTCATTTTTGTGCCGTAGCATATTCCATATAATTAAATTTATGTTTAAGCTACGTGAGCATTTTACAATATGATTTTCAGTTTTCAATTTCCTGCATCTCGGTATGCCAATATTAAATCAATATTGTCATATTATGGAAACCCCTGCTTTTAATTGCGCACACAGGAACGAACGTCTTTCGACGGAACAATTAATTTATTTCTTTGATGTTCCCTTTGTGCGGTGAAATATGGAACTCAGTGTGTGAAATAACACACAATGATTATGTCAGAAGCAATAACGTATAAATCATTAATCAAATTGATTTTTTATGCTAAACGACTGGAATCTGCCTGAACCAGAAAATCCCATTTAATACGAGAAAATTGGATGTTGAGAACCTTAAGAAAATTTATGTCATTTCAAGCCAATTTCTCCGATAAAACGTCCGTAATCTCCAATTTGTCGGATATGATATCAATCATGACTTTTTGCGATGATTTGGGCAATAAAGGCCAAGATTTTTAACGAAAATGACATGAATTTAAACCTATAACCTCATAAATGAAATAAAGGTAAGGCGAATAACACCTAAGGGTAGAGGATAAATATGCACAAGATATTCAATTTGTATCAATTACCCTAAATAATGTACCTTAAAGGCATCCCGGAACTTGTGACTCATGATGTTGTAGAGCAGAGGATTGATGCAGGTGGACAGGAAATAAAGGACGCCAGATATATACGTCAAGGCTGTGTAGATGGTGTAGAAGATCTCATGTGGCGTTTCCACCGTTGATCCATAAACGGCCATTAGGCGCTAAATAGCATCAGAGCGAAATCCCGGCACGCACGATCGAAACAGAGGAAGTTGGAAGGCTCCATTAATATAATTTTCATCACAGTGTTCAGGTAATATGATAAATACTCACCTGAGCATGAAAAGGCGCCCAACAGAGGAAAAACGCCACAGCGACCGCGACTGCGTGAGATAATGAAGAGATGGTAAAAGTCACATATGATTTATGGTGGCACAGTGAGGAGTTGCATGTGAAAAACTTACCCAGCATGCGGATAACTCGCGTTTGAGCGCTGATGCCCTTTCTCTTGGTGCCCTGCAGCAGCTTGGAGTTCTGGAGTTTCACACCAATTAGGATGTACATTATGCAAATGAGTGTCATAGGGCCAACGAAGAAGATGAAACTCGAGATCTCGAAAGCGTGCTCCACAAAGACATTCTTAACCTAAGTGGATTGAGAGAAAAGCGAGAGTGAGTCGAAAATAGAGCGTATCATTCAGAAAATATTCCGCTTTGTTACACTCCCTATAATGTTTATATGATGGAGAGCATTTATTTTTAGTATTCCATGTAATTTAGAGACGGTTAATTATCGGCATTTCATAAAAACACTACGTCTGTTTATTTCGAGGTGGTATTGGGAAACGTCCTTGCACTTCACTCTGATTTTCAGCACAAATCTTGGCTCGAATGAAAAGCTCTTGGAATAATATAAAAAGAATGAATCTCTCGTCGATATTTACGATGTTTTCACATATTAAGGCTTCCTATATGAGTTCAGTTTGCTTTATTCATATTGAAATTCATTCTTGTAGACAAGAATCCAAATATGGGACTTTCAGTAAAAATACTTCCTGCTGATATGCGTCATATGAATTATGACCAATTCTGATTTAGTGCTTCACGACAAATCCTTCAAATAGTTCACGAACTTCTCTTCATTTCACATGAGAAGAATGATTTATAAGCTCTTGGCTTCCAAATTTACTTGATCTTCCACTTCATTTGCTCTCAGATATTTTCGAGTGTGCTGTACATATCAGATTTTGCAAATTTTCGACAGATACCCATGAGCAAGACTGGGTGAAGGCGTTCTAGTGTTCAAAAATATTCTACTCTCAAAGACATTTTTCACAAGCAGATGGAAAACTCTCCCAAAGAAAGGCCTTGCAACATTCTTTTTCCGTATCACCGCACAAATCTTAATGAACTCGTAAGAGAAGTTGTCTATTAAATATTCATTGATGTTGTAAAGAATAGACATACACGTTTGTGGCGAAAGAACGAAGGCACAGTCTTCATATCTCGTTTATTAGGACATTTTGAGATATGGAAGCGAAAGGATATTTTTTTAGGATGGATAGAAAGCAGGAGAAGCACTTCATAAATAAGTTCAGGGGGGTCACGGGGTTCATCAATAAATCTGCAATGAGTATGAGGTCAGAAGATTTTGGTGTGTTACATCTCTGATCTCTACGATTTGCTAAACGTAAGGAAAGTGAATTTACTTTCTTTGTTGTTGAGAAAGAAAGCAAATATTGTGCTGATGCCCTAAAAGAGTCTTTTGGGAAACTTAACGATCAACCCTGTAGTCTCGTGGCGCATATCTTGTGTGACCTTTCATCACTCTGCTGCCAATGCGTAGATACGATAGACCCCCGAGGTGAGATTATGCCTTTTATCGAAGCGACTAATGGTGGGATAAAATAATAAGCAGGGTGGAAGGTACTTGCCGTGCAAATGCTGCCCGTCGCTTCCACGGCCACGATGCCAAATTGGAAGGCTTGCGGGATGGCGAGGCAGAAGGCCACAATCCAAATTGCCAGAATAAATTTCACAGCTCGTGACAATTTGGACATGGTGTGCTGCCTGAAGGGGTGGCAGATGGCGATGTAGCGCTCCACCGTGAAGGACGTGATGGTGAGCACGGTGGCGTTGGTGGAGGTTTCTGAGAGCAGGCCCTGGAGGATGCAGAAGGACTGGTTGAAGGGATACTGCGCCGGATACCAGATGTTGTATATCTCCAGCGGCAAACCAGACACGAGTAGCAACAAATCCGACACAGCCAGGTTGAACAGGTAAAAATTTGTCGCCGTGTGCATTGACTTATTCCTTGAGATCACAGTGCAGGTGGTGACATTGCCCAAGACACCCGCTAAAAATATCACAGCATAGAAGACTGTTATGGGGATGACCACGGACATGGGATCCCGCGACGAATGTGTCATGGCGTCGGAGACATTCCGGAGGAATGTGAGATTCACCAGGTCCGGTGACTGCTGCGTGAGATTCACGATGAACTGTCGCAGAGCCTCTCGCGTATAGTTTTCATATCCTGCACTCGACACTATAAATGTCTCATTCATGGTGGCGGAGTATTTTATCCTGCTCGGGAAGGAGTAACTTGACCTTTATGCACCACTTCACGCGTTCAAGGGGCTCTTTGGCACACTCTCAACGGATCATTTTGGCACAGGCTCCATCCTCCTCCTCACCAGGCATGCGAGTATCTGTCAGGGCATAATTAAACCTTAATTGAACAATTTATTGGAATTGGGCAATGAGTTTGAGCAGTGGCTTCCCCTAGGCTCGTTATTAGGGGAGTTTTGTGTCGGAAATTTGAGTACTTTTTATCGAGATTATAATGATATATTCACACCGCCTAACGCAGCTCTAATTCGGCCATTGTCACCCTCCTCGTTTCCACAGGAGATATGAACAATATAGAAATTTTTTGGACAATTCGCAGCGTTTCCGTTACTCTCTCTCTCTGTCTCTCTCTTCAATTTATCACTTTTATATCACACGGTCGTCGTTTTTTAGATTAATCACTATGATTGGCAAGATTAACTCTGAGAAGTTAACTGTTTTGTCACACTTTAGGATATATACTTTCTTCTTAAGGCATAGATTCATGGTTCGCTAAGAATCTCAACAGTTAGTTTCTATGACCATTTAAGGCTGTCTATTTTATTGGAAATCAATTTACGCTTCACCAAAAAAGTATATCATCTTAATTAGTATTTCTCACGAAAGGAAGGTAAGATATTCCGCACAACTTTGATCCTTTACAACTTTTGGCACTTCCATCAATTCTCAGCACGGGTGCCTTGATGAGCACAACACTCTTCATGAGAATTGCGCCTTGCTTTGGAAATTGAGTGGTAAATTTGTCATTTTAGCGCCCCATAATAAAGTCAATTAGCATAAATTATAAACGAAAATTGCCAATGATATACTTTTGATTACATCAAGTCAATTCAATTTGCGAATAAAATAAATGCTCTTATCACAACTGTCCAGCGCAGAAAAATTTCATTTTACATAAATATTAATTTTTCCCATGGTAAATTGAATATTAAATCCGTCGTTTTACCCCCTGTTTTTGGGATGCAGACACCTCGAAAAGCACGCAAAAGAGGCAGATATTCATGAAATGGCTCAAGAGAGCACAAATAAATGTATCGATTTGTGTGGAATAAGTCTGATGTGGTTTTTTGTCGCTTGAGGATTTCTACAAAATTTAAATACAGGTGAAAAGAAGATTGTGTTTCAGCAATTCAAATAAAACGTGAGTTTTTGTTTGCATGCTAAAATACTAATTGTATAAACCGAATTTGAACTTTTGACACAAAAATTCCGTCTGCACAATTTCCGCATCATCCAGTAATGAAGAAGAATATTCAGCAAAATTGGTTTCGTCTCAGGCAACGGCGCAATATTTGGGATATCAGTGCTTTATGATCGAAATTAAATGAGTTTCTGTCTAGTGATAAATTATCATGCCAGAGATGCGAGACTGTGATTGAGGATGACATTGTCTTTTTCTCAATTTCCTGAGATTCGTGTCATCTTGACTTAATCTAAAACTTTTCCTAGGATCATAATGTAAATGCTAAATGATTTGGCTAGAAAATGCATTGAAAATGACTTGAATATCAGTCAAAATAACCCGTTTTGCGCTTCTTTTCATTTAAAATTCATACAATGCTTTTTTCTGCCTAGGAGAAGAAACTAGAAGACAATAAAATTGAAGAGAGACCGCAGAGAATCCGTAAAAATTAAAATATATTTGCGATTTTGCTTGAATTGGTTGGAATTGGAAATTTTCACAAACACCACGTATTAAGTCTGGAATGTCAACCACTCTGCGGTATTTTGATGCTTGTTTTCTTGCACAATTCTTTTGGCTTGATGGAGATTTTTCATGTTCTCAGTTTTTTGTCTAATTGAAAAAATCGTCTATTTGATCATTCTGTCGAATTTCGATTTTATTTTGTCGGTCATTGACATAGGAATCGGCGAAAACACCTGAAAAGGCGCAAAGAGAAATCTTCTGGAAATATTTCATGTCATGTACCGAAAATGAAAAAAAGTAAAATTGATATTAAATTATAGTGGCACAGAAATGCTAATAAGTCTGGCCGAAGAATTGCTTGCTATAATGGTAGAATGAGTATATTTGGAATATCTCTTTCGCGTGTTTTTATTGATACTTTAGCATTCCTTTTTGCGCTTTGGTAATTGCATCGAAATATGGGCGTATAATTATCAGCTTGCTTTGTTTGACACTGAACAATTGCTCATTTACTATTCATAAGTTATCACTTTTTGACAAAATGTTCATATTAAACCCCCATGAAAATAAATCAAATCACGTAATGGTTGTGAAGAAAAGAATAATTCGATTTAAATTATTCACTCAACACGTCCATTTTACCTTCTTGGGCACTTCCTCTTGAAATCAAGGTAGAAGAAACAAGTCTCGACGGAGCGGTTAAAGGTAAATAATGAATATTCCAATTTGTTATCCCAGGGATTCCATTTCTTTCGTCATGAGAATACTTTATAGATAGAACTTTATTCACAATATCTCTTGGGAAATTTTACGTCTCTCTTCACGTGAATTTTAAGGTAAACTCTTGAAATTCCACTCAATTTCACTGTAAATCCTCTCGTCTGAAACTCAATTCTTATCAATTTCTAGCAAAATTCCGCGAACTACTGACTGAAGAACAACTTTTCTTCCTCAGTATAACTATTGGGAAATGCGTCTGAGGACACGAAGCGCCAGCTCCACTCCTGAGAAGTGATCTGGGTAACCGCCAAACACCAACTGCCCGAATGCTGTTGAAAAGATAAAGAAGAAGTGGAGTATCACAAGATACCCACATAGCGCGTCGGTTACATGGATTCCGAAGTGGGAGAGCGAGAGAGAGAGAGTGATGGCACGAATTCATGCTAAAATTCCGATTTTCTGATTAAATTGATTGTATATTTCTACCGATTTCCATTCACATAACTCGAGATTTTCCATGATTGCGGCATTCATGCATAGATTAAAGTTCCCCTCTCGCGATGAGCTTCAGACAAAGTGTTATGTTATGCTCGCTCTCGCACTCTTGGCTCTCTCTCGCATAAGCACATACCAGGCGCCTCCACTGACTGTGTGGAGTCGCCTGGTTGTTTTTATATAGTTGCGATGATTCTTCAACATCCGGATTTTATCTGCGTTCTTTTTTGTGAACACCCCTGGTGCCTGAAGGAATGCATTCACACTTTGATGACAAAAGGCATCCCAGAATAAGTGCCTTCGAGCGTGGAGAGGAGTTGTTCTCTTGTCCAAATTTAGAATCTTCTCAACCGGATTCTTCAGCAACCACATAAGCTGATCAGTAATTTATGACAAAATGTGAATTTTTATTAGTTAGGTAATGAAACAAAAAGACGTCCACCTGAGACTTCTTCGCGTGTGATTTTTGGGCAAAAATAAAACCAGTTTCCCACCACACACTATATTTACTTCTTTCGCTATATTTTCAGAACCTTGCAGTTCGCGTGGCAATTTAAATAAAAAAAAACTTTTATCAGCTCTGCATCTATTTGGACTGGAGATTCCGGGCAGAGAGTGACTTCTCTTCACACATCTGTGTAACCTTAGACCGCGTCTGCAGGTATTATTGAAACACGTGTTTCCGTCGTGAGTGATATTTAACTCACATTTTATAGACACTCTTCCTTCTCGCTACATAAATTAATTGGCAAATCAACAAGCATTCATTAATGAGCCAAGAATGCCCGCAATCTTCGCCCTCGTCGTCATCTTCGCAGGTCAATCATTTAGCACTGGGACCACAATTCTTTCATTGCGAGAGTCGTTTTCTATTAATATATTTCAATGTATATATATTCTTAGTAATTTTACGATTAACCGTTGATGTTTTCAATGTATTTTTAGTTTTATTTTCTCTAACCAGTGATGATTTGATTGAAATTATAGACCTTCTCGTCACAGAGGATGAAACCGAAATAACATTGTATATGCGTCGCACTATAGTAGCACAAAAAGCGTCGTTTGCAATTAAGTTTCAATGGAGATTGTCAAAATTTGTCCAATTTGATGAAGTGTGACAATTTATTTGCAAAAGAGCAGCATTGATAAACCACCCTCTGCAGTGCTCCTCAGCGCCCATTCGCAAAAAAGTGATTTATGACCCAACTTGGGATGATGCTTCAATGTTTATGTTCCGCTCTACACACAACCAGAACTGATCAATAGCGTGTTATTGGCGATTGACAGTTATGCGATTTTCCCCCAAATTTAAAATATATTGTGAGAATTTTTTTCGTATATGTTTTCGCTGCCACTTTGACCTATTCACACACAAAAAGTGGGAATTCGTGTCGAAAATAAAATATGACATTACAATAAGAGATACATATATATGTAAAGGCCTATTTTGGCGGTTCAACTCCACATCTTTATCCATAAAAGCCATGAAATTTAGTCGTCGTTAAATTTAACTATCATTTCACATTCAAATATGGGGAACTTAGCATTCATATGCTGTTTTCGCCTCTTGAAATTGGTTTTAATTTTAGAAAAATGCTTCAAATTTATGCAATTATTCGTCTGAGTGGGCGTCGTTGCGAAATATTTTCATAACAATAAAAAGACAGATTTAATATTTTAAAATATGATTTTATCAGACGAATCACAGAAGCTTTAAAAAAAAAGAATTGGTTTAATTCTGTGAAAGTTTTGTAGCTTGTTCTTGAGCTTGATATTGTGCTACTAAATTTGTGATTCTGTATGCGCAAACATAATCCAATAACATTACATGTACTATTCCGCAATGTGGGTGAACTTTTCAAATTCAAAAGTCCTTAAGAAAAGAGACTTCTCTCAGAGCAAGTTCAATATTTTGTAACAAAACAGCTGACGAAATTTCCGATGGCGCTTTTTCGGTTTCATCGCAGATGCTGCTTGACTTAAGTTAGATAAAGATTTTCTTAAAGTTTCGCAGAAAACCAAAAACTTATCTTTGTGCCACTTCGGCAAAAAGTTGGTCAGTCAGTCATGTTGCGCTGAATATGTGGGAGATTTAGATAACAGCGAAGCGTGCAAGAGGAAAATTGGTAAGAAAAGCTTACGTCACATGAAACCAAACATAATCAAAGGGCGAAAGAGATTGATTTTACGGAGAAGCTTCTGTGGCAAAAATTCCGTAAACACGCAACTCAAGACGCAACTCGGGGACGCATTGTTGACAAAATTAATTTCTTTTCATTCAGTATCTCCGCCATAGTGCCGAAATTAGATGTATGACGAGATTATGTTTGGGACGAAGTGCTTGGCACAGGAACGTCAAATGGCTGGCAATAAAAATCAGAAGCCAATAGAGTTGCCTGTGTCCCTTTTGCCTGCATACATATCACACAGCGACAAGTCAAGGGCGAACGGAGATTCTCACCCGGGATCAAAGAGACTAATTTGAAAGCCTGATTCCTCACAAGATTTCCCATGAAGGTGGAACGTGAAATCATTTCGTTGAGGATGGCACATTGAGTGAAATGCCTCTCGGTGTCGGTACAAAAGAAGGAGAAAAGGCCATTTCTGTGGCATCACGAAAAAAGGTGAAATATCTTCCTTTAGATTTCATGTGGCGGGCTTTGCCGTGACATAATGGTACCAACTCATCCCGATTTAGACACTCCGATGGCCATTTAGATAACCATCCTAATCTATCAAAGTGGATTAAACCACCTTTTCATCGGCCAGCTGAGAGTGGCTGTCTTCACCCTGAACGCCCCAACATTTGTGATTTAAAGTGCTGATGAATAGGGAAGCTGAACCGTAAGTAACTTTTAATGAGAATTGCCTCTTTCAAGTGAATTTTAAGCCGTTTTTTGCATATTCAGGAAAAAACCCGTGTCATTTAATGTTCCCTTTGTTTCAGCCCTCGGAATTTTCCATCACGCTCGACAGACCAAAGGAAAAAAAGTTGTTTGTCTTCATAATTGAAACAACTCGTGAGACACTTAATTTGTCGAAATGGAAAACAAGATAGTAGAATTTAATTTTCCCTCCACAGGAAGAAAAAAATAAAAGGAATTTTCAGCAATGTTACTTGCTCTCTCAATTCATCCATTTAATCAATTTGAACGAGAGAGGAAGGAAAAAGTAATGTGGAAATTATGTGTCATGGAACATTGAATTTTGGAGTGGAAATGTTTTAGCTGACATTCACCAAGTCGAGAGAAATTGTACAGTGGAATTTCCCTGTCATTAAGCCTAATTAAAATGGCATATTGAACTGAGCAGGATATTTTCTACTCTTTTCGTTTCTCTGAAAGGTGAATTTTCCCATTTTACCTAATCTATTATAATACCACACATTTTATTTACGAAAATTGTCTGACAAAATTTTCTCTCGTGAAATATGCTTTTCATTCACTACATTTTTCTGAGGAATTCAAGACAGAATTATGAAGAGAGGTGATTTTCACCTCTGATGTAAAGGTTCCACCTACATACATTTCAGGGCATGCGGTTAGGCTACTGAAAGCCATTCAGAAGTTTCACATCATATCTCAAAAAGATATCTTAGAAAATTCTGAACTTCTATCACCCATTAAAAAGAACTATGTGTAATTTGTGATACATCTGGGGTGATGAAAGTTTAGTGGTTGATACTTTAGGGCATTCATCTGTGAAATCTGCAGAGGAGTCAATGTGGGTATTTGGAAGGGGGTTGAATGAACAGATAGTAAAATTTTAATTAGCACTGAAAACTCCTGTGGATATTATATTTGCTACATTGTCTTCTTGCAATGTAACCTCTCCTATTGTTTATGGTAATATTTTCATGGTGAAAAATGTGAAATTTCCTTGTAATCGTCATCCACGCATGAATAATGATCCACTTGGCATTTCCTGCCCTGAAGCTAATGTCCTCTGTAACTGCTTCATTTCGCCATTCAACCTCCTAAACCCAATTTGAATTGTTACTTCCTCGTTTTGTGATTTTCAGTGAAGTTGAGTGGCGAATAAGCTTGAAAATTGTACAGTCTCGTTTTGGTAATTTCTCACGAATGTGCCGTAAAATAGGCGACTTGAGGGGAATTAAATCCTTGGCTGAACTCCTATCATATATCATATGCTTCGCATAAAAGAAAGTAGTGAGCTTTATGAGGTACTAAGGAAAAGTTCATACGACAAAAATAATTTATTTTATCAAAGCTCATCTTTGTAATAATGTATGAAAGTTTACTAAGAGTATTACTGGGCATTTACCAGAGAAATATGATTTCAACTACTTTGGCAACAGACCAAATAATATTGCATAAAATATGTATGTCGGGAAGGACAGTTTACACGGACAGGACAAACTTTTGTGAATGGTGACTGTTGAATTTGATGGTATGAATTTTAATTGGTCTTCTCTGTGGCAAACATCGCCGTAAAGTCAAAGCGTGAAAGCAGAAAAGTCGCCGCAAAAGTCCCAACGAAAGCTCATAAAATTATGACAAATACAATAAAGTAATTGGCTCAGAATTAACAAGTACTGTAAAATAATAATTAATAGCAATTGACAATCAAATTTATTCAATTCTTAATATGAATGCAATTTCGCAAAAATTCTCTGATTAACTTGTCGCTCAGAGATTGTCATAAAGACAAATAATGGAATATTTTCGTGTCTCTTGATGCCCAGAAGCTAAATAGCAACCTGTTAGCACGCTACCTAAAACAAATAATAGTCGACTAGAGGTGTTCATTTACACCCTTTGTTACTTATTTCTTGAGTACTATTGTAAATTATGCAGTCCTAAATTTGTTACATCTTTTTATGTCTTCTTCCACTTTTCGTTTTTGTGTGTAAATTTCAGGTAAATATAAATTTACTCTGGAGTCAAAGAATTCCCCTAATAAATCTGCCACAGCATTTGGAAAAAAGGTGCCAACAGAGACGGTTAATTAACACTTGATCTGCCGTCAGCGCTTTAGTGGGAACAACCTGAAAATGTCATTAGTTGTTCGGAAACTTTTACACAAGAGAGACATGAATTTACCTTTCCACTCCACGCTTTGGAATACAATCAATCTTCTCCAAAAGTGAGTTTTTCCCTTCTTCATTCGAGTGTGGCAGGCATCTTAAAGGCACTGAACGTATTCTAAAATCCCGAGAAAATGTGTCAATTCACTGAAATTAAATACTCTCCGTAAGAGACGAGTTGAGAAAGACACCACAAAAGAGATTAGGTGCCGAGACGACGATTCCAGTTCATCGAGTGAAGAGACAGAAACTAGGAAGCGCCAGAAAAAGAATGCTCACAATCTGAGTAAGTTTCTTGGTAACGATTTGGAAATTTCTGAAGACTAACCAATAATTTATCTTAGTTGAGAAGCGTCGTCGAATCCAAATAAATGATCGCATTAATGAGCTTGCAACTCTCTTGCCGAGAAACACCGAACCATTCGGCGAGTTAATTGATATGCACTGTTCAGATAAGAATGGGATATTGAAATCAACAGTGGAATATATTAAATGTCTCAAGCGCGAAGTGGAAAAGCTTCAGGATGAGGCGAAACAATTCCGGGATTTGGAGAAGATAAATCGTGATCTGGGAAATCGTATCAAGGTCTGTACATGGTCAATAGGCTCTCAGAGTCGAAAAATATCACGTATTCTTTCTCGCTGAACTTTTCAGGAACTGGAAATGATGCCAAATCTATTAAATTGTGATTTTGATTTGGCCAATATTTGCCTTGATGGAATCTTCGATGACTGTCTACAAACTGAGGTGAATATTTTGGTGAGAACAACATCGATTTTGTGAACTGAACGTGAACTTTGAATCCCATCTTCTATGGTCAGGATCCAAGCCATGTAAACAGCAACCCTTCATCATTCATGAGTCAGCAAGAGGGCTCAACTGGAGAGAATTACACCTTCCCAGAGTTCATGCAAAGTCCATCATTCATTCAATCAAATCCCACCAATTTGTCGGTCCGACATCCGTCTTTTGCAATCTTGAATTCTGCTACAAACGTTTTTGATCCGGAACTGTTCATCGACCAATCCAGCGATTCAAGGAATATTGAATAAAACATCAGAGAATGTGACATATTAAATGGTGTGTCATCATGTACATAACAGTCTCAAGTTGACATAAAGTATTGGAAATTAAATTAATAATGAGGAGAAAAATATCCGTACTAGTGTATAAAGAAGTGTAATTTATAACATAAATCACTATTTTGTCACTTCGATCTTATTCAGTTGAGTCTGCATTACTCACAACTGTAATAAGTTGACATTGAAAATAATGAGGAATTATAGAAAGTAAATTCAATTGAGTTCATCATGTATTAATGTGGGATGATGAAGTGAAAAGTTAAATAAACTAAAACTTTGAATTTTATTGCGTTAAATGGAATAACATTTTATGAAAATTTGCATTGTGCATAAATTTGAATATAACATGCAAACATTGTAAAAAATCGCTCATTTCTGATGAAATATATTAAATTGAGGAATTCGGGGCAATAAATTTGTTTTTACGTGCTCAAATGGATTCTAAAATATTATTATTCATAATTACAACATTCTTTAATAGCTTTTAGCACATCGACAAAAATTCTTTCCCTTTGAATCCGGAATACATGTGCAAATGTTATTCCTCATCTTGAAGTCTCTTTTCTTCAACATCTCTCAGTAAATGACAAAGCGATGAAACGTGAACAACGTATGTTGTATATGTGACTTAATTAAATGACATTAATAATGTTTATTGTTGTAGATGAATTCCCGACATTATGTCACGATTTCATTGCGAAAAGACGCTCGAAATCTCTGAACTCTGAGTGATAAAAGTTAGATGCCGCACAAGTGGTAATACCTATTATTTAACAATTTTCTCGCTTAATTACTATTTGTGCGGGATTGTAAGGACTCTCAATGGTGCAATGTGAAAATTGCAACGGTTTTGTAATTCGAGAAGCCAAATAGGCAATGCACCGCACAGCCGCATAAAATTTTATAATTACTCTTTTCACTCTTGTTCAGTAATATGAGAACTGAATATGTAACAATAATCTATTTACACGCAAGTAGAGTTCATTTCAATTGCTTACTTTGATTGAATTAATGTTTGCCGTTCAACTTTTGGCACATTTTTTTTTTTGACAATGTGAGAGTGATGAAACAGGTTCTCAGCTATTTGCCTTGAATTTGACCAATAAATTTTGTCTTATTTGTTTCAAGTTTCTATCTAGCATAAAATTGGCATAATTATGTGCTGTATTATTATCAATGCTATAAAATATCACAGCAAGTGAAAAGAATTCCATTTTCTATTTTCGTCTTTTCAAAATTCCATCGAGAAGATAACACTGAATTGCCAATTGAAATTGATGCTTTACGTTTTTCTTCGCATTTTCACAATTTACTCAGAATATTAGGCTCCCTCCAAATATTGATTCAGTGGCTCTTGTCTATGGAAATACAGTAAATCATCACGGACATAAATTTATGGGGATTTAGAATTTTCTCATTTTAATGCGAATATATTGATTGGAACCACGAGTATTCTCTATAACATAACAGTTTCTGTGATGGAAATCTTTAACAGAAGCGTGCTTCTGACTTTTCTGCTTCGTCTTGGAGGGTTCTTAAAGTTTTCATAAATATGCAAATACTCTTAAACTTTGAACAGCACTGCGTAGCGCGTGCACAGGAAGCAAGAACTTCTTTAAGTGTACGCAAAAGGCTTTGCAGCTCAAGATGTCATGATTGTCACAAAAAATGGCGGCTTCTTTATGATCTTTTCCGTCTTTTCTTTCACATCTTGATTCCGCGGAACAAATTTCACCAATTAATTCATTTCTCCAATTATCTCATATTTTGGTAGTATTTTTAGATAAATTGCGGTTTCATTTAATTGGCAAAATCCTTGACCAAATCGAGAGACATTTCATTCAAACGTTGCTTGTTAATTTCATTTCTTAAGTATAGATTTCTTTGTAGAACACCTCTTAAATTCCTGGTACTCACTGTAAGATTTACATAATAAAGTATGTGCACGCTTTCAGGTGATAGAAGTGAAGATAACATAATACAAATTTTGAGCATTAAACGTGCTCAAATTACTAAATAAGAAGGAAAATAATTATGAATTCCCAACAATTTTGACCTACAATTCAGAAAATTTGCAATAATACTCATAGAGTTAATTAGCTCACTCATTGTGACTCTGCAAGAAATCACTTGAGCTCCATGACAAACTTGCGCCAATGCGTGGAAATCAGAAGGGTAATTCACCAAATCTCTCCCGGCATTAAACACTATAATACTCTCACTCTTGGTCCTAAGGATTGATTGCGATGACTTTCGGTAATGGACAATAAAAGTCCGACAAATGGACTTGTCGCTCTCTCAGAAGGAGATTAATGGAGATTTGCCAATAGTGTTGGGAAAACTCTCAAGGAAAAGTTCAGGAGAATTTTTCATAAAATTCCACTTTCTTTTGTCACGAGAGCGCTCGTGTAAATACATATGTGCCGAGAGTATATAAAAGAAAAAGTATAACAATTTTTATTCCACACTTGACTCGTGATTTTATTGAAATATTCCTGCGAAATGTGTCATTTAAGATTGATATGGAGCAATATTCACGATATAAGATAAACTATATTGAATTTGGGTTTGAGTAGAGAAGAGATTGAATTATTGAGTGTCATTCTTCCCTAACTGGTTGACAATATACATAAATAATGTTTGCCTTTGAGCACTCTTAAATGCATATAGAACAATAATAACAAAAATTGGGCGTATAAACTATTTCATGATAATATAGTTGTACCCGAAATAAGAGTCCTTAAACTTTTTTGTCACTGTATGTACACTAAAGCGATTCGCAGGGCTGTGGATGGAGGCCTTTGTGGCCAATGTGTGTAGTTGAATAGAGGAGAAAGGAAGTGCTCACACGGATGAAGATTTCAGTGAAGATGACGCCGAAGAATGGATTTTCATCTTCATTCCTTCGTCAATCCATAAAGACGAGCGTGGGCGTTCCGAGACCTCAGAAATATGTCTGCGCTGAACACTATCCCTTCAATATCCGCTCGGAGAAATTCTGTCGTCATTCGAGTATTGCACTGAATAGAAAATGGAAATAAAAATATTTCTAACATTTTTCCATCAATTCACCAATCAATTTATTTTCAATATACTCCGCATAACAACGTACATTTTCTAACAATGAAACCCTTCTTAAAACATGTTTCGCACGTGTGAAAACTATCATATTTCTTGGGCGTACCAACATATTCTTGAAAATAACATTATGAAGTTCTTCTAAGTCTTCGTTTATTTTGAAACAATTCTCATTTCATTTGCGTTTCAAATAAATACTGGCTCGCTGTATAGAATAACTCTGAACAACGCAGTATTATCTTTAAGTCTGCTCTGATTTTAGGAAAGACAGTTACACAATCATATTATTTACTTTGATTTGGTAATAGAGATACAATTCACTTATTGTGTTAACTAGAGTAACTATGTAAGAAAGATGTTGTCCATTCCATAAAGTCATACAGAGCGTTATGTATTTACTAGTCATTTCAGAGATGCTTTTATTTCATCAAATGTCACTACATATTAGTTTGGGTGGCAGATCAAAGATTTGACAAGATGTAACCACAAATAAACTATCTGAAAGCACCAACATAGATGAGGTTCATGAGCAAATTTCCTCTTAATAACCGGAAAATGAATAGGGTTCTGATTGATATGGATATCCATACTGAGATGTTGGAGCAGACGCTCTATTTTATAAATTTGATGTGTACCATTAGTATTTGCCAAACGCAAGAGTCAGAAGGTTTCTTTTTGTTTAAAAACCTCTCTTCACATCTCATCTCCTCACCGCCCACATTCACCAAGTGCCGAGAGGAAATGGATGTAAAAAGTATTATTTGTAGCAATTGAGATGAAAAGCACTTGAATGTTGAAAGTTTTCATGAAAAACGTGTGTGGAAATGTGGTGTGTTTTTACAACACATTTAACTCCTCTTGAGTTTCAACACTGTAAATACTCCATCGAACACATCCACAACATCACCACCGGTATCTTAAATCAATTTACCTTAATCCATTCACCGATAAATTTTATTGAACAACTTTGAGCTTCTCGTGAGCTTTGTTCGTTCTGTTCCTTACACGTGTTGATAGTAAATCTGCTAAAATCACAAGGGAATTGACAAGAATTTCCGTTCTGAAACGCTGAGTAAAAAGTTTTCCTCCTTTATTGACACCGCATTGCTGATGGTCTCGACTTTATGAGTATCACCGAGCATTTTCAAGGGATTGTAATTGAACATCGTGCTCCTTAAGCGCACCTTCTGCACCATTTAGAGTGTGACATCCAATATAATCGGAAAATTGGATCGTAAAGTTGAAGAATGTTCGCCAATGTGAAACTTGTGAAATCAAACAAAAGACGCGCAATCAACTGATAAGATGGGATACTTTAAATTCTTATGCGCACAAGAGCGAATTCTCATTAGTATTCATATCCGTGGAGTCAGAAATTTATTGATTTATATTGGAAAAATGCTTTCACCAACAACACATAGAATATCGATTTACTATATACAATGTGAGAATACGGAAGAGGAAGTGAAACGATACTCTGTGAAACCACAAAAATAATAAGTGGAAGTGGTGTTTTAGTGTTTCCTTCCAAGGGAAACAAGTCAGCATGACAGGATATTTTTCAGCGTTTCACATCATTGAGAGCGAGAAAATTGTGAATGACAATGTATTATGTACACATATTATATGGGAACTCTTGGAAGAATATTCGTATTTCAAAACTTTTTCCAGCACTCATTAAGACGAAAAGGATGAAGCTTTCTTCAAGATTTGGTCACTCAAAAAATGTTCAATTTGATATTTTTATCTCTGGAGTTTGAAATAATAACAAAAGACGTTGGACTATTCTTGCTGGCTGATTTCTCTCAGAAAATCTCACTTTAAGAACGTTAAGGCGTTATGAAGTTGCTTATCGGGAACTTTTACAATCAAGCCACAGGGTGGCACGCAATTAGGAACAACAGTTTGCGATTCTCTTATTAACTCAGTGAAACTTTTGTTCCTTTGTAAATTATCTGCTATTTAATTGGACACATATATAGTAAATATGTACTGATGATGTTCTTTTCATTCAAGATTTTTTTTTACAACTTTCTGTGTATAAAAAGTATTTTTAGCAAGATCACCAGCTCAGTTACTGCACGCTGTACCCATAGAATCATATACAGTAGAGCCTTCAGAGAACGGACAAAGTTAAGGCCGCTTGAGACAATGGTATTATCTTAACTTGTGAGATTGAGCAATAAAACGCGTTCCCTAAATTCTTGGCAACAATCACACGCTGTGAAAGTCTCAAAATCCAATTGATTGTTGGGAAATGGAAGTCTGTCATCCTCAATAACTCTGCCCAAAATGGGAAAGTTCATGAAATTGTGCTCAAATTGTGGATGAATTAGAAGAGAAAATAATTAATTTGTTTTAATTAGACACTCCGCCCACATGCGGGATAAAGGGGATAGGACAGACTGAGGGTGACGAAAATAAAATTCAATACTTGAGACACAAAAGGCGCCCGCAAATTAATTCAGATAGAGTATGGCAATGAAAAGCCGTCTATCCAATCTATACACTTTCCTGGCTTGCGATAAAAAGAGCTCATTCAATGCGCGTTTGGTTTATCATAAACCATAACTCATGGGTAAAAAAGGTGTGCACAACTTCGGCATCTCGCTGAAGCAGCCGTGGCAACTCGTAAAAAGGGGAATTTTATCTCTTTAAGAAATGAAAACCACCCTCCAAATCCACGTTTGCACGTGGAAGAAGTGTAACACAAAGCAACAACTCAGGCAGAAAACGTGATGGTGAATTTCAGGGCAATCACAACACAGTTTCCTGAATTGAATATAAATTTAATATTTTGTACTCTCACACACAACCAACTCTCATCTTCACTTCTCAATGGACAATTTGAGTATATTCGCCAAAAGTTTTTACATGAGTGAAAAGCGTGAAAAAGGCTTTAGGGGAGACTTTAATTGTGAATTTAATTAGAAAAGTTTCTATCACAACCACCGATAACTTGACTGACTAATCAATTTTATTGTTATGAAGAGGAATTTCGAGGAAATTTGATATAAGTTTTCTGTAATTGTATATTACTAAGCAAATTAATCTACGTTGCATTAGACGAGCTTTAATTTCCACGGAAAATACACTAGTTCACGTGTTCATGGAGAAATATTATGCAAAACACTAAATATAATATAATGTCCAAACACACAACAAATTTAGAGCATATTTTCATCCATATTTGCTATTTCGCAATGCATACTTGATAGCTATTGTTGTACTTCCATCAATGTTCCATGAAAATATGCTTCTTCATTCCTGATATTATATATTCAAAGCTTACCTAATATAGTTGAAGAGCTCAAATAATGGCAAGGAAGTGACGTCATTTGAGCGATGATGATAAAACATCCTTATTGAATGGGTCCATGGAAGTCAGGTAAGAGATAGTAATTTGGCGTTGCCATAGCTTCTAATACGACTACAAGCAGTACAAGTGAAAAGGATGTTTCCTACTTGCCAATGAACTCTATTCGACCTGTGGGTGGACGCTTAACGCCACACATGTCGGCAAAAATATTGTGCAATGTTTGAATGCCACCTTCTTGTCTTGCGTCAATGTGTTTACTCAGCAACACTATATCACGTGAAAAGACAATTTCTGCAGAGACAACAGAATCGATTGGGACAGTCAGCAACAGGTGAGATGATAAATTGAAGTGTCCCTAATATACTTCGCGTGGCTTCTAACACAAAAACATTTCTTAGAGTCAACACTACGTTTATTTTCGAATAATACTCTACGTAATATATTATATTAATTCTAAATACCATAAACTCTACTAAGTTCTTCACTACACATGGTAGAAAATTCTATGTTAAACAATTTGTAATTTCACATTAAAGGGGATATTGAATTATTTCATAATATTTCTTTCTGATAGCACTAAAAACTTACGACTATTGGTAAGTTTATGGCCACGAATTAAGTATCAAATTAATTGCTGTAATTAGCCTCATATTGTATTATAGTGACTTTTCGATAAAAATTTTACCATATCCTTCAAATTTAAGTATGATGGCAAAAGGGTGAGAATCATGTATTTTTTTATGTTAAAAAAGCATTTCTGTTGAGAGGCACTTATAGAGGGAAATATCATAAAATTAATACATCACATATATCCTTTTTATGACTTAAACATGAGACCATATGATGAAAGATTTCCCGAGAAGAAATAATCTTGTAACCTATAAAGATCAATGTTTTAGGACTACATTTTTTTTCTTTTTATTGATTTTCATCATAGCTCTTGCTTTGGCAGTGTGAGAAAAACACTCACGTATAATTCAATCATACTTTCAATTTTGATTACCTACGACGAGTATTCCTCATATTCAAGTGAGAATATTACAATTTTCTTATCTACATTCTAAAAGAAATTTAGAGATAGATTTTATACAATTAAATGACGGTAGATTTATCCACTTACGGAATATTCACCGGGAAGGAAGATTTTGATATTTCGTTCATTGACGCGATAGAGAACGACTTTATCCTTTTCACCACTCTGAAAGTCCCCGCCTTTGTGGTTGATAATCATCTTCCCATCGACATCCTGGAATTTTCCTGAATCCAGTGGTTTCACGCTTATTCTCGTATTGGCAAAGTCGTACAGATAATTGCAAAGGATGTGATGGATTTCTGTACAATTCATCTTCATCACGAGAGTCACTCGCGGATGCCAGGCAGTGAACTTCTGGAGCTCCCTGCAGAAGTTCAACAAGACATTCTCGGTGACGCCCATGTTGAGGAAGACAGAGACATCGTCCAGAATGATGGTTGTGTGCTCCTTGCTCTGTCCAAGAAGCTCCAGATCACTCACAATATCCTCAAGGCACTTCTCCACCAGATTCACACCGCTTCTGGCGAGTTCTGGCAATTTCTTGAGCACATCGTGCACCACCAGGGACTTTCTTTCACCGGCTGCGGCGAGATTATAGCCCAGCTTGAGACCCGCCTCGATGTAGTGGTCAAACGAGTGGTGTAGACAGACCAGCAACACGCCAGTGTTGCGGTGTTTGAACTGATGCCCAAGGAGACAGCTGACCAGAAAGCTGCCATCCACTCCGGACGATTCCCCGATGAAGACGGCCGGCACGAGGCTCTTCTCACTAAGCCCACAGGAAAGTAGAACAGATGCTGACATGATGGCGAATTTTCATACCACTTGAAGACCGGATTCCTGTTTCCGAGAGGCGAAATAGAACAATTTTATTAGTGGGTGTGAACAATGTTAAATTTCGATGAAGATAAACATTCTCTCTCCCCGTGAAACATCAGGCCGCAAGTATTTTTAAATGGAAAATTAAAGTGTGTGTGATCAGAGCGATTTACTGACTGGACAGCGTGTGCAGTGAACTCGAGAGTTTTCCGCACAGAAGCTGTCTTGTCTTTACGGTCGTTCGGTGCCACGAAAAACGATCACTTTCAGTGCGATTAGATTGGCTCTTGAAGCGCTTGAAACGTGGAACTCCCCGCGAAGGTCCCAGTCGCCAATTGGAGTGGCAGTTTGGTGGAAGCTCAGCCATAGAGACTCTCGCAATCGTCTCAATTATCACCCGATTAGTCCCAAACTCCCGGAGCGACTCTCTGAGAGTGTTTCGAGCAGACGGACGGCTGGCTTCATATCACTGATAAGGGGATTATCAGTCTCAGAAGTTGCTCTCAGCGAGGCAGAGTGATTTACTGGGCCTGTCCGGAGAGCCATCTCAGAGATCCCCCGCAACTCAGTAGTCGCTGGAAGAGTGTGTTCATAGAAAGAGCGGAGTGTCTGCCAATTCAAGGTAATTAAACTGTTTCTGCTATTTCATGCAGTGTCTTTGTGGAATGAACAATAGGATCAGATGTGAAATGATGTTCTGTGGTAGAGAGAGCAATCGATTTGGGTTAGCAACAAAGCCTGCTGTGGTAAACGTCCATTATGTCAATGCTGTTTCAGTGTGAATTGGCCTGTTTGTTTCACTTTCGCGTCCCGTTAATGATTACTCACAATATACCTGCAGTGTATCTCTCACGGTGATAAATTAACACGATTCTGTTGAATTACTGAGGATAAAATCAATAAAAATAGCTGATAAACAAATGAACGTCAGACGCACGCCTGAACTTTTCATTCGGAACAGACAGCGCCACAAGGTATTGAATCTCGTGAAACTTTCAGCGGGTGAGGAAATTTTGATAATTATCTGTTTTCTACGGTGAAAATCAGGAATTATTAAGTGAATGTTTGCCAATGCACGTAATTGTTCATTCGTAAATCCCTGTTATTGTATATTTTGTGTCAATTCGTGCCAAATCAAGTTTTATTCATGAAATATTTCGCGCGTTTCGCTACGCGACCTCAGCGCACGGATCTCAAAAGCGGCGAGCACTATCAGCGCGGCAAAGGTGAAATGTCACAGCTTTTGATACTTTGAAGGCCATTCCATGGCGACAGGGAATCTCAAAGGATGATTTCCCATTAAAATACTCACTACATTCCATCATGCTCTTGTAAATTACAGTGATAATACTTCTCTTTACTCACGTGTGAATCAATTTGTGTTCAAAGTGAGTGAAATCATTGGCAAAATACGTGCGAAAAGTCCTCAATAGTGTCCTTGATTTCTTATTGATCTTCATCCTGGGTGTTCTCTTTTTAGGGAGAAATAATGTCTGACCCAAGGAGAAACCGAGTTGGTCGGTGGTATTTTGGCGGATTGGCGAGTGCTGGAGCTGCCTGTGTGACCCATCCGCTGGATTTGCTCAAAGTCACCTTGCAGACGCAACAAGAGGGGAAACTGTCTATTCTCCGACTGACTGGAAAGGTTGTCCGGGAGCAGGGTGTTTTGGCTCTCTACAATGGTATCTCGGCATCCCTGCTCAGGCAGATGACCTATTCTACCACGCGCTTTGGCATATACGAAGTGGGTAAGCAATCCCTGGACAAAGACGCCGGCTTCTTAGCCAAAATTACCCTGGCGGGCAGCGCAGGAGCGGCTGGAGGACTTGTGGGCACTCCTGCAGACATGGTGAACGTCAGGATGCAGAATGATGTGAAATTACCACCGGAATCTCGTCGAAAGTGAGTACTTTCTTGCCCTGTTTACATATAGAGAAATCTATTATACGGCTCTAACAAGGCCAACTTCATCAAAATGTTTATAGAGCTCATTTCAATTCTTCACACTATCCAAAGGTCAATTTGTATCTAGTGTGTTTGGTGCTGGAACTAATGCTTTGTTTTTCGACATTTCAGCTATAAGAACGCGATTGACGGCCTATTTCGGGTGTATCGCGAAGAGGGTTTCAGGCGGCTCTTCGCGGGCGCCACTACAGCGACTATGAGAGGCTTCATGATGACTATCGGCCAAATCGCCTTCTACGATCAAGTCAAGTCCCTCCTACTGACAACGAAGTACTTCGAGGACAACCCCAAGACTCACTTCTTGTCCTCCCTGACCGCCGGAGCCATCGCCACCACTCTGACGCAGCCTCTGGATGTTCTCAAGACGCGTTCCATGAATGCGACGCCGGGACAATTCAAGGGCTTATGGGACATCTTTCTCTATACAGCGAAACTCGGGCCGATGGGCTTCTTCAAGGGCTACATTCCGGCTTTTGTGCGCCTTGGGCCACACACTATTCTGACATTCCTCCTCCTCGAGCAGCTGCGACTGAATTTTGGGGTGGATAAGTAGTAGTAATGCGAGGGGAAAAGGATAAATTTGACGTAGTATGGTGCTTCTTCGACACATAATCTACTCTACTTTTAGGAAATGTTGAACATTTCAATCTGGTCACAAGTGGCCGAATTGGATCCACGCAAAAACACACATTCCTGACGATATGACACGCGTATCATGGATGGATTAATTTAGAGAGTAATGCATTTTTGCCTACCAGAACAAAACTGACTATATTTTTTGTAAAATGTTTAATTTTTGCTAATTGTATAATGTGTACATTCACCTTGTTACCGGGACTTTAAATTTTCTGTATGATTGTACAAATATTTTTGTGAGAAATATAGATAAATTGTTGAAGGTTCGTCGCTTGTGATGAAGAAGTCGGCGTTGAGGTCTTTCGGTGGTGGAAATGTGCGCGCGCCATCAGGAATTTGCTTGGCATGAGCAGTGACGCCTCCAGAGCGACTCCAGCGCACCACGCGACCACTCCGCGAGGCGCGCGCGACGTCATCCTTCGGAGAGAAAGAGCGAAAACGTCAGACGTATCTCAGCCACGGAAAGAGGTGTATCGTGTTATTGTCCGCGACGAGAGTGCTCCTGAGGCAGAGGCCCTAATTGTGCGGACATTTGTGGCAGTGTGAGGTGTCCAGAGAGGGCTAGAAATCCTCCGTGGGTGATGATTGTACAGTGAAATGAGGGGCGAGAGGTAATAGTCGCAGTTATGCAGACACAGTGATGCCGTGAATGTGTTCAGTTGGTATTGTTTTCTCACCTGAGATTTTTCGTTCCTTTTGTGCATCTCTTCATTTCCTCGCCAAATTATCCGCGAACGCGCCGTGTCAGTGCTTTTCCACCATCGCCAGCAGCCCTACGAGTGCAGTGCTGAACTCCTAGGCGAAATCACATGAGCGCCAAGGAGGAAAATTGAGGTGAATCTCGTGTAGTTCTTTGTCCTCGGCGACACGTTGAAGGCGAATTCTGTACACAAACACACCTGCATCGCGCGTGTCCTGCCGAACGGCAAAACAGCTGAGGGATTGTGTGGCTCTGATCGCACCGCAATCCTCGACCATGTCCCTGGCGGGATTCACCAGTGAACGGACTTGCTAGGCACGCGGGAGAGTTGGTGAAGACTCCTCAGAGTGGTGATGTCATTGAGGAGCGATAATGCAGTGGATACTGATTGGGGTGATCTTCATCCTGGCATCTCATCGGTCGCGGGACTTAGAGGAATGCTGTGGCTCTCGGAACTCCTTCCTGGCGCTGGCCACTCCACTCCCACCTCAAGGTGAGACTTTTTCTTGATCAGCGCAACACAAACGCGATGGCAGGCAGAAAGAGTGGAGCAAAGATGCTTGTGCAGGGCCGTTATACTTGGCTGAATGGTCGCTGTGAGAGTGAAGAGTTGGAAGAAAGAAATCTACATTGAATGAAAGACTTGAATGAGTCGTGTTGATAAGAGAAATTATTCGTCTGGTCTAGAATGCGCTATATTAACTGGAAGAAATTAAATACTCTTCGAATAGTAAACTAGATTTTATATACAATCAATTACAATACATATCTTCCCACTTTAGACTCCAAACACAATCGCTGCAATCATAAAACGCATAAAACTTTAAGCACAAAATGCCGAAAATGGCAAAATCTGGAAAATCAATATCTGTGCGATTGAGGAGTAAGACAAAAAAACATCTTATTTCGTTTCTTAAGAGAAAAATAAGGTTTTTAGGCAACAAACATTCCCGAAAATCACTTGATTAGAGGTTTCCTCGCTTCGCGACACACTGTAGCCGAGATTGAAGTGTGGAGGAGACTCACAAAATCTTACATCATCGCCATCAATACGTAGCATTGTGGTGGGTTTTTTTCACATCGACATCGTGTCTCCACGCAAGACGAGACAATCTCAGCGCTTTTTGCGAAAAATTCCTCATTGACACACGAAATGATTTCCCAAAAGCAATGGGGAATTCATTTGAGCAATTTTGCCACTCAATTTGTGGGTGAATCGGAATGCGAGCAGGGCGATAGAATGGGTGAAATGTGATGTCGAGAGTGAGAGAGATGCGATGCAATGAGTGGTGGTATTCCACAGTTTTAGCACTAAATATTTGGTGTAGTTTATTTATTGTTTAACAATAAATATGATGGGAATAGCAGTGACAAAACCGCAATCAGTTTTCCGGATTGCATTCGAGCCTTGTGTGCTTTATTTTAGTCATTTTTCTGCATATAGATTTTAAAAATAGAATAGGTCACTCACCGGATGATTTTGAACAATTGTGGAGAAAAATACGATGTTGACGTGTGCAAAATTCAAAGTATAGCAAAGTTGTACTAGTCCACAGTCTTTAGTAGAGTTCCTGAAACAGAGACATTTTGGGAACCTTGAATTGAAGTCCATAAATAGTCAAATCTAATGAAATTAACATCTACTCGATAAATCGACACAAAGATCCTTCATGATCATTTAAATGTTCAGTGTGTAAGAGACTTTTTTCACCAAGCGAGAGAGAGAGAAGATCGTGATGTAAATCCAGGAAAAAGTATTCGCGCAAGATTATAGCCTTCATTTGAATGGATTGAGATGTGCCAGAAAGTTTTCTCAAAGGAACATTGTGCGGAGTGCCAAAGTTGAAGGTGGAAAGGGTAATTGCCAGACCAATCTCGCTCGATGTCAAACAAATTGACCAATTTCTTGAGGGACAGGGAAAATCTCTATTGAATATTCAAGTGAGATGGTGAGACTCTTCTTCATCACAATTCCATATCCTCTCATTACTCTTTCATTCATTTTCCCAATCTGTCTCTCGAGTGGCGTAAGAAATGTGAGAGAGAATGATAAAATGGGATTTTATTTATAATCAGCTCTAATTTAAATCTCCAACGATGAAAGCTCTTGGGAAATCCTCGTGTAATCTTTTGAACTCTTTCCATCCGCCAGAGTGTGAGAGCTTTCAGCCAGTATACATATCTCATTTCGTATGTATATATGCAGCCATACAATAGTGGCTTATATTGTGGGAAGAGACGACAGAATTTCTGACTGGAGAGTGAAGAAAATCCCGATTACTCATCTTTGCACTCAATACATGCAGGAATAATTTCTCAATGGGTCAGATGTCAGAGCACTTGATCTCTTTCTGAGCAAGTTATCTCCCTGGTGTGCTCTATCTCCCATTGGAGAGACGCTTGTGTCTCAATTCCCAAAGATAATCAGTGATAATCAATATAGAGAGGCGTAGTTGAGAGCACTTCTTGTCTGAGAGGAGTTGGTTTCATGTTACATCGAACGATTACTCTACAAATTTAATTATATTGAATAAATTGCTCTTCTCGTCATGTCCTTTGTCGTGACCTCTTTGTTTCCCTTATTGGAAGTTGTATGAAATATTCAATGGGAATGGTTTTGAGGATCAAGAGGTGTCATTGTCAGGAATGTAAGTGGCAATCTATTGAGCTTTTAGTCATTTCTGCGTAGTTTCAATAAATGCACAAAGATAGCTACACACAAAAGTTGTGTTTTTTATCAATTTCACAATACATCCTCAAAGTGCTTCGAGTCTCTGAAGTTGAAAGCTTCTGCTTTAAAGAAGAAAAGTTGTGCATTATTAAAAACGAATAATATAGATTCTGAACTTGCTTCTGTAACTTGAAATTCCGTCTTAAATTCTGCCTCTTTCGCTGCTTTCCCTTTAATCGCAGAAGAGCTCCAAGTGTATTTTGTGTAATCTTTAAAGAAGGTGTTATTGCTACATTTCAGCCCTCAAGTACTGTTCAGCCAATTTGTTGGCACGAAATCCATCTTATTATGCCATTGTGCGCGGAGAGGCAGCATGTGAGGGATGCGAAGATATTTGGGATTAATAGTCGCGACTGCGAGGTCTCCGTCAAATACGAACCTCAGCAGTGAAGTACAAACAATCTGCCATCGACTTCTCGGCTAATGAAGTAAATGTTGGGAGGGCTTTTACACACAAACACTCCGCGCGCAGTGTGAAGATTGTTAAGGGTGCCAGAGCTCAGAAAGTAATTTCCGGCGTCTAAGAGTGGGAAATATATATTCTGGCAAACAACTTTCCCTCCATCGCCCAGAGTATCTCATGTGCGAGATGGAGGACACGATGGGAGTGAGAGAGTGGCGTGGCAGATGATGATGGAAGGATGAAATTTGCATGTGTGCGTGATTTTGTTGATTTATTGATCGAATTCCATGGAACCGCGCGGGGATGGGGGTTGTGTGTGAGGCTGGAGAGGCGTGTGCACATTATATAGATGTAGCGGCACTTTTTCGTGAAATCATCATCCACCAGACCACTCCGTATGGTATGCCGTCGTCCACCCACTCATCTCTCAACGTCACGATGATTTTCATTGCGCGGCGGAGTGACGGGCGGGGCGTTTGCCGGAGCGCCCGTCGAATTTACTTCTGGGATGTGGAGGGTATTTAGAGGAAACCGAGGGCGGAAGGATGGGGTAGACACTAAGCCAAGTTGTACCCTGGGCACCGGATATTTGTATTGTTCCGCTCATGTTTTTCGTCTTTATCCTTGTGTGAAATAATTCAAAATCTCACATGCACGTGGTCTCTTTGCAGGACTTTCAATCTCTGTCTGCCCATATCCATGAGCGAAGCGTTAGGGATTTATAAGCAAAAGTTTCCCTACGCGTTTCACAATACGCTCCCGAACATCGCATTATTTTAATATTTTGCCATATTATGAATATAACTTTCTTACATTCCAAGGGAAGCGCGCGGAGCGTTCTTCTGCGTGCTTTTATGTAAACAATTTGTTCTACCTGTCGTGTTTAGATCAAATATACTGTATATGCAATATTTTCTCCGCACCAAAAATTATGCCTCAGCGGCGAAGAGCACAGAAAGAGAAAATCATTTAAGTAATAATGAAAAGCACAAAAACACTTCCTGAAGATTAATTTCTTGAGAAAAAGAACGCGTACAATATTTTATCTTCTCCTGTGATTTATATCTCAAACATTCTTCTTTATTATCTACATTTGAGGCTCTAAGGAGAGAATTCTTCAATGTAAATGGTTTGGTAAAAAAACCACAACACACCTGTTCTTTGTGGAGACTTTTTGAACTTTTCCCAAATAGCCATCAATATTGCAAAGTTTCTGTACGCGTTCAAGAATTATGCTTACCATCAATTCATCTTGTGGAAAAAGTCATGCCTTTTTGTGGAAAATTACAAGACTTTCCACAATGGATAATACTTGGGTGAACTCTCTTTTAAATAATAATGTCAATAATTTTCAAGTACAAAAGGTGATTTTGCACAATACTTTATCACGCTGACTGTACCAATTTCGCCATGAGACGTAAACCCAGTTCGCAAGTGTGGGACGTGCGAGAGAACAATTGTGCACAGAAATTAATAAAATAATTCATGAAGGCAGCGTCTGAAGTTATAACGGTTAAATTTACTTTTAGAGATGTTGTCCACCTCCTCAGTAATTTCTTCCGCTCCACCTATATTTTTTTCACGCAACATTTCTGCGGTCGTTCAATGAATTTCGCCATGGATGATTTGTCTTTAAAAGCCGAGGACCTTCATTATGCGCGACTGAGTGTAAATATATCATTGACCTTAGTTAAATCTTTTACATTGATTTTTCTTCTGAGATCTCTCACGAATATTTGCTGAGTGCTATTGTGTGTCTGCAAAGAGAGGCGGAAAAAATCAGGAAATTTTATTCACACATGACTCATTACGCCGTGAAGCTTTGTTGTGCTATGTCAACAGTGATAAAGGCTTTAGATTCAATGAATAAATGAATTACGTTATTTTTCCGCCAAATGGAGAAAAAAAAGATCAATTGTATAAGGATCATTTAAAATGTTTTTAATGTTGAATTATGTTTCTCTAGCTGTTATTATGATTTTTTTTAGGGAATTCTTGTTGCTTGAACTCACGAAGGTCATTGATGGTGTATTGTTAGCTGTAGAATTTATGCACAATATGATTCAGGATATAGCGGAGATTATGAATTTTCCAGGAAAATGTTAATGGCCAAATATTTTATGGTTTTTGAATGACTTTTTCTGTAGACACATTAGGGAAAGTGTCAGGGCGAGAAGTTGAACAAAAAGCTCTATATGCATATTCATGATTTTATATTCTATTTATACCTTTTGGTTTATATACAATATTGAAGGTATATGATTCTAATAAAATACGTGAAATAGAGAGAGAAATAACAAACAACACTTTATTCCTTGAACCATTCCCATTGCCAATATGTATGTCGCCGTACATTGGC